CTATCTATCAGTTTGTCGGAAAAATAATGAGCACTATCTCGCTGCGCCGATCGAGTCGCTGAAGTGAGCAGCAATTTGATTTAGCCGCGATACAGTTTATTTTCTCGGCGGTGATTGCGATTTTGGATGCGACAGAGTGCTCGTTATTTTCCCGACAAACTGATGACAATAGGCGGTCTTTATTGTCCGATGAAATACATTTATTCCTTGCGTTTCGTTGTACATACCGAGACCCCCAAATACTCTGACTACCTTCTCCTTTTTTTGCACTTACCTTATTTGTACTTATCGTAAGAATGACAAAGGCCGACCAGTCTGCACGTCACAAGATACATTTTCAAAAACCATCTCGTATTCGCGGCAAGCGGAACTATTTTTCAGTCTTTTGCTCTTGTTATTAAGAGGCTTTCAGTGTAAAAAAACTGAAAGAAGTGTTGAATAAACTGTTCGGGTGGTATGTAGTATCATCTTGTTTGTCTTCCGTAAAAGGCCAAAAGGCTACACAAGATGTTTGGGCTCTTCAACTTACAGAAAAGCCTACAAAACATGGCTGCTTTTCACTCTGTAGTATGTGGGTTAAAAACGAGAGTTTAAGAAAGAAATGCCTGTGGCTCTTCATGGGAACAAGAAGACCGGCGTGTTGCCACATGTATATGTGTAAACACCTATGCTTATAAAGACAGTGCTTTTAATAAACGTTTTTCTTCTCGGTAGACGTGTTTTCGACGTGTCTTCCGGGCAAGGACTTTGCTGACTTTTGCTGATTTACCAGTTAGAATTACGATTTCCCTACAGTAATCCGCGTAGTATGATAACATTTTTGCATTGACGACTCCTTTTAAAAATACATATTTCAAATACGAAGTCTCTGCGCCGCCTCCGCCGGAAGTTATAGCCTTCCACTTTCCTTCACGTTTTTTGTAAGACCCTGTACAAGATTCTATTGAACTCGTCCACCACTTTTATGGGAGTTTGTTTAGAAAAATGGTTTCTAAACCTTTAAGAATGCCTGGTTAACTTTATGGTAACTATTAAGCCACCTAGTATACATTTTCCACGTGTAAAGAGGGCATTTACCAATTAGAATTACAATTTTCTACAGTAATCTGCGTAGTATGACACATTTATGCATTGACGACTCCTTAGTACTGATAAGAACAAGAGTCTATGGAACTCAACTCATCCACCACTTTTATGGGAGTTTGTTTAAAAAAATGGTTTCTAAAACTTTAAGAATGCCTAGTTAACCTTATGGTAACTATTAAGCCACCTATGCACTTTTCCAAGTGTAAAAAGGGCATTTACCAATCAGAATTACATTTTTTCTACAGTAATCTGCGTAGTAAGGCAAAAATTCTTGCATTGAAAACTCCCTGGTACCGATAAGCACATGAATCTATTGAATTCATCCGCCGCTTTCAAAGTTATGGGAGTATGGTTTTAAAAAACTATTTCTGAACCTTTAAGAATGCCTGGTTAACCTTATGGTAACTATTCAAGCTACTTATAGACTTGGAAACTTAATTTGCATCATTTAGTTGCCAAATCCAATGTTAGAATTTCCCGTTGTAAACAAATGTCGGCTGATTTCTAAACATACCCGCAGAATATCTGCTGTTCTTCTAGCTGCCCGCAAAGTGGTTTCCTGCAAGTGTACGCTTACCATTTTTACGAGGAAAGTACTTCTGTGGGGTATGGAGTTACAGGTCGAGACATTCTGAATCAGAAAAATTTTGCGATTTTTTTTTGATATATGACTCGACCTGTAACTCCATACCCCATAGAAGTATTTTCCTTGTTAGATTTCCCTAACTTTTGTTGGTAGAAGGCGGCTTCTAAAGTTCAGAAAGCTTACAAGTTGCCATAATTTCGTGGCCCAATCAAGGTTGACCCACGCCGACCTTTTTCAAAATTTGCCAAAGTTTTGGAAATTTCCATTCCGTCGGGAAAATAATGAGCAATTGTCGCTGCGCCAATCTCGGCGATCTCTTTTCCCGGCAACGATGTGATTTTCAATGCGGCAGAGCGCTTATTATTTTCCCGACAGACTGATAGTATTTTTATAAAGTGCGTAGACTTTTTTGCCCTTCGCTTCAGACTGATAGTAATTTGTGCTGATCGCACAACAAAGTTCCTTTCCCCCTCAGAAACTCTTACTATAATATTTTAAGTCTTTGCTTGCCTAACAGCTGTAACTTTTTTTGTTATTTTTCTGATCACTGATCAATGATTCAGTTCCGACAAGACCTTCTCGTCAGATCTATAAAGAGTACGATCAATTATATTGGACACTCAAACATCATACTTACACAAACATTTCTGCCCCTTCCCATGCCTTTAACGCACTTTATTAAATTCATTTGCTCTCTAAAAGTTGTAAAGTCGTTTCGCTGTAAACTCGATTACCTTTTACAAAATTTTTACTTTTCTTTGTATGTTATCCACATCGTCTCCGTGTGAGGCTATTCTTAAAATATTTTAAATCGCCTTTTCTTTGATGATAATTAGTTTTTTTAACGAGGAGAGAAAGTGCGACGGCACTGTTGATTTAAACGTCTAGAACATTCTGTATTTTTTTAATGCGATTATTCGGCGCGATTTATGATTGATAAAAAGTCCGTCTTGGTATCATAACAGCGATTGGCGGCTTAATTTCCGCTTTTTTAAAAATTTTTTGGTCATTTTTTTGAGTTAAGCTTGTACGAGGCAGACAAAAAAAATTTTTTTTAAATCTGCGCTGTGCAATAAAGAATTTTTTTTTTAATCCGCACTGTGCAATCAAAAAATTTTAAAATCTGCACTGTGCAATGAAAATTTTTACATTTTTGTTGCACAGTGCAGTCAAAAAAAATTTTTTTTTTAATCTGCACCGTGCAATCAAAAATTTTTTAAATCTGCACTTTGCAATCAAAAATTATTTTTTCTTGCACTGTGCAATCAAAAAATTTTAAAATCTGCACTGTGCAATGAAAATTTTTATATTTTTGTTGCACAGTGCAGTCAAAAAAAAATTTTTTTTTTAATCTGTACCGTGCAATCAAAAATTTTTTAAATCTGCACTTTGCAATCAAAAATTATTTTTTCTTGCACTGTGCAATCAAAAAATTTTAAAATCTGCACTGTGCAATGAAAATTTTTATATTTTTGTTGCACAGTGCAGTCAAAAAAAATTTTTTTTTAATCTGTACCGTGCAATCAAAAATTTTTTAAATCTGCACTTTGCAATCAAAAATTATTTTTTCTTGCACTGTGCAATCAAAAAATTTTAAAATCTGCACTGTGCAATGAAAATTTTTATATTTTTGTTGCACAGTGCAGTCAAAAAAAAATTTTTTTAATCTGCACCGTGCAATCAAAAATTTTTTAAATCTGCACTTTGCAATCAAAAATTATTTTTTCTTGCACTGTGCAATCAAAAAATTTTAAAATCTGCACTGTGCAATGAAAATTTTTATATATTTGTTACACAGTGCAGTCAAAAAAAAATTTTTTTTTTAATCTGCACCGTGCAATCAAAAATTTTTTAAATCTGCACTTTGCAATCAAAAATTATTTTTTCTTGCACTGTGCAATCAAAAAATTTTAAAATCTGCACTGTGCAATGAAAATTTTTATATTTTTGTTGCACAGTGCAGTCAAAAAAAAATTTTTTTAATCTGCACTGTGCAATCAAAAATTATTTTTTCTTGCACTGTGCGGTCAAAAAATATTTTTTGTTTGGTTGCACGGTGCGGTTTAAATTCATTTTTATTCTGTACTGTGCAATCAAACAGAATTTTTGCACCGTGCAGAGAAAAAATATTTTTCTTTTTTTATCACCATTTAGTCGCAATTGCCACTAAATTTTTTTTCGCACAGTGCATTAAAATTTTTTTTGACTGCACAGTGCAATTGTAAGCATTTTTTGCACGGTGCTATGTGAATAATTTAGATTTTTTTTTATTTTGCACAGTGCCGGAAAAAAATTTTTTTTGCATGGTATGTTCAAGAAAATTTTTTTGTCTTGCACATGCTTACAGTTGAAAAAAAAAATATTTTTTTTGGCACCGTGCAAATCAATAAATTTTTTTTTTGACTGCACAGTGCAATAAAATACTTATAATTCGGTTTATTGTACTGAATTATTACGACAAATCCTAATAAATCTTGTGTCTTCTACCGGAATCTTATCGTTTCTATATACAATTCCTTTCACTAATTCGCCCTGACAAGCGGAGTTGTCACGGGGTGTTCTCGGAAAATTATACTTTTTTTTTGAGTTGTTGTCGCTCGTCTTTTTTATAAAAATTTTTACATCATCTTTTTGGCGAGAGTTTCTCATCTGTTGAAAAAGCTCAACTTTTTTCTGAATTTTTCGAAGCTTTCAAATTTTTTGGATTTTTCCATGCAATTTCTTTTTGATTATTTTTTTTTGCGGTCTCCGGTCAGCTTTTATTGCGATTTTTAGCGTGAAAAATGTTTGGTTTTTTCTCGGCCATGGCCAGAAAATCTGACCGGTCATTTTGGGCAAATTCGAAAATTTTTGATTAAACGCCCAAAAAAATCTTAATTTTTTTAACTTGACCGATGACTTGTCCAATTTTCCCAATCTGACCGGTCAAGTTTTTTGGGCATTTACCCCGAATCCCTCAAAACGTCCAAAAATCGATATTATTTTAAAATTTTTTGGCTTTTGCTTTGCCATTTTATCTGACCGGTCATTTTGGGCAAATTCGAAAATTTTGATAAAACAAACGCCCAAAAAATTCTTAATTTCTTTAGCTTGACCCGTTACTTGCCCAACTTGCCCAAATCTGACCGGTCATGATTTTTTGGCATACTCCCAGAATCCTTCAAACCGTTCAAAAATCTTCTTTTTTTCAAATTGATCCGATTTGTCCGATTTGCCCAATCTGACCGGTCAGTTTGGGCATATGGGTCATAATGCCCATATGCAAATTTATTCAATTCTTACAAAAATTTCCACTCCAACATGCCATAAAAAATGTCCACTTTCAGTGATGAGCCAACGGCCCACTTCCACGACTGGTTGTGCCGTCTGCGGCGAGCGACATCATGGGCAGCACTTCGGTGTGCTCGCCTGCCGCGCCTGCTCCTCGTTTTGGCGTCGCTCGTTAGTCGAGCGCAAGACCTACAAATGTCGGAACAACTCGAACTGCGACGTGAGCAAGGCGGAGATGCGCAACACTTGTCGGGCCTGCCGTTTGGAGCGTTGTCGACAGGTGGGGATGAAGGGCGAGATCCCGTGCGCCGACATTCATGAGGAAACGCCCAGCTGCTCGCCCAAAATGAGTGCAATCTACTCGGACTACAGTCCCACAATGACACAGATGAGTGGCATTGGTGGGGTGGGGGCGAACATGGTCTGTTTTGATGTGAGTTGTGACATTTTTTGCTTTTTTGCAACTTTTGAGCGTTTTCAATTTCTTTCGATTTAATTTTTTAGATTGATTTTTGAAATCAGAATGTTTTCCAGACGTATTTTACCAAACGATTTTTTTATTAGCAGCTTCTCTTTTCAGCCCTTCAACCCTCCCACCCATGAACTCGAGAAATTTGTTGCCCATTACCGTAACTTCTGCAGCGCCGAACGGTCCATGTACATAGTTGAGAACCCGGAGGACCTGTTCAGCACACTGGAAGTGAGTTTATCTGACATTTCCTTGATTTTGAGCCGCACTAAATATTTGGTCTTTGCAAGTTACTGTAATTCTTTTTTTTTCATACTTGAGGGTTACTGTAATCCTCACGCTCTTTATCACCTAAAAGGAAGACTTGAGCGGACACTTTTTTACGGCAGAGAAGCTAGCGCTAGCGGAAATATTTCGCTGTTTTATGAGAGAGAATGCGGGATGAGGAGAGTCGGCCAGAGTGAAAAAGTTTTTTTTGGCCGCATCTCTGATATTTTCGTTCCAAAAAATGTGTTTTTGAGGAGACGTAAAAAATTTGATTACAAGCATGTACTACCAAAAAAAACCCATCGAAATTTCGTCAACATAGAGCCCGATCGCTAACTTCAGAGGGAAGAGAAAGAGGAAATTTTTTGTGGAACTTTCGGTCGATTTTTCTCGTCAACCGGGCTTATTCCGCAACTGGAAAATGACTCCTTTTACCAATGTTGACCTGCTGTATCCGCATTTTCCCAACCGCGAAGAAGTTCAGACCATTCCATTGTTAGAACTGTCTTTGACAATATTAGTCTAAATTTGCGTCTACATATTTTCACTCACGTTTCAACGCCAAATTTTGAGCACTTTCTAGAGTATGTAAATAAAATTTCGGACATTCTCTGCAAAGGATGATCTAAAATATAATAATTCATAAGGTTTGGGGTTTATTTTTTCTTTTGCTCAGATTGACTTGATTTTTGGCATGGGGGTTCTTTTAGATGCTCTCTTTGAGTATTTGAAAAAAAAAATTCGAAATTTTCAATTTTGAGTGACCTATGACGTCATGAAAAGTCGAAACTTTGAGCTACCATATCTCGCTTCGTTTTATAGGTATCGACTTGATTTTTGGTTTCGTCGCGTATGGTACATAATGGGACAATCACTGTCGAGATTTTTTCGAAATTTCAAAATTTACGAAAAAAATCTCAAAAAAAGACCTTTTTTCGTATCTTTTAATTAGACCGGGGAATATTCAAATGCAAGCTTCTACAGGTCCATATCGGGAAAGCAAATTCATAACTAAGAGATAACTCCATGTATGTGTAGATACGACCATGTACAAAGTTACACTTCCAGAAAACCCCGTCATGATGACGGATTTTCTGGATTTTTTCGATTCCATTGAATTCCACGTACCTGACTTCCTATTAGTACGTATCTTTCAGTCCTGTACTCGCCTTCGTATTTTAGTTATGCCTTACTGTAAAAAATACGATTTGCACAGTGCAAAATTCAAAAAAATCATTCTCGGCTCCCAGATCGAAATTCAAAAAAATCACTCGCAAATCTTATTTTTTTTGCCCCAAGATTGTCCCTAAATTTTTTCAGAACATTCTACGTAGCCATCTCCTCAAAAAAATCTCGGGACGGAAAACGCAATTTTTCGAAATTTTCAAAATTTTGACTTTTTCAAAATTTTCTCTCTGATGTACAACAACGATGTCAAAAATGTCCAACTATGGATTGTAGAGCTCGAAGAGCTCTACAAATTACCCGCTTATACCGTCTGCGTATCTTTAAAGTTACGGCCGTCAGAGCGGCCGGAAATTTCGGTCGATTTTTGCTGCACCGTGCGAAAAAAATCGCCCTCGGGGCAATTAGCGGAGTTGAACAAATTGATCATATGGGTGCGATAGGACACAAAATGAACTACCATCGTGCCAAGTTTCACGTCTCTATCTGCAATATTCGATGCGCACTGTACCGTCAAAAAAAATTCTCGAAATTTCGACCAAAATTCGGCCCTGAGGGCTTGGAATCGAATTTTTTCGGATTTTAATTTCGTCCATCGTATTCAGCACGGCAAACTGATGTAGAAACAGGTATCGACTCCTAAAATACGGACAAGGTGAAAAGGCAGTGTTGAAATTTCCGAATTTTTGGATTTTACTTACTTTGACGAAAGTTACCATAGCTCGGGAACAAGGTCGAAATTCAAAAATCGCCTCGGTTAAATGATAGCGAGTCGCAGTATCACTCTACAACCGGAATATCGGAGATGTACAAACAAGCTATGAACGCAAATCGTGTGAACCCCGGAGGCACCCAAAAGACAAAATTTTGTAAACCCGATTTTTCTCTTAAATTTCCAACTAAAATTCGTCTAAAAGTTACATATTCGGAATCTCCGTGTCATTTTGGATACAGTCGTATCTTTTTTCCCGGCACTTTTAGTGCAACAAGTGCCAGTTTTGAAAAAACGCCCACTTCCATGGCCGAAAACACAAAAAAAGAGCGCGGCGAAGAGAGAGAGCGGGCAGAGAACCGCTTCCTTCTTCGTTTGGCGGGAGAAAAGAGAGAGTGGGAAAGGGGAGGAGGGTGGTTAGACAAAGGTTTTCTCTTTCGATTCCGGTTAGAGATAAGGCGAAGAGAGTGCTGAGTGTGAGGAGGGCGGTACGGAAACTGTCATCGTGAGGCGTAATGACGGGGTTTTCTGGATTTTTTCGAGAAATTTTTGTAAAAATATTTTTTTGGTCCTGGATTCTCGGGATTTGGCCGTTTTAGGGCCAAATTTGACGGGGAATCTGGGAAAAATATTGGCTTTGGTTAATTTTGAGTGCTGAGTCTATTTTTTCGAGTTTTTTTAGTTGATTTTTGGTTGCTGAAAGTATTTCTGATCAACTTTTGGGGAAGGGGAATTATTTTAGGTAAAAAAATGTAGTCTCGCGGCGGCCGTAGGCCGTCGCCTCATGCCGGCGGGCTCTTTAGCCGGGCTTAGCGATCTGGGACTGACCTGAGCTTAGCGATTAGGGTAAATTCTCGATCTAAAACAAAGTCGGCTTAGCGTTCCGAACGCCACAAGTTTCTACTAGGCTCAGTCTAACGCGTAGCGTTTTTCTGCCGCGGCCGGAGGCCGTCGGCAAAGCTTTGGCGAGCGTTTATGTTGTTTTGGACGTTGAACAGGTCCAAATCGCGCGAAGAGTAGCAATACCGGGCGCAAAGCAGCGAAACCGGGCGCAAAGCTGCCTTTATCCGCAGGGCTGCTCGAGAGACGGTAGCAGCCGCAGGCTGCGTTAGTCTCGAGCCCTAGTTCCAAAAACTCAATTTCCAGGACATGACATTCAAGCCCATCACCCGTCCCGAGCACATGCGAATGGAGCGGGGCACCGTCTCCTTAATCCACTCCCTCCTCCTCGACACCACCCCCGCCTACTCGCAGCTCTCGCGAGAGCACAAGATCATATTGGTCAAGACCTTTTCCTCCGAATTCCTGTGTCTGCATCGGTCGTTTGTGTCGGCCAAAGTGTACAAAAACCAGCCACGGGTCATCATGCATTACGGATATTACGTGGACGAGGAATGCGCAAAGGTCTTCTTCGAGGGCTCGGAGAAATTGGACGAGCACATGAAGTTCGCGAGGCCGATTATCCGCAGCATGCTGATTACTGTGCGGTTGCTGAGGGATATGGATATTAGTGAGACGGAACTGATGGCAATGAGCATGCTCATGTTTTATAATGGATGTGAGTTTTGAAATTTTTTTATTTTTTTGGGGCAATTTTTTTTTTTTTTTTTTTTTTGATTTTTTTACTTTTAAAATAAAAAAAAATACTGTAAAAAGAATTTTTTTTTGCAATTTTTATTTTATTTTTTTAGTTTTAAAAAAATCCTAAAAAATTTACAAAATTCATTTTTGCACTGTGCTAAAAAATTATTTTTAATCGCACCGTGAAAACTCATTTCTGACTCTCTAAAAAATTTAATCAGAAGAATAGCTTTTTCAGTGCATGAGATGCAACTGGTAACCCCCGAAATTCAACGACTCATTGACGCCATCAACACTGAGCTTGTGTACTTCCTAACAGCGACCTATGGAATCGCGAATTTAGGGCCAAGACTGGGAAGTCTTCATCGATTCATCCATCATATTGTGGTAAGTTTAACTAGCAATCAAATCTTTTATAAATTTCGTCTTTTTTACATTTTTTTATTTTTGAAATTAATTTTTTTTTGATTTCAGAAGCAAGGCACAGAAATGCGGGAATCGCTGGTAATGGCCCGAGTATTTTTCCCGGACGCCGGCTCCGAAATTTGGGAGAATTTGAACATTTACGACGAGCTTTCTCCCAAGGACCTGCCGTTTTCCTCGCCAAGCGTGTTCACACAATAATGTAAATATTAAATATATAATAAAGTATAATACAGAATTTCGTACGAAATTTCGCCTACGAACTTATAGACTGTCAAAAAATGAAAAAATGACTTAACGTTCCAACCCAAAAATTTGGATTTTACTGTTGGCGACTTCACTGAAACCGTCAATCAATTTGCGAGAATTTGCATGGAATTAAAGGACAAGGCAAAGCTTTTGGCTGATCAATTTCTCCATTTCTCAGCATTCAGGGCCTTCCGCCGTCTCTCGTGCTAGTCTGTCTACCTTCGTCTCAGCCGGTGACATAGCAAAGGCCTTTCTATTGTCGATACAAGTCGGAATCCTTGAAGAAGCTCATGACTCCTTAAGAAATCTTTTCTTTGGAGAAACGCGTCACGCTATCCTACGAGACGATTTTCTGATTATCGGTTCAAGCGGTTGCCCTTCGAATACTACGCCATAAAGTCCTGACACATTTTCACAGTGCGTTTTTGCTTTTATTTCGGACTCGTCGCGGCAATTCCCCCCTTTTGAACTAGCGACATGCACTTTTTCTCACTCCAACTTTCTCACGCGACACCTGCGACAAGTGTGTCAGGATTTATGGCGCGACTAAAGAGTCCGGTCGACATCTTGGAGCTCTTGGCATCGAATATTATCTTCGTCGCTGAAACCACCCATTGTCGTCCGAGATAGGAAGGTAATATTCGTATGCTCAACAGAATTTGTGGTCTCATGTCGGAAGATCACGAACAGTTCACACCATTCCCTTGCCAGACAGAAATTATGGGGTCCTTTCGCCACCACCCCCTTATTTCTGGAACTTGTAATACTTGTACTTTAAGGTCTTGCTTTTGAATTTTCTCTAAAGTTTTTGATTTTTTTGAAATTTTACGAAAGTCTCGGGGCCTGCGGCCACTCGCATGCGTTTCCAAGCCTAATTCTAGTGCTCTGGCTAACAATGAATCAATAAGTTTTTACCTGAAACACCAGAAATGACAATAATTCACTACCTAACAAAACTCTACCTAACAATATGCTCTTTCAGAATTTGCGGTCTCTTTATGGAAGCTCACAAACAGTTCACACTATTTCCTTTTCAGAAGTCATTTATCTGCCGGTGTCGTGCAGGAACCACTCATTTTTTGCAGGACTATCCTTTCTATACAAACTCACGTTTGCAACATTCTTTTGGGTGTGACTTGGCTGAGCACAAATGTAAAGATCAATACGTATTAGCCGCTTGATAAATTATATTGGTTGTTTTGATAGCGCCGTTTTATCAATTGACGCCGTAAAAGAGGCCACCTTTGATTTCCGTCTCCATATAACATTGTTTTATGAGTGTCGCTGGTGGAGCTATCACTAGTCTGTCTGGAGAGTCGCTGGAATGATTTCGCTGACATGCACTATGCAAAAAGTTTATCTTGTCCTGTGAAATTTTTGGCTTTTTTTCACCGTGCTAATGGCTTTGGGCTGTCGCTCTAACCGTGACTGTTTTTCCACAGTGCAAACGCCAAAAATAATTCCAGCGATTTTCAGGAGGGACGTTGCTTAATTTTTGGGGATCATGTTTGGTCGGAAGCGTTGCGCCATTGTTGGAGCTGGAGTTTCTGGATTGCCAAGTGCAAGGTATCGGAGGTTGAGAAGTTTTGTTTAACCTTTTTACAAAGCCGATGGAGAGATTTCAACGGCTCAAACTTACAGTGAATGTCGCGAAAACCACTCCATCAACTCAGCTACAGCGGACCTGATCCAGTGGCAAAAAACATACCATTTTGCATCCCGGAAGTATCAAAAAAGTAGCAAAATACCTCCAAGTGAAAGACTCCGATTTCAAAAGCGCGCCCGCCCTTTCTGTGAAGAAAAAGCTCTTCAAAACGGAGTTTTTTCACTTATAGAGGGAGGTATTTTGCTGCATTTTCGATACTTCCCGGATGCGAAATGGTACGTTTTTTGCCACCGGTCCTCTACTGTAGCTGCCCAATAATTTTTTCGTTGATATTTATTCTTATTCACACAAGTTTCCCCTATTTTTTCAGATGGGCAAAGGAGTACGGGTATGACCCTGTGATCTTCGAGCTTCGAGATAATCTTGGAGGGCTATGGTATTACACTGACGACAAAACTGAATGTAAGTCGAGATTTAAGATGTATGAAGCTGTATTTTTTTACTAATCGCGCTCAAAAGTCCTGACAATTTTCGCACCGTGCGAAACTTTGGGTTTTGGACGTCGCCCCTGCAAATTCGGGTTCGTCGCGCGCAAAAAGTGCTTGTCGCTAGTGAAAAAAAGGGAAATTGCGGCGACAAATGCGAAATGAAAGAAGAGTGCACAGTGCGAAAGTTCGGTTTTTGGACGTCGCGCCCTCAAATTCGGGTTTGTCGCGCGCAAAAGTCCAGGTCGCTGCGAAAAGATGCACTGTGCGGATGAAATGAAAGAAGAATGCACGGTGCGAAAATTGTCAGGACTTTTGAGCGCGATTAGTATCGTCGAGTTTGTGCGGTAGAAAATTTTACATAGAACACGCCATTTCGTATCTACGAACATGTGGCTTTTTGGCGGATTTTGAAAACGGAATTAAACTTATAAACGACTGTTATTTGGATGGTTAATGTGCGGCCGATTATGCGAATAGTAACAAGAATAAAATGGCGAATTAGTGCATTACACATAGCATCACGAGGACCCCCGCAAAGGGTCCAATTTGGCGTTACACCAAAAGAGTTGACCTTGGAGTACATCCGCCGTTTTACAACCAGACTCAAACTTTTTTCACAGCATCTAATTTACATATTAAAATCTCACAAAGAGTCAAAAAAATGCATCATTTCAGTCAGTTGCGTCTCCAGAAAGACAATCATGAACACCTCCAAAGAAATGACAGCGTTCTCCGACTTCCCTCCGCCAGCGAATGCTCCGTGGTATCTGCACAACAGCCGTGGGTGGAACAACGAAAAAAATATAAAAATTATATTTTTTAGGCATGCTGGAGTACCTCCATGCGTACGCTGAGCACCATGATCTTCTGAAATATTGTCGGTTCAGTCATAGAGTTACTCGAATTGAAAGGTCGCCCAATTTTGATAAAACTGGAGAATGGATTGTTGAATTTCGAGACGGGTAAGTTTTTACGAGCTTAACATCAGTCTGTCGGGAAAATAATGAGCACTCTGTCGCAGCGAAAATTGCATTTCTGCGGAGAAAATGAGTTGTGTCGCGGAAAAATCAAATTATTTTTTTTTTCAATTAAGCGACGCGATTGGACATTGCGCTCATTATTTTCCCGACAAACCTATAATATACTTTCTATTCTATGGGTAGAAATGGTGAAGTAAAATCGGAAGTCTTTCAAGCCGTTCTACTGTGCACTGGCCGTCAGTCGGTCCCAAAAATACCGAACGATTATCCCGGACAATCCGGCTTCGAAGGGGGAATTGTTCACAGCAAGGATTGCAAGGTAGGTTTGACTAGTGCATCTCTTATTTTTACAATTTTTTGAGGAGTCATCATACAGTAGGGACCTGATCCAGTGGCAAAAAACGTACCATTTTGCATCCAGGAAGTATCAAAAAATGTGGAAAAATACCTCCCTCTCTAATAGTAAGTGAAAAAAGTCGGATTTTTTGGGCGCGCCCTTCAAAACGAAGTTTTTTCACTTGGAGAGGGAGGTATTTTGCCACATTTTTGATTCTTCCCGGATGCAAAATGAAACTTTCTTTGCCACTGGATCAGGTCCCGCACTGTAATTTTGAGTCGTAATAATTTTTTGAGTTCTCTCAACTGCAAGGCCGTTTTTTATTGCCTGTTAAAACTGATAACTTTACCATAATTTTAGGACTTTTCCCATTACAAAAACAAAAACGTTCTTTGCGTTGGCCTCGGGAATTCAGGTATCGAACAGACCTGCGAGATCAGTCAAGTGGCCAAAAAATGTTTCCTCAGCACTCGGAATGGGACTTGGATATTGGGCCGGATTGACAATGACATCCCCATTGATATCATGGCCAACACTCGACTTATCGCTTACTTGGGAAAAATTCTCGGACCCAGAGCCTATGGGTTTTTGATCGAGAGGATGATGAGGAAAAGTTTCAATCATCAAATCTATGGGCTGAAACCGGAGCATCGAGTTATCAATCAAAGCCCAGCGGTGGTAAGTACATGTAATGACGCAGTAAAATCTCTGTAAAACTCTATAAAACAACCTTTTTCCAACTGTTATTTTCCTAGATCTCCGATGAGCTGAAACTTCGTCTGGCCAGCGGCCAAATCGCCGTCAAACCCGGGCTCAAACAGTTCAACTCAAATTCAATCGAATTCGTTGATGGATCAGTTGAACCGATTGATGAGGTCGTATTTTCAACAGGCTATAGCTGCTCGTTCGAATACGTGGAAGATGGAAAACTTATACCAAAAGATTACGAGAAACTGGATTTATGGAAAAATATGTTCCCTGTCAGTTTGGCAGAAATGGAGAAGCCTCCAACCTTGGCCGTTATTGGATTACTTGAGGTAAAAGATTGTTCTTTTAAAATGCAAAGTTTTTGAGTTCCGAGGTTCAGATTTTGATCCTATTTTCTATTATATTAAAAATGTATTATACGTACAAGCAAGCCCGAGAGAACGGCGACTACAGTCATTTTAGCCTCGTTGTACAGAGGCTTGACCGTACTTTTTTATACAGGGTGGTTCCGCCGAAGCTTCCAACCATATTTCAAGTATTTCTCCGCCAATAATGCACCAATTTCTATAAAATTTAAACCAAACTGAAGCTGAGGCACCCCATTTTTTGTTCACGAAACATGACGGGCCCAAGTTCACGGAGGCTCCCGTACTGACCCTTAACATTTTCGATTTTGGTCGCTGTTTTCTGGTACTTTGAGATTTACAAAAGCCTTACTCTACCCCGTTTTCAGCTGACCGGTTCGCTGGGTCCGGCCTCCGAACTTCAAGCCCGCGCCTTCTTCGAAGTAATCACCGGCAATATCAAGCTCCCATCCACAGATCAGATGGCTTTGGACGTCCAAAACGCCCATAAATCCCGACGCCTTGCCTTTTACACTTCCAAGTCAAGTTTCACGAAGATCCCTTATATGGATTACATCGAAGACATGTCAAAATTTATTGGCTGTTATGCCGATCCGTCCAAGCTTTTTTGGAGCGATCCCAAACTAGCGTATCGACTGGTCTTTGGCCCGGAACTACCGTACGCCACACGGTTAATTGGGCCGTTCAAATGGGAAAAAGCGAGAGATTTAATTCTGACGTTGGATGAGAGACTGGTTTTGGAAAGTTCAAAGTGTAAATGTGACGGCAGGACTTCGAAAAAGTCAAAAATTGTACCTTTCCTTGTAAAAGTCTCTTTTTTCTTATCCATTATTGCTATTCTTGTCAAGGTTTTATCCCAAATTGTATAAATTGACGCCAGAGAAGAGTAACTCTTACCATAAAAACAAGTCGGTTTATAAGGGCAGTTATTTTACCAGAAGGACACACACGGAGCTATAAGTTGCTTCTAGAAATGTGTTTTTATTTAATTACCATTTTTAATAATGCCAATTTGGCCTAACAACTTCCTTCCATGTAAAAAACATGTTTTTGTATGGATAATTGAGGTTTAACGTTGTTTTGGTTGAGCCAAGCGCGGATCTTTGTCCAACGACGCGTATAATATTAGGGTGTCCCATAAGTCTTGTGTGTTTTTTGGGCTGTCTACTTGAGCCAATTATTGTAAGCTTTGTGACGCATTACAAGATATGTTGAATATACGGTTTTGAAGCTGATAAACTGCGCTTTTAAACCGTATATAACGAAGCTGCAGAAAATCTACCTTCTGCCCGCACTACCCCTATATTGTACTAGACATTAAAATCGCTATATAAGTTTTGTGGAGGTCTGTTTAAGCTTGAAACTATAGCCTCCTCATGGACCGTGCAACCAAAAAAAGTCTGCAATTTCGTAAATAGCAAGACAATTAGGTCTAGAAAAGTTGAAATTCGTATCAAGACGCAATTAAGATCTAGCGTTTAGACAAAGGACGACTTTTTTTTGACATAAGCCGTAAAAGGTAAAGTACACCGGATTAATAAGTGGGTCGGAAAGTCTGGTATGTCTGTACTGTGTGGAGACCTGCTCAACATAATCTTTATATCACTCTGTCGGGAAAATAACGTGAATTTGTCGCAGCAAAATTTCTCGCCTTACCAAATCCCCAGCCTCAACTAGCCTTCGCAAAGCGATGATGTGCGATTTTGCCGCGACGAATCCACATTATTTTCCCAACAGATTGATATAAAGATATATAAAACCCATATCCCAAGGGCACAATGCAAATACGTACCAACACTTCGGACCCATCTTCTACTCTTATCTGCAAAATATGTAACATTCATAAGCTCATAAACACCCTGACGGTCGCATTAAAAAGAGGTCTATGAGTTCGCTCCGCGAGCTTTAGAAAATTAGTACGTTCTGCCCGTATTTCCGCCAAAACATATATTGTTAGGAAAATTGGGACATGTCAAGTTTAGCCCTCATTTATGCTAATTGTCAGTTTGGTCGGGGCGTCGTACCTCAACAGATTACATCACCATGTCATACGTAATACGTTTAGAAAGTAACATTTTGACATTGCTTTTAAATGCTTGTCATAAACTCCACTGCAATAAAAAGAAACTCCGTTTTGAAATGCGCGCCCTTTCCCTCACAAAAAAAGCGGGAGCATTTTTGAAATCGGAGTTTTTTCACTTGGAGAGGAAGGTATTTTGCTGCATTTTTGATACTTCCCAGATCCCAAAAGTACGTTTTTTGCCAATGGATCAGGTCCGCCACTGTATGTATATGCATAACAAGGATAGGGCTCGACGTGCGACGTTCAGATTTTTTTAAATTTTGAATACACATCGAGCATAGGCAAGATATCAATACCATAAAATTTTAGCTCGCCCTTGACAAGTGTAGCATCAATTTTCAGCAATTTTTCCCAGCGAGGGAGTACGAGAAATGCGGAGAGGGTCATAGAAAAAATTTTTGGCCGTATCCTTGATACGCGTGGGAAAAAAGGATATTTTGTGTAAACATTACCACCCACAGTAGAAAACGGTATGAAACCTTTCGTGCCGAATTTGTAAAAAAGTATCACATTTTTGCCAACTTTAAAAAAATCCCAGGGAAAGACACTTTTTGCCATTTCTCTGCCAATCGAAAAGCATTGACTTTTTGTAATCAGAAATAGATTTTTGAATTTTCAACAACTTCCGGATTAAAAATCTCGGCTATTTCTGGAAAAATTGAGATACATATTATACGTATTACTGCGCTTTTTCAAACGTACATAAACTTTTTTTCCGGTGCATTTCATTTTGCCACTTGTTTGCTTTGTGCTATGTCTGTCGCAAAATTCGCCGCGACCCAGTTGAAAAAAGGGCGCTACGACTTTTCGGGTCAGCGACAGTCCGGGTCAACGATACTGTGGATGCTATGGATCGCATCGAGTCGTTGTATGCATGGGGAGGCTAGAAGAAAGGTTAGTTAGTAGAAAAAGTAAGATATATTAAGTCCTAGGTAAACTTATCATCCATTTCGAGGTAATATTTTACATGTACTCACAGGAATAATAAATATCTAAGTAAAAGTCACGGATCTCTGTTTCTTGTCGCAAATTTTGGTCTTTTACTTGCTACAACAACTTGGTAATAGCTAAAATTAGAAAAACCGGGTATATTACAAGTCTTCGCCAAGTCTCCGCCGAGCGTCCGCCGACCATCCAACGGCTTGCGAGGCCTCGTAGGCACTTCCTACAAACTTTTTTTGGGGTATTCATCGACGACCCATATCGACCGATTTTGTGTTGACCAAAACTATGTTCGACCCTATACGTTGCGACGATTTTCGATTTGCACAGGGCGAAAGTGAAGTGTACAGTTTGAACAATGTTTTGAAAAAGCGTGGTACAAATCGTGATACAAATCTTCCACGTGTCTTCGGAAAACTTTCTCTACATTTTGTGCGTTAAAGTGTTATAGTTTACAACGTTTACACTAAAATTCTGAGTATATTCGAAAGTTTAATTTGCAAAATTGTCAACAACACGTTTCTCAAAAAACAAGTGCGGTAATCACTCATACAGTACACCATAACATTCAAAACAAAGCGTGCAGTGCAAGGAGTTGAATTTCATTTCCCGTGAAATTACATTTTTTTTGGTTTACAACAATGGCCAGCGGTCGTTTCAATGCAAGTAAGATGTTTGCGTTTTCGGGGTTCAAAAAACAGAGGACGAGTAAACAGAGTGTAACGTTTGTAAGGTGTGGGCGCCAGTGAGTTATGGGCTACAACTACAAAATTTGAAGCCAGCAGCTTGAGAACTATGGGCTACAACTACAAAACTGTACGATTTGTTGGGTGGTCGTGCAACGAAAACTAATTCAAAAATCGTCTTTTATCGGTGCAAATACTCAACTACATGTATTTGACATACTTTCAATCTCTTTGTTTCATCCGGGTTTAACAGAAAACGTAACGAAAAATGAGTTCGTTGATGTGTTTTGTTGAGGATTGGTCTCGACTTTAAACTCTGATACGACTATTTTTGACGTCCCCACAAAAATTTGTTTTTGGCAGGGATCTGGCCTGCCAAAAAAAAGTTTTTTCTCTCTGACCGCTCTCCGCATTCCGCATACTCTCTCTACCGCAAAGATTGTTGAAAATCTCGGCTGAAACTGTAAAGCGCGAGCTAAAACCTTCAAGAATTCACATGTTGCATATCCCCAAAGTGCGTGCAAAACGTGAAGAAAATCTAACCGTAACACTCGGAGTACTTCCCTTGTAAATGGCTCGAATACGTGCCTTGTTGTAATTATGCTTGCCATGAATCACATAAATAATATATTATACGTTTACACTTTTTCTAGTTGTTAGCACTATGTATTCTTCTTGGAATAGACGTATTTTTTAATGCGCATATTAGTATTTTTACAGAATGCCTGGACATTTTGTTGTGATTCGCAAACCCCAATTTTGCACCGTGCAAATTCACCTTTCTTTAATTTTCGCATTGTGCACTTGAAATATCGCTGCGGGCAGCCGACATTTTTCGATTCGATTACGATTTTCCTCCCGTGGTCTGAATTCATCCATCGCTTTCAAAGTTATGGGAGTTTGCTATCAAAAATGGTTAAAAAAGCCTGGTCAACCTTATGGTAACAATTCCACCATTTATACACCTTAATTCGCAACACCTAACTAGCAAATTCATCGTTTGAATTTCTTGTTGTAAGCAGATGTTGGTTGATTTCCAAACATGCCCGCAGAATCCCTATGGTTTTTCTAGCTGCCCGCAAAGTGGTTGCGCGCAAGTGTAGCCCCGCCGCTGCGACGCAAAACATTTTCAACTGATTCGCCGCGGTGTTGCTGAAGAATTTGCATAGGGCAAAAGGCTGTTTTGTGGGCTGCACGGTGCGATGAAAGAAAATGCACTGTGCGTTTGCGACATGTGCGAGAAGAATTTCAAAATGCGCTGTGCAAAAGCGAAAAAAATGTCCATACACTTTATGAAAATGCTACTATTCTCCTTAGCCATATTCGTATTCTAATTGGGAATTTGCGAAATATTAGGGCATTCGTAATCTCCGATAAATTCGAACGCTAAGGAAACGGGGGAATGTTTGACGTAATGCGCTAAAAAAGCCCATAAAATTGCTGTTAAATCTGTTTTACCACACACGTTTCAATGTCCCAATAACTCTTGTTAAACGGTGGCCGTGCTGCACAAAAAAATTACAACTGAAAAGGGAAATAGTCGAAGAGCGACGCTCAGATTTTAATGAAACTTGGTACCAATTTCATAACGTTTCCTCAGGGATATGCGAGATCGCCTTTAAATGGGTAAAATTTTATCAGTCAGTCCGGAAAATAACGCAGATTTGTGGCCGTAAAATGACAATCGCCCACCATGGCTCCAGCTTTGGCAAGCCGGCGCAAACCGATGATTGGCGGTTTCAAGGCGCGACGAATCCACATTATTTTCCCGACTGACTGATACACAAAAAACGGAAATGTCTTCTGTAGTCCGGGCGCCCTCCGCATTTAGCCTACTCTCTCGCGGCCAAACGTTTTTGAGTTTCTGGCTCTCCCTGCAACGCACGAGCTGAAGCTTACCTTTTTACATATTATCAGTCTGTCGGGAAAATAAGGCAATTTCAAATTGCTTTTCACTTCAGCGACGCGATTGGCACAGCGACATTGTGCATTTTCCCGACAGACTGATATGTTTTCGTTGACAGACGTTAACGTCCAGCTAAGCTGAGTTGTCATGAATTTTATGTTCATTGTACGTAGGAGCTCACTCGCGTTTAAAGTACCGACACAGTTCCTATGAATCATTACGGTGTGCAAAAAGTGATGACGAACGATTTTCTTCACCTACTGTACAAAAGGCGTTGTGAAAAAAATTACGTTGACATTTTGCTCATAATTATTTTATTGTTTACAATTTAACCCTTTTCGGAGTAGGTTATGAAAACTTTTAACATTTAGTTTTCGGATTCGTAAAAAGCGAGATTCAAAAGTTGTTGTACTGGCCTTTTGGAGTCGATTTCCGTGTTTAGCGAGAAATCTAAGTATACACCAGAATATACGACGTAAAACGGTTTTTTCTGACCACTACAAAATGATTAAAAAAGGCGCAAAGATCCGTTATCGGATGTCCGTTTTTTGGACCACCTTGTTCGATTAAAAGTGCAAGTTTTGTAATAACTTGTCTGCCCTCTTCGAGCTCCTTGGCAGAATTCCGCGTTATTAGGAACGCTTTATACGTACAGTAGTCGCGGAAAGAAACATTCAACACAGCCGCCGAAGGCAACATTCGTAACCTAATTACCGGTGAATGTAACACTGATTACATACGCATGGGCCCGGCCTCGTATCCGTAGTTTCTGGCCTGACGCGGCCGCTCCGCGGTACAGTAGCTTGTTCCCGAACCGATTACTATAATTATGTTCAATATGAAGATAATTAAAGTTCTTTCCCGACAAACAGACAGCATAATTATCTAAGTCACACTTGTAGTCTTCGGTCCACGTTACCAACGAAATTTTTGTTGAAACTTTTTATTCGTAATTCTAATCATAGGTTACGTAGCCTTAATTGTTCCTAATTTGCAAACAAGATGCTGAATCACAACGTATTCTATGCGTACGCTCCGAAGGTTTCTGTTCCTATTAGATCCCCACGACGACAGTATCGCGGATTTATAAAAACGTAATTATAGTCATTATACCTCCGATATATCTTTTTTACAACTGTTACACTCATGACTGCCCCATTAAGGCATGGCTCTACGGCTCCGCCCTCCGGGAACTCTGTAAATTATAAACCACCGGAGTCGTCGATGTTGCGAGTGTAGACTAATTTCGACTGTAGTACAAAACTTTATTACGGCTCGAGCGGCGATGCCCATACTCAACGTTGAGGACGTCCTTGAGATTTTCTTTCCTTCCGACTTCGACGTCATCCATCCAAACGCATCGGACTACAATCCATTTGCCTGGGATTTGCCGAACAATGGGACTGGCCTATTCACTGATGGACACTATGACTCGATCTCACTTTTCACGGCTTTCCACAAAGTTTCACATTTCGTCACAACGATTATTGGGGGAATGTGTTCGATCACTTTGTTTTACTTGGTCTTGTTTCATTGCAAAGGAGTTTTGGGGCAGTATGGGAGAATGCTGCTGCTTTGTTGTGTTTGCGACCTGACTTATTGGCTAGTGGAAAGCTTGGTGAATGTGGTAAGTCATACAACTTATTTTTAGTACCTTGTATGAAGCCATTAACGTATTCTTGGAATATAAAGTTTTTTCTTCGTATTTCTTCGAAAAAATTTGAGTATATCAGTCTGACGGGAAAATAATGTGGATATGTCGCTGTTTCGTCTCGTCGGAGTCGCACACCAAATTTGCGGCCACAGCTAACCGCCGTAAGGCGATGATGGGCGATTTAAAGGAGCGACAACCCACAACTTATTTTTCCGACAGACTGATAGGTAAAAATAAGCATGAATGTTTTCATGGTAGAACTGGCAAAACAATTTTCAACATTGTTTTCCTCGCCAGACGGATAGACGACCCCTTACTAGGTTTTTCGACCTTAAAGAAAGCGTATAAAAACATATTTCTACATTCAGAAAGAGAAGATGCGGACTTTGCGCCATGTATTATATTCGAATAGTCATGCATTCGCATACAACTAAACATTTGCCATATTTGTATCCGTACTCTGATCGGGAATTTGTCAAAAGTGTTGTAATGCCTGAACTATTCGAATATTTTATTCTCTGGCCTTCCGGGTTTCCAAGAATATGAGACCACCTTTCTTCCGTGTTCTAGCTATAACTGTTGTAATCTTTTCAGAAAACAAAAGTCAACGACGGATGTCTGATCGCTCGATTGGAAGGGGTGACCAAATTCACGTCCTACAACTCCCAGGCCTTCTTCACGTCCCTCTACGCAATGCAGCTCACAATGATGGTCACGATTTTGCCGTCGCAGTATTTTTATCGATACTGGTCGGTCTGCAAGTAAGTTGGAATCTTGATGTTTTAGTCGTAAATATCAGTCTGTTGGGAAAATAATGAGCACTCCGTCGTAGCGAAAATCGCATCCCCGTCGAGAAAATGAATTGTGTCGCAAAAAAAATCAAATTGCTTTTCACTTCAGCGAGGCGATCGGCGTAGCGAAATTGCCCTCATTATTTTCCCGACAAACAAATAATTGATATCATAAACGGTGCAAAGTTTGCGGGCGCGACATTTGCGGGCGTGACAATCTTAAGCGAGCTCACTTCCCCGAAGTGTTAGGCGTTGTTGTTGCTCAAGGTTTATTGTCGTTACCAAAAGGCTACCCATTCATAGCCTGTACAGTTACCTCTTCAGCAACTTCCATTGGTGGAAAGGGTCGCATAGGTTTCGCATCCACAATATACGTTCACAACTTTATGACCATAATTACCGCGTATGCAAAGAACTTCCCGCAAAACCGGCGATCGCAAATGGTTGTCCGCAGATGCAGGCGCATTACCAAATCATCGTACATTCTTATTTTCTTTTCTCTAATCCCCATAATATTCAGCTCCGAACCTTTATCAGCATGGCAGACCTTTGGACTCTACTGCATTTCCTTATTCTTCGCAATTATTCTGGCCGTCCTGGCGTATCCATCATATCGATTCAGCGGCCTAGCCCGGCCCGATTTTAACTATGGAACTCTATGGTATAAAGAGCAGCCATTGCCACCATTGATGATAGCCGACTTTGTAAGTGATGAACTTTTAAGATGAAATTTTTCCGGGTTCAGTCAAGTGTATATGCACAACGATATCTGATCTATTGCGTTAGCGCCTTCATCGTCAGCTATGGAATCTGCCTTATTCTCGCAATAAAAACTGTGAGGTTAATGGCGGAGAACGAACAAATGTACAGCAGCAAAACAAAGAGGATGCAAAAGCAGCTGACAATAACGTTGACTTTACAGGTAAGGAAAATGAAACCGACAGAAATTAGGAGTACAATCTTTATACCAAAGCGAACTTCCACTACGCTTTTTCAAAAGTGCGTAGACTTTGTTCGCCATCTCAGCACAAAACGCGTACTTCGCTTTCTTAGCAGAGCGGATCCTTGAAAAAACCGCTTGCACTGTTCGAATGCCACGGTAAAACCGCGACGTAGTTGAAGAAAATTACGGTGACATTATACATGTGTAATAATAACTATTTTACGATCTTCCGGCTTTTTTTCGTGGCAGGAGACTTTTTTTACATTTCGCTCTTTCAACGCACTGTGAAAATTACGTTTATGTCCAAAACTCATCCGTATTTTAATATGCCCGTACTAATATGTTCGTTTCCATTTCTAATATAACTGTTTTCAGACCCTAATGCCGTTATTTATCTCGTTCGGCCCAGTGGTCTGCGTCTGCATCGGATGTTTCTTCCGCGTCGACACTGGAGTCATGTCGCTTGTCGTTTTGGGTTTCGCCTCATGGATTCCGGTCGTAAATCCGGTGCTCACCATCTGGGTGATTCAACCATTCCGGCGAACCGTCTTCAGATGGCTTTATATCAAGGTTGGCGGCGTAATAAGTCAGGAATCGTCGTCGGTGAAGAAAACAACCAATGGTCGACCAACAACGTCAATCGCGTCGGTCAGAGGCTTTAAATAAGGAATAATTGTCACATATTATTTGCGTGCCCGCGGGTTTGTATTGTGTAGACTCGGACAAGGTTTGATAAACAATAAGAAAACAAAAACAAGTGTGAAATATTGCGTCTCAATTTTGGGGAAAGCTCAATACTCTCGTCAGCTACCACATGTGCATGACATAGCTAACTCACAAGGGAAGTATGCCATGTGTGACTCTCAAATTTATTCAAATTTTTCACGCACGTCGACCATGTTCCACATCAGTTCCGGAAAGTTTTAGTTCGGACTTTGCTGGGACAGTTGGGATAGTGAACAACCTTTGTAGCCAGACCAAACTTCGGCTCGACAGATAGAAATTCGCATCTGATGCTTCCGAGAACTACAAATCCAGATTTAGCTGGGTTGATCTTTTCAACCCAACTTCTTGCAAGGTTTCATAGGCAACATTAACTATTTCATTGCACCTGTTATAAGTACTCAAATGCATTACGAAAATTAAGAAACATTGCCAATTGATATATTTAATTCCAAGTTATTTGATTATTTAAAAATCCTGTTACGCGTAATGTAAATATCTTTATCGTACAAGCAAGCCTCAAGCAGTTAGAATAAGTAGAAGGTTCCGCCCACAGAAAGCAAATAGCTAAAAGATTATTCTAGTCATCGTTCTAGGACAACATTTGACTCTACACAACTCCTATGACCATAATGAATATTGAGGATGCTGTGGAGCTATACTTCTCCACAGAATTCGATATTCTCCATGAATCTCCGTCGGATTACAATCCGTATGTTTGGGATGTCCAACGTAATGTGACTGATTGGTACACTAACGGTCATTATGACTCGATCTCACACCTTACGGCAATTCACAAAGTTTCACATACGATTACCATGATTATTGGAGGAGTTTGTTCGACTACCTTATTGTACTTGGTACTCTATCATTGTCAAGGGGCCTTGGAGCAATACCGCAAAATGCTACTTCTCTGTTCTGTATGCGACATAGGCTATTGGCTACTGGAGAACATGGTTAGCGTTGTAAGTAATGTAAAAAGACGTGATTAGAAACTGCAGATCCTTTGAAATTATGTCGTACACATCATGGCTTTTAACCTCTGTATTTTGCAGAAAACGAAAGTAAACGACGGTTGTCTGATCGCGCGTCTGGAGGGAATCGTTAAATTTGCCTCATATGATACGCAGGCGTTATTCACCGCGCTTTACTGCATGCAGCTCACAATGATGGTGACCATATTGCCGTCCCAATACTATTACCGATATTGGTTGGTGACAAGGTTCGTATTTACAGCTACATACATTTCTTTAACGTCTACAAACCGTTGCTTTATACTGGTTGACAAAATTTTCTTTCCACCTCGTATCTCGGGAACCGCTAGGCCTAGAACCTCCAAATTCGGCATAGAAACGTCCTAGGACAGTCTAACACCATTCCCAAAAAATCATATCATTTGATGCACTTTACATTCCCTTTTTCCAAAAAAGGCAAAAACCCGGATGACAAAATTTTCTTTCCACCTTGGAAAAAAACGTTTGTAACTCATAAGCCAGAGGGTATTAAGGCATGATTGTGGTATCGTTGTGTTCGCGAAGAAGTCCTCTCTCGATTGATGTCACAACCTTACGGGGGTTTTAGTTTCTTTGCCCTTGGGCGTCGGCTCATCGTTGCCTTGTCCATTTTCAGCCAAATTCGTGGCCAGAGGAGCTCGCATAAGGCACAAGGAGATGAAAATACCTTTAAAAAATCTGGCATTCATGTTTGCAACATTGTTTCCTCCGGCAGTAGAATTCGATTTAATTTAAGTGCGTTGCAGGGGAAAACGCGCGCTTCCAGGGTTCTCGTTACCAGAAAATTACGCTATTATGGGAACACTGCAGATAATTCAAGTAACTTTTCCTCCTTATATATTGTCTATGATACTACAGAGTTAAAGCATAGTGACGGTTTTAATCACTGATGTCGCGCTTAGATGTGAGCAGAAGAAAGGTCCCAAACGCCCCATGTACAAAATTTGCGACTCCAAGCTTCCTGCGCAAGCTATTCGTCGTGGAAAAAACGTTGAAGGCCTGTCAAGGTCAATGTATTAAAGTAGTCTGGTAGCCAAAAGTCCTAATATACCAAGCTTAAGTAATGCCAAGGCCTAGTGCAACAACCTGCGTTACTTGAGACGACATAGACCAGAGAGGGGTAAGATAAGCTGGTAGATTTCAACACATGCTGTCGTATAAGCCCTAAAGTACGTCGTATGAAAATGGATGTAATTTGGACGTTTCCATTCTGTACAGAAGTCATTCTTCGGTTTTGCGGACCCAGGCAGCGTTCATTTTCCCCTGCAACGCACTTAAATTAAATCGAATTCTACTGCCGGAGGAAACAATGTTGTAAAAATGAATGCCAGACTTTTTAAAGGGATTTTCATCTCCTTATGCCTTATGCGAGCTCCTCTGGCCACGAATTTGGCTGAAAATGGACAAGGCACCGATGAGCCGACGCCCAAGGGCGAAGAAACTAAAACCCCCGTAAGGTTGTGACACCAATCGAGAGAGGACGTCTTCGCGAACACAACGATACCACAACCATGCCTTAAAACCCTCTGGCTTATGAGTTACACACGTTTTTTCCAAGATGGAAAGAAAATTTTGTCATCCGGGTTTTTGCCTTTTTTGGAAAAAGGGCATGTAAAGTGCATCAAATGATATGATTTTTTGGGAATGGTGTTAGACTGTCCTAGGATGTTTCTATGCCGATTTTGGAGGTTCTAGGCCCAGCGGTTCCCGAGATACGAGGTGGCAAGAAAATTTTGTCAACCAGTATAGGTCTAAAGCTTTGTCGGCTTGGCAGACGTTTGGTCTATACTGTATATCCCTGTTCTTTGCTCTTATCATGTTGTGCGTGGCATATCCAGCCTTTCGATACAGCGGTCTGGCCCGACCTGGCTTCAATTATGGAGCTTTATGGTATAAAGAGCCGCCGTTTCCAACATTGCTCATTTCTGATTTTGTAAGTTCCAAAACAATGCTTCTTCCTGTTTTCTTAACCTTACAATTTCATCCATTTCAGACCAGTGTTTACGCTCAACGCTACCTATTCTACTGTGTCAGCGTCTTCGTTGGAAGTTACGGAATTTCTCTGATTCTTGCAGTGAAGACGCTGAGATTATTGGCCGAGAACCAGGAGGTATACGGTGAAAAGACAAAGAAGATGCAAAAACAACTTACTTTGACGCTTGCTTTGCAGGTAAGACGGCTGTTCTGATGACTTTGACTAGCCTTTGGGGTTTTCTAAGACTTCTTCGGCATCTAGGATAGAGCTAATCTGTCAGAAAATTTTTTTATTGCCTTCCTCCAGTCGTAGTGACTCGTATGTATCGTTAGTGACATTGTGTCATGCGATAAAAATCTTTGTCGAGGAATAACAAACCCTGACAGTACAAAAGGGAGTCATCACTTTTCCTCATTGCTCGGGGTCCCTTTGAGGTCGAAATTTCGCAATTTCGAAGGATGTTTGAAGTTTCCTGAAAAAGCTAGACGATGTGTTATCTTTCCTTTCATACATATAGATGATATGTCTGAGTCCATGCGGGTGTGATTAATATTTACGTCAATCATGTCCCTTATTGTTTGTTGCTGTCATTGCGGTGCTTCGATTAAGCAGCTACGAAATACGGTAAACCCGATTCACCAACATACTGTCCCACCATGCTATACTTCTGTACCAAAATTACGTCTGGAGACTCCTCGTCCCATCGATAAGTCTTGGCGTGCAAATCTTCCCATCTCTCCATCACTCTCACAAAGTGCTCGTACGACGTCCATGTCTTCCATGATGCCACGAACATCCCTCGTGACTTGCCTTCCAATGATCGTAAATCGCGTCGCCACTGATTCGGAATGTGGGACACCATGTCCCCTGGACACTTCCCTTACTCCTTTGAATAAGATGTGTTGATCCAAAATGGTCTTTGAAACATAGTACTCAGTTACCAGAATTAATGTTCCGAGATGGAGAGTTCCGGTGACCGAATTGGATGATTTCGGGGTACGTCCGTACCTGTCCACCGTTGTCGTTCCAATGGAGACTAGTTCATTGGTATAGAGAATTACGTACATTTGGTTTGTAGACCATGGTCGTCCGGTAGTTTCGGTTGACAAAAACTTATGAAAAGAAGGACACGCAAAGACTTCATACTTCTTGTGCATCTCATTTACGGTCATGCGTCTATCAAATCTGCCGTCGACGATTTCATTATAACTGGTTCTCTAAATTAAAGGTAGCCCTCTGAGCACCGGGGTTGCGAAGGATTGCAATTCTGTTGCCGCAAGTCTACGACATTGTTCCCCGTTCCTGCCAATTGTTGATTCAACTCTCGGTTGATGTCCTCTAGTTCCTGCCACCACTCTTCGATTGGCCTCTTCCCTTGTAGATTTTGACGATATCCTAGGGCTGCATTTCTTCTTCCCTGAAGAAATGCTGATTTAATTGTTTGTCTCCTCCAAGATTTCTTAAGCAGCTCTATTCCTTACCGGAACTACGAAGTGGGGTTGGTGACTTCTGATGATGTATAGAAGGGGATATGACAAGTATGTTGTTACGAAGGTTACCTCGAATGCTGCTTAGAGACTGCTGCTTGATGCAAATCGGAAAAATCTCTTGACATAGATCTTCACCTAAAAAAAGAAAAAAAACTTACCTTACAAAACGACGTGCCTCTGTCTCCACTATACGCCTTCACAGGTTACTTCCGCATCTTCCTATGCCTGCTAAACTCCGCAATGCTAAAACTCAAATAAAACGCGATCAAAATGCAGCAAACACGGCTAGAACTCGCCAAGCTTACGATCACAAATGGAATTGGATCAAAAAAAGTGACTAGGGAGGGAGATCTAGGCTAGAGATCGGTTATTACGAGCATGTCTTTACCCTTTACTAATCAACAACGTTTCCCGGAAAAGATTATACAAAACTATACATCGACAACACAGAACAACATACTACAACGCGATCCCGCTTTTTTATTTGCCAATTTTGGCAGAATTTTTTGTTTTTCTGTCATTTATCACAGAAAACTTAAACTTCGCATTCTCTTTATGCGTTTCTTGTCATTTTGACATATAACATATACTCATTATTAACAACAAATTTAATAACCATTTTTTCAGACACTAATGCCCCTTCTGACCTCTTTCGGGCCAGTAGTCACCGTTTGTGTGGGCTGTTTCTCCCGGATGGACACCGGAATCATGTCTCTGGTTGTGCTATGGTTCAACCCATGGATTCCGGTGCTCAACCCAATGCTGACCATCTGGGTTATTCGACCGTTCCGCAAGACCGTTTTTGGATGGACTCATCTTAGAGTCGGCGGAGTTTCAGGCGCAGAATTTTCGTCAATGCAAAAAATGAAGAGTCCCGCTATCATGAACTACAGCGGAACAATTACAAATTGAGAGAAAGATATTATATGAAATTAGGTATCTAAAATAATATTTTTTTCTTTTTTAAAAAAGTTCATGCAAAGCCTGAACATGCAAATTTTTTAGGCCTGTTTTCCGAGCTGCGCCCTAGAATATTTTTTTTCTGCAAAGCGTAAAGTTTCAATTAGCTCATATATGGCCTACCCAGAGCAAAATTTTAAGGAAATATGACGGCCATACCTCTACTTTTGCTAATTTTTTTTCAAAAACCACTTTTTTGAAACTTTTGAAAACTTAAAGTTTATTTGTTACCTTATCAAAAATAAACGAATAATTATTAAAAATTATCGATTATCAACAAAGTTAAGACATGCTTCAATTAAGACTACCAATAATTTCAAAGATTTGCTTAAAATAATTTACTAAATTCGAAAATCAATTTTTTGACTGGATTTTTTAAAACGCTAACTCGATTCTTCTTATTTCACGATTACAAAATTCAATTAAAAAAACAGCTACAGACTTCCACAAACTCGTAAAAAAAATGACCAAAATTCTAAAAATAAATGAAATATTCAAGGAAATGCAGACATTTAGCGGAAGTTGAACCCATAACGTAAGGAAGTTGGATATAACATTTACTTAGCGAACGATAATTGTGGGGGATTGGGATCAGTTCAACAAGATAATTATAAAAAAAATAACCCTTGATTATTTAGAACACGTAGTCGGCTTCGGCCATGTCGATGGCCCAGCGGAATTTCTCGCGTTGCGTTTTGTTGAAGACTTTTTCGACCGGCACGTCGTACTTCTTGCACCAGGCCACCGAGATTCGCGGGTCGAGATAGTTGAGTTTGGAGGTGCCGAGGGCGATTTGTTTGTTTTCGTCCTGGAAATTGGAAAAAAAGATAAAAAAATATCAAAAAATAAATTTCAAATACCCTAGTGTCCTGCCCTCCATGTAAAAATTGAAAAAAAATCTATAAAAATCAATTTTCACCCATAAAAATTATAAAAAAATATCCGCCTTGGTCCCCTCTTGCTCTATTTTCCCTCCAAGCTTACCCATGCCTCTATATTTGCTCTAATTTTTCCATAATCACAATTTTTTCCCTAAAAAAATCCACAAAACAAAAAAATTTCCGCTTTTTCCCTAAAAAATCGCTCGTTTCCCCAAAAAACCCCCCAAAAAATCAAGCCCCACCCAACCCGTACCTTATCCGTTCTTTGAATCTTCAACCTCTTCAGCTGTTCCTTGAGCCTGTCCACTTTTTTCTCGGCCTTTTCCTTGTCCTTTCCCTTGGCCTTCTCCAGGGCCAGCTTGGCTTCCTTCAGCTCCGTTTTCTTGTCTTTGATTTTGTTTTCCAAATTTTCCATCGACTTTTCGTGCGTCTTCGGGACGGCCCGTTGATGGTTACACAGCACGGCGACCATTCGGTTGGCTCTGTTGTAGCTGAGCATCTTTTCGTTCACCGACGCCTTAGGGTTTGTGAGCTCTTCCAGCTGATTTTGAAGGGTGATGGAGGCGTTGTAGGTACGGAACACCTTGGCGGTGAGGCCGGGCATCAGTGAGCGGAGATGTGAGTTCAGAGTGGACGTCTGAATTAGGGAAATGAGATGACTTTAGATCCAAATTATGTAAAAGAACCCCATTTTAGGCAATTTTTAAAAACAATCCACCTTATTTTAGACTGTTTTAGGCCATTATTTTACGTAATTTCTAGCAAACTGACCTTATTTTAGGTCGTTTTTAAAACAATTCACCCTATTTTAGACTGTTCTAAGCTCCAAAACCCTTATTTTATGTAATTTCAAGCAAAATCAACCTTATTTTAGAATGTTTTAGGATCAACATATCTCATTTTAGGTACCCAAATTATTCAAAATCCCAAAAATAATTCCACTTTAGGCCCTTATAAGCAATAAAAATCCGATATCAGCCCCTAAAAATCCCATTTCCCCTCAAAAACTTACATCCAATCGATCAAAAAGATCATCTCCAGGTTCCTTGTCTTCCTTGAAAATTTTCAAATTTTTGAACACTTGCTTTTCAACCGGGACCTTGTTGTAGTATCTGATTGAATCCTTACCCAGGAAGTCGAATTCCACGACATATCTGAAAAAAAAAATTATATCAAAAACATATGCCTAAATCAATATAAAATTGATGACTTTTAGTGAAAACTCCTACTTTTTTCCGTCCAATTCCTCGTTCAAAGTGACATGTTCGCATCTCAGCGAGCAACAACCCACAGTATCGGCCGCTTCGTCCGTATCTTTCTCATTTCCCGCTCTCAGAGCCAGCTTGTCGATGAAATATAGGGCCACAGCGCGCTGTCTTATTCTCATTTCGCGGTTCTTAAAGTCTTCAGTGTACTGCTTTCGGATCTCTCCGACCAATTTCTTCAATCTTCTCGCCGTTTCAAACTTCTCAAAGTCCTTTTCTCCCTTGATTTTGGAGGACGGATTCAACATGATATATTTGTTATTTCCAAGCACATTCTCGGTCCAGGAGCAGAGCCAGGTGACCGTGTTGTCGTGGCGGACCTGAAAATATAAGACTACTATTCAAAACGCCAAAAAAAAATTGGAAAATTCCCAACCTTTTATATTACACTAGGTATCAAAAAGGGTCTATATCTCAAAAATTACTCAATAAATTGTTGAAATATCAATTTTAAATATCATAAACAGGCTTGGTCTATAATGTAAAACAAAGACTTCCATGCAAATGACAAAAAATTATATTACACATGACGAAGGTCATGTGTAATATTCAAATCTGTATAAAAATCACCGAAAATGCTCTCGCTGTAAACAATGGGTTCAATTATTAATACTGACACACATACTGATCTCAAATTCAAAAAACTTTATATTACACATGATAAAGGCCATGTGTAATATTAAAACCTAAATAAAAATCACCGAAAATGCTCTCGCTTTAAACAATGGGTTCAATTATTAATACTGACACACTTATTGGCTTCATATTAATATATTTTTAAATTACACATGAGGTCATGTACAATATAATATTTTTCATCTTTCAACCCAACCACACACCCAATCGTTCTATCACGACCTAAAACACTCCAAACTCACCTCTTTCCACTTAGTTCCCGCTGGTGGCTCAGGAATGGCCGATCCCTTCGAGCAGTTTATGATCACATCTCTCGGCGTTATCCTCTTCTTCAGTTTTCCCATTTTCGGATGGTCTCCTCGACCTCTGAACAGCCCTGGAGGTTCTATTCTAAAGTTGGCAATCTTTTGTTTATGCCCATCGATGATCGCGAATCCATAAATTTTTGTCTCGGCTTCCTTTTCCTCCTTGATTTTTAGCTTCTCCTCCTTCGTCATATTCCTCCGTTTCTCAGTCTCCTCGGCGAAAAATGCGGCCATCTCTTTGAAATCGCACTTGGTTAGATCTGTGATCTTCTCCCTTTCCTCTGAGGTCATGGTTTTCCTCCAGTCCTTGAAGAAATTGTCGTTGAAAACCTTCTTGGAAGTGTACTCGTGGTCCAACATTTTTGCATAAAAAGTGGCGACCTCTTCGGCTTCCGGCGACAACTTTATCTCCTTCCCGTTGTAGCGGAACTTCACATGGCTCGGCAATGGATCATAGGCTGGCGCAAAGAGCGGGCCCTTGTGCTCCAGGGAGTTCCACTTTACTCCATCGGGTTTCTTCTCCTCTTCCCACCTAAAAATTGAAACAATAATATAACCAAACTTCTTTCGGAGGCTTTCTACACCTGCTGGAAGCAAAAAATCTTACCATCTCCAGACCTCCTCCTCTTCTTCGGTCTTCTTCTTCTTCTTGGGTGAAGAGTTGGCTGAGCTTGGCTCTTCTTTTGCCTTTCTCTTCTTCTGAGTATGCGCTTCAACAACTTCTACCTTCTTGGAAGACTTCTTGCTCTTCGACTCCTTCTTATCCTTTTTTGCTTTGCTTTTCTTCTGAAAAAATCAGAATTATATTATTTTAGGTGGCTTCACGGAAAAACTGTCAATTATAACGCTTGTAGAATCAACTAGATCCAATTTCAGTCAAAAACAGCAAGAATGCATCGTATTCTTTCTAACGATATAAAAATTCATCGAAAAAACAATAAATTAGTCGTTGAAAAAATAACTTTGCCTTCTGACATCATACATAATAAAAATTTCCCAAAGCTTTCGAAATTGTGGAAAAATTAAAAGACCGGAAGTTCCAAAAAAAGCTTCTAGAAAAATATCACGCCTAAAAGTCAACAACCAATGCTAAAAACTCCAACTTACCACGGGTTTAAAGTCGTCGTCATCATCGCTCCCCTGATAATCACTCTCGTCATCCGAATCCTTCTTCTTTTTCCTCTTGCTGGACTTCTTCTTGGGCTCGGGAGACTCGGATTTGGGCGAGATGTCGCGCTTGCCCGGTCGTTTCGTGGTCTCCTCCTTCTCCTGGCTGGCCTCGTGCGAGACGCGCTCGGCCCACGGAGTTTCGTCCTCCGAGGAGCTGGCCTCTTCCTCCTTGACTCGCCCGTTGTCCAGCGTCATTCCACCGTTCAGCGACTGCAAAAAACGACGAGTTCAGTGAGAGGACGAGGAGCAAAAAATAAATTTTTACTTAAAACACAATGCCAAAATTCGGGCAATTCGTGGTGGGACTCAAGTTTCTGAGGCGATGCGTTTGGAAAACAAAACAACAAATATTCCAAGTGCGGAAACTTCGAGACTAGTGGCTTTTTTTAGGTAAATGAATAACAAAAAAGCTTGATTTCGACACAATTTTTGGAGATCTTACCTTATCCTCGATCCCGTTTGATATCCCGTTTGATACAGCAACCGCAGCCATAAAGGTTCAGGTTTCTATACCTAAAACGGCTCCAAATTAACTCTTCTTGTAGATTGACGCGATAAATCGACCGAATTTATTTAATTCTCGACAAAAACAACCAATTTTCCGCGATTTTTTCGTATTTTTCCCTTTACTTTTTATTTTCATTTGAAAAAAACGAAAATTTGAGTCTCTATTGTCCTTCGCATTACCCGAGGACCTTATAAAAACCCCGCAAATCGCTTGATCATACATTTTTTGTTACAAATTTCTGTTATTTTCTGACTGCGCTGTCCGAAAAAAACAAAGCGGAGCTTCGATAGTGAGACGGCGAGGAAATTGACGGGGAGTGGGCTAATATGAGCGAATTTGTGCATAATTAGTCATTAAAATTAATTCACTGACCGATATTATTTTAGGTTCTGTTTTCATTGCATTAAAAAATGTGATTGCTTTACAGAATATGATTAATTTTACGACCAAAAACAAGTTAAGACGTCATAAAATCCATTTCAGACGTGGACTCCGTTTTTGAATGTCACAAAAACATAGTTAATGCGGCGAAAACGCCAATGGGGAAGAAAAATGGGAAAAATGGATGTTTTGATGTCTAGAATAGATATTTTGGGGGAAATCAAAGAGTACTAAGCTGAAAACAGGTAGCATTATTGTTAAATACACCGATCCATGCATGTTACTGACTATTCCGAAAAATTTTTTAGGTAAAAATGTCGAGAAAATCGATTTTCCCCCGATTTTCATACTGTAGCCCAACTTCCCAAGGCCATAACCATATTTTCATTGCAGTTACGGTCGAAAAGTTCTTGCAGAATTATTCTAGCTCCTCTACGGAATATCTAGACAAGTTTTTTTTAAAATTCGGGGGTATTCAAATGCCTTTTCAACCCATCAAAAGTGCCCTAATCCCCGAAAGCTGACCCATTTTTCAAGCCCAATTTTCGGTACCTCAGCCCTCGAATTGGACCAAAATTTTTATACAGCTAAAATCCACGCTCTTCGAAGCACCAGAAAAACACGTCACCCGCCCTACCGAGGTCCTGTATCAAGGCTTGTACGGGGTATTTTCACAAGTGCGCCGGCAGCGAGGGGAGGGCGAGAAAATGGTGGGGAAGGGACGGGAAAAACGACAAGTGTGGGGAATCGGCGGCGTTCAGCGGCTATGTCCGTACGGGTCTGTACTGGTGGCTCGGACTTAGAAAAATTTTCGCGTCTCTCCCCACACTTAGAAATTTTCGGGGGCTCCGAATTTTTTTTCTATGTTCGTCGCACCCCGACCGGCCTCGGTGCGGCGGCGGTTGGGGGCTGAGTCGGTGGGGCTTGTGGGTTTGGGGGAGCGACGGACTTGGTCGCGAAGGCCGTTGAGGCGAGAGAACGAGAGGGCGAACGGAAATAGTGGCCCTTTTCGCCGAGAAAACCTTGTTTTAGACGGCTTGAGGCGGTCTCTCCCGCTTTTCGCCGCTATTTTTTCTCTAATCGTCTGACTCCAGCACTCTCTTAACCCATTCTCTACGCTTTCCGCACAATATTTAGCGCTGTCCGGCTTCTCTGGCAGAAATGTTTCGTTCCGAACTTGAGCAGTTCTCCCCGACCGACTTCGAAATTTTTCGGTTTCTTCGAATCCGCGAAGAGAGCGCGCGGGGACAGGAGGGTGCCCCGGGAACGAAGAGAAATTATAGGGTGTGCACAGAGAACAAAAGCCGCATCTAGACCTTTCCGAGCAGGCGAAACGATGAATGCTTTTCTTCAGACGGTCTTTGCGAAACAAAGGGAGTAATAAAATACATAAATAAAAAAAACAACCGAGAAATTGATTAGGATTTGCACTCAACTACCACGGAAACGATTAGTTGAAACACAAAGGAAATTCGTAGACTACAGTAACCCAAAAAACATAATAGCAATGAAATGGGGAAATGGGAAAATCGGTATATTAGTTTTTTTTTTAAATCAACGGATATGAGAAAAAATGCATAACCAATGTCAGAAAAATTTACGAAAGTTCTGCTCGCTGAATTTTCTGTATTTCGGATTTCTTAGCATTGCATAGGCCAGCAAAATTTTTAGTCCAATTTGGTATTATATTTTTGTTTTGCGAATTTGTGCATGAAAAAGTGGTCTACCGTAAAAGGTAGTGTTTCCATAAAAAAGATATTTTTTATACTGGCAAATTTATGGTCGAAAAGTTTTCATCTCTCTGGCCATACTTCGCACTTGCCGTACTCCCTCGGCGGCAAAGTTTTTTTCGTAAAAAAATTTGATGTTCTGCAGAGCGCGAGGTAAAATTTTGAGGATACTTTATGTGGCCTACATGTTTCGTGTCGAAGTTAAATGAAATACGCGAGAACACTTCTCTTGTTGATTCAGAAACCACAAACTTGTGCTTCTCGGGATAACACGATTGGCGCTGCGACATTGTGCTCATTATTTTCACGACAGGCTGATAAAGTAGTATGCGGCCCATCTTTTTCTACAGTGGCGACCTGACCCAGTGGCAAAAAACGTACCATTTTCCATTCGGGAATCATCAAAAATGTGGCAAAATACATCCCTCCAAGTGAAAAAAAACTCCGATTTCAAAAGCCCGCCTGCTGTTTCTTGAGTGAAAAGGCGCGTTTTTCAAAAAGGAGTTTTTTAGTTGCAGAAGGAGGTATTTTGCTACATTTTTTGATACCTCCCGGACAAAATGGTACGTTTTTTGCCACTGGATCAGGTCCGGTGCTGTAATTGCGGACCTACGGTTGTAGTGCAAGGTGGGCTTTGTTGCACCTTGTTATTCAATGTTTGCAAAGACGATTAATATAGTAATCCTTGTTCTGGAGCTGTCATAACTTTTCATTTTGCTCTTATTTTTTCTAAAGTTGCAAGTCTATAATGATTGAGCGCAACGGCTTGAGTGTCGTACGACGTTTTGCGTCAGCGATGCCATTCTTCGACGAGGTCTCTATTACCGAAGCCGAGCAGATCAAGAACCGGGAAATAGTCGCGATCATCCTCATCTACGTCGTGTTTATGATCGCGATTGTCTGCATGTACGAGTCGGTGGCGCCAGTCATAAATAACCCAAGATATCCGTTTTACAATAACTATCCCAATTATAATGTTAGTAAGTAAACAATGAAGATTAAATAATGAAAATTTGAAATCTTTGGCAGATTTGCAGACAAAATTTTGCGCAGGAAAACTTGCTTTTTTTTAGGGTGAAGATAAGATTGAAATAGACTTTTTTAACAAGGAAAGTACTTCTATGTGGTATGGAGTTACAGATCGAGATATATATCAAAAAAATCGCAATATTTTTCTGATTCAGAATATGTAAAAATTAACTGCCTAGTTTGGTTTGTAAGGGCGAAAAAATCGTCGGAACTTTTCTCGCAACACCACGCAAATGCCCTTTTTTTACATTCGAATTAAGGTGTAGTATTAATCAAATTTGATATTTTAAGGCTTATCAAGATGCCAGGGTTTACTTTAGCTCAAAACAAAGCTTTTCAATTGGTAAAACTTGGTCAAAAATGCATTTGTTTGGTGTAGAAAAAAGTTCGGAGGGTTTTTTCGCCTTTACAAACCAAACTTGGGCTGCTACAGTGAGGGACCTGATCCAGTGGAAAAAACGTAACATTTTGTATCCGGGAAACATCAAAAATGTGGCAAAATGCTTCCCTCTCCAAGTGAAAAAACTTCGTTTTGAAGGGTCTTTGCCTCACAAAAAGAGCGAGCCCGCTTTTGAAATCGGAGTTTTTTCACTTGGAGAGGGAAGCATTTTGGCACGTTTTTGATACTTCCCGGATGCAAAATGGTTCGTTTTTTGCAACCGGATCAGGTCCCCCACTGTAATTGTTACATATTCTGAATCTGAAAAATTTTGCGATTTTTTGCTGTATGGGTCAACCTGTAACTCCATACCCCATAGAAGTACATTGCTTGTAAAATTAAGACGTCTCCTTACGTCACCGTTGTGAGGCATAGCCAATTCAAGCATTTTATTATACATAACAATAGAAAACGGTTCAGTGAAAGTGGCTGTATGTAACGAGATCTCCAGAAAGAAACCCATTTGTGATGAGATGTCACGTTGAAGGTATATGATACAACAAGAAAATAGCCTGCTCAACAGTGTGAAAGTAGTCTACGGCGCGATTCAACGCGATCTTGAAGTGATTCAGCGGCCATATCTGAAACAATATTGATATAGGCTGGTCAAAAGTCATCAAAAATTTAAACAGATGATTTATGAATAAAAAAGATGGTCTACTACAAGATGAAGGTGATTTTTGAAAATGCTGAGGCTTGTTTGCATATAAGAAAGACTTACTTTGCCGCCCAATTGGTCCGTCCGCCGGTTGTGACCATTTTTGTGCTTGGCGAGACACCCGGACTTGAAGACGCGTTCGAAAGATTTGAGGTGGAATTGGACAGTCCGTTGTTGTTGTTCTTGCTTCCAAATGACGGAACATAGCCTGCAAATACGCAACTTCAAATTTGAAACAGTTTTCTATCAGTCTGTCGGGAAAAAAATAATGAGTGCAGGGGCCCAATGCGCTCTCTGAAAGTTTGCTGAAAATCATAGGGCGCAGCTCGCGTCTTGGGCGCAGCTCGAAAACAAGCTGAAACTTAGCTCCGGCGAGCTACGAAACGTTGTTTTCCTAGCTGCACCCTACCGTTTTCAGCTAACTTTCAACAAACTTTCAGTTAGCGCATTGGCCCTTCAACAGTCTGTCGGGGAAATAATAAACACTTTGTTGCATCCGAAATCGGATTGCTGCCGAAAAATGAATTGTGTCGCGGAAAAATCAAATTGCTTTTCACTTCAACGACGCGATTGGCACAGCGACATTATGCTCATTATTTTCCCGACATGCTGATAAGAAACATGGAAAAAAATTGCGTTTTATTTCAGCGGGGTTTTTTGGTGGAAATTTTAAAATTTTTTGCGAACTTTGATATGAAAAGGCGCAAAAAATCTGTCTATAATGGAGATTTTTTTTGTTATCCCATTAGTCAATTTTAAGCCAAAAACTTCTTTACAACGAAACCCTTCTATAACAAAAGCTTTTTTGGCACCTTACGGTTCATTGTACCGAATGAGTCAAATTTGCAACGCTTTCCCCCATTTTTTGAACCATTTCCCTTACCATAAGCATACTCAAACCGCGCTTGTAGCGCCGATCTGGCCTGTGTCGTCGAATTCACCGAGTTCTTTGCCCTCGAGTATCCATTCGCCGCTGCCCCATTATTATTGTTGTTATTGCCTCCCTCGTTTTTCACCACACCTGGCACATAACGTGATTTGGCCAAGTAGATGTCCTTGGCCTTTTTCCCACTGCTCGACCGATTACTCTTGTCCTGAAGTGCGTGTTTTTCGGTGCTTGCGTTCGAACCGCCGGATCTGAAAAAATAGAATAAGCGAGGGTAAAATACGAAGTGGTTTTTTTGCGACATGTTTTCAAAGTTTTGTGAAGATTGAACTGCAGCGAAACGTTTTTATACAACGAATTCCTGTACAAGGAAAGTTGTCCAGGACAGAAGCTCGAAATTTAAGTTCAAGTTCGCGAACTCATAAAAATTGATCTTGAACTCGGCCTGTGAAACTTCCCCAACTTTATCTCAAAATTTTTCTATCAGTCTGTCGGGAAAATAACGGCGGATTGTCGCAGCAAAATGTCTCGTCTCGCCGCTGTCGCGCACCAAATCCCCGGCCGCGGCTTTCAGTCGCAGAGCGATGATGGGCGATTCCAAGGCGCGACGATCCGCCGTTATTTTCCCGACAGACTGATAGGCCAATGGTTAGACTTGGACTTAAATTTAAACGGAGAAGAAGCGTATTTTAGCCTTATCTTTGCCAATTTTGAATGAGAAAAATCTATCAGTCTGTCAGAAAAATAATGGGCGTATTGTCACTCGCGTCGCAGAAGTGAAAAGAAATCTTATTTTGCCGCGACACAATTCATTTCTCAAGGCCGAGGCGATTTTCGATGCGACAGAGCGTTCATTATTTTCCCGACAAACTGATATTTTTCGTAGAAACATTGCACTCTCCGGTAGAAAAAAGCGGCCGAAGCTTTTCAAGCCAAAAATCTTTGTTATGTGTATAATTTTCTTTCCTATCTCTCCCACATCAAAACCCACAACTTTTCACTTACTTCACTCCAAAAATGGCTCCTTGCGCTTTGCTCAGCGGCAGATTGCGGTTGATATTCCTGTCCGACCCATCTTTCGGCCCGCTCAGTTGATGAGACAACGGCGTTTTGTTGTGTGCAAAAATATCATCTTTCGGCGCCACCTTTTGCGTAGCACCCGGCTTCTTGCTTCCCATTACCAGCTTCGAGTCGCTCTGCGTTGAGCCGGCGCTGTTCTTGCGGAAGGCGGCAGTGTTGGGCTGACTTTGGACGGGAGCGCCCAGCTTCTGTCCCACTTGGAAGTACTTGTATTTTAGGCACTGAAATTGGATGGTAATTTGCGAAGTTACATATAAGGTGTTTTTATGACATAATGCCAAAAATTGGCTTTCTCGTATCATTTATAATCTTTTGCATGTCGTATTACAATAATTTTTTATCATTGTATTGCAACTTCAGACTTTTCCTGAAGATCCGTCACATAAAGGATTGGTTAAACTTACGTTGACGGCAGTAGGTCGTTTCTCGGGGTTCCAGGCGAGCATATCCTTCATTAATTTCATTCCATCCCCGCTTATTGTGTTGACTATCGACTCCAACGGGACGCCGTTGCTTTGCTGGAACCGGAAATTCATGGCGGCCGCGAGTTTGTAGCCCTCCGGCCATTCCTCCTGAAAATGAAAAATTAAATTTGTAATACACAGGAAAGACTCTGCAGAACAAATCGTAAAAAAATCTTTTCGCTATATCAGTTCGTCGGGAAAATAATGTGGTTAGGATCGTCCATCATCGCTTTGCGACGGTTGTACTTTGTTATACACAGGTTTCGTAATAGGAGGAGTTAATGGTAGAGAGGTTAAAAAAATATGCTTTTTTTGTATTTTACCCTTTAATTTTATTGTCTAAAACAATTTCTGTGGCCATAACTCTTTCGCGATTTTTCGTTTTTCCTCATTTTTTTGTTTTTTGCACTCTTCAAAAAGCCATTCGCCGTATTATGTACGGTTGTCTCCGAGGGCGGAAGTCAAGGAACGCAACTCCCAGCGAACCGTGGACAATATATTTCAGACCAAAATCACAGACGACAAATCTGAGAGCGGCGTTTACGCTCGGTTATGCTTCCCGACGTGGGTTCCGGAGGGCAAGAACGCAACCAAATCATTGGGCAAAAAACGTACTTTAAGGTAGAGCAAGTTCAACGGAGAGTTTGTCGGGAAAATAATGTGGATTTGTCGCAGAAAAAATCTCGCCTCGTTGAAGTCGCACAGAAAAAAAGCAGCTGCCCTAAAGCGATGATGAGCGATTCCAAGACGCCAAAAAATCCGCATTATTTTCCCGACAGACTGACATACGGTCAAACCTCTGTACAAAGGAATGTAAGGGACCAAAACAAGCGTTATAAAAGGGGTTTCTTCGGTGTGCGGAGGAATGGGATTCAAGTTCTACACAAGGTTGTTCAGACCAAAAAATTCTATTTCATATCAAATTTCCTTTTCCAAAGGAGGCCGTACAGTGACGGGCCTGATCCAGTGGCAAAAAGGTACCATTTTGCTTCCGGAAAATATCAAAAAATGTAGCAAAATGCCTCCCTCTCCAACTAAAAAAACTCCGTTTTGAAGGCTTCCCTCACAAAACGAGCGGGCGCGCTTTTGATACCGGAGTTCTTTCACTTGGAGATGGAGGTATTTTGCCATATTTTTGATGTTTCCCGGATGCAAAATGGTAAGTTTTTTGCCACGGGGTCAGGTCCGCCACTGTAGTCCAATAACTCCAACCTCAGAGACAATAAAACTTGATAGGCCCTCAGGAAATTTGAGTTTCACAAACTCCCTTACCTTGGTCGGTGTTCCCATTATCGTCAAGATCTTGAAGATCTGGTCCAGCTCGCTGGTGCCGGGGAAAAGCGGCCGCAGCATGTACAGCTCCGCCATAATACAGCCCAACGCCCACAGATCAATGGGGGAATTGTAGCTGGTGGATCGGAGTAAAATCTCCGGCGCCCGATACCATCTTGTGGAGACGTAGTCGGTGAACGGCGGACGGGATCGGATCTCCCGGGCCAGCCCAAAATCCGCGATCTTGACCAACTCTGTGCCATTACACATGATATTCTCCGGCTTCATATCTCGATGAAAAAACCCTGAAAATTTGGGGTTTAGGGGAATAATTTGCAAGAGAAGTGATAAAAATCTAATTTTTGATGTCCTGTTTTTCATTTCCAAATTCCCTGCATCCTATTCTCCCTACCGTTTCGATGCATATAGGCCAGCCCTTGTAGCACTTGATAGATAATATTGCGTATTATGTTCTCCGGGAAGTAGCGGTCCCGGTCCTTCATCAGCTCGTACAGATTTTCGTTCATAAATTCGAAGACAAAGTATAAAATGTCGTTCTCTCTGATGACCTCCTTCAGTTTGATGATGTTTGGATGATTTAATTTCTTCAGCGATTTTACTTCTCGCAGTGCCATGGCCTCATCCCATGAGTAAAATTTCTTTTTCATCCTGAAAAAGCGATTTTTTAGCGGAAAATATGGAAAATACTGAAAATTTTAAAAATTATATGACTTTTATGGAAATGGGTGATATACAAAAGGTGATAGGCAGATCATCTCCATATTTGGAATGTTTAATCTATCTAGGCCACAGACCAATCGCTGAAAATATTAGCTCCCAATTTTAAGAGGCAGCCGAGATATTGAATGATTTATGGAGGCGAGAAACTATAGGAAATGAAGAGAAGTGGCTAGAGGAAACACATTTTTTCAGGGATTTTGATAACCCGGTATGCATATATATTCTTCGTTGCATAGGGCCTTACTTTTATTCACAAAATGGAGCCTTTTTCTTACAAACTTTTTGAAGAAATTGTCAAAAAACTTTCTCCCTCTCAAGCTCTCCTCGTTTTCCATAGTATCTCTTAATCGAAGACGAATATCTCTTCTTGCCAAGCTTGAGCTAAAATTTTCAGTGATTGACACCCAGCCTACGTAGGGTTATCCCTCAAAATTTGAAAGAAATAATTACTGTAATAAGCATGTTACTTTCAATACATTTTTTTATATTTTTTCCGGCAGAACGATTACTTAACAGCTTAAAATTCGTTTTTACCGCGACACAAATGCTCGCTTTACAATTCTAATTACTTGAAAAATCCCTAAACTCAAATTCTTCAACACCATAAGCCCTCCCCTACCGTTTAATGGCCACAATATCGCCGGTATCCAATTTCTTGGCCAAGGAGACCTCTCCGAAGGTTCCGTCGCCCACTTTTCTGGTGATCCGATAGCGATCTGCCAGACTCTCCGGCTTGGAGCCGCTTTTCGCACTTCCTGTTGTCATCTTTTGTACCCGTGTATTCTCTGAATTATTGTGTGTAGTTGTAGTCTGCAATGGGTGATATTAAAGGGTGAAAGAAGATTTGTGGGTAGCGCCGAAAACTTGGAAATATAAAGGTGAAATTTGAGTGGTTGGGACATTAGGGAAAGGTGTATAAAGGCGTGTTTAGGGGGTCGAGATTAAACATACAGCCTGTAAAGAGCCAGCTTGCGAAGAAACGGCCCACAAATTTTGTGCCTGCATCTTGTAAGAGCATGATGCTTTGGCAAAAACGAACGGTTTGGCGTGTTAAATTTGCCATGCAAAGCCTTAGCGCTGCCTGTTTTTTGCTTTTTACTCTTAGCTATAATCTGGATTTATTTTTTCGCTAAAGTGCAGTGTAACTGAGAACTGTGGTCAGTCATCTGTAATATTGGTTGGTTCCTTACAATTATATAAATTTTGGGAGAGCAATAAAAAATAATGATAAATAAATTTATTTTCCAAAAGCAGATATTGGAACAGAAACTATTACTTCAAAAATTTACATGTGGTTTTGCTTATGCATATTTTCTAAACTGATGCCAGACTTCATGCATTATGATTGAGCTGCAAAAATGGTTAAAAATCCCTTCAAAGTTGAGACCAACCCCTGTTTACCCTCAAAAAATTGGAATTGCTGAAATTTTTCACTCCAAAAGTTACAAAACAAGCCATTGCAAACGTGTTTTTGGATCACAAGAATGCATAATAAAGAGCCAGACTACAGGACACAAGCCTCATTTTTACGACGACCATTCCTCAGTATTCTCCACAGAATACAAACTCCAGACGACTATGTAAAATTCAAAAGGAAAAAATTATCATAGAGCTGCTCTATGATTATTCTGCAGTAGTTACAAAGTAATGACTAACAAAACGACGGCAAAAAATAACATAACAACGTAAACAAAGCCATTTGCTGAGAGATTACGCATTCACAGAGACAATTGCGTAAGAATGAGGTGTAAATAAGTGAGAATGGCTGTGAAGGTAATGGGGTTGGCTCACAACATAAGTAAGCAAAGGCTGACGCTCTGGTTTTACAAGGAGAATGCTCGATAAACGACAATCAGACTTTGTTTCAAATTTAGCAAATGCGCTGTGCACAGACCTTACGCTAAATCCTGAATATCTTAGCGTACGCTTTCCAGAGGCAGCCGAGAATATTATTACAGATGGAAGAGTAAAACCCTGATCGTGGTCTTAAAGAAAAACGCTATTGGAATTTCATTAAAAAGGGCCATATTTCGCCAAGTTCACGCAGAAAAGATTGTCATTTCGCTGAAGGCTGTCTTCTCCTTGGCGATTACAATAATTTGCTTCTGCAAAGCGCAAACTCAGAGGCTTGAATTGGCTCTACAAGGGAAGTACCATCTATATCTAGACAATAAAATATTAGTTTGTCGGGAAAATACTGAGCAATGTCACTGCGCCAATCGCGTGACTGAAGTGAAAAACAATTTTATTTTGGCGCGACACAATTCATTTTCTCGGCTGCGATTTTCGATGGCGGGCCCACACTTGCGGGCAACCACTTTGCGGGCAAATTTTTTGCGGGCAGCCACTTTGCGGGCAGCCGACTTTTGCGGGCAACCGACACCTGATTGTGAGTGTAACAGGGTGGAGGTGGAAAAAATACTGATATTTTGGAAATTTGCCGACATTTGCGGGCAAGTGGCACTTGAGGATAACAAGGTGGAGGTGAAAAAATTACTGCGATATTTTGGAAGTTTTCCGACATTTGCGGGCCGGCAATACTTGCGGGAAGCCGACATTTGCGGACAACAGTTCCAAAAGTTCCAATACAATTTGTGTGATTGCTTTCGTGTTGCCCGCAAATGTCTCAGGCTGCCCGCAAATGTGACCCCCCAAATTTTGCTCGCAAAGTGGTTGCCCGCAAGTGTCGCGACGCCTTTTCGATGCGACAGAGTGTTCATTATTTTCCCGACAGACTGATATAAGCCCTGTACAACATACTCCCATAATGCAAAAATTGCTTATAACAATCTTTTCCAGTTGGCCTAAAGCCAAGCTTAACCCAAAATAAAAATTTGCATGCTAGGCCTTCAGTATACGAGTTTTTACTATACTTTTTTCCGACTATTCCTATTGAATTTCGCTCAGAATTAATCAGGTAGAAGTCTAGACAAATGATATAGTCAATAAAAGTCTTTCTATTCGTATACACCCGCCACTGCCAAAACCTCAGTAATCCGATGAAGTAACGAACACATAAAAAACGCGATGAATTATAAATACTCGACTAATGAGGACATATCCCACTTGTGAAAAGGCCAAAATTACTTTCACATTTTACGTGCCTACAACTCGTAATTAACGGATTTACCTCGAATCTCCGAGGGTAATAAGAGGGGTATTCAGCGGGAATGACGAGTAATTTTGACATTCAATTAGAGGGCTACAGGTCTGCAAATTGAAGACTTTTCAGAAATGTGGGGGAGGTCGGAGAATAGGCGAAATCGATTGTTTACTGTGAATGAGCCACTGTGTTATGTTGTTTATACAGTGGCGGACCCGTGGCAAAAAACGTACCATTTTGTATCCGGGAAGTATTAAAAAATGTGGCAAAATGCCTCCCTTACCAAGTCAAAAAACTTCGTTTTGAAGGGCGCGCCCTTACTCTCAAAAAAATGTGGCAAAATGCCTCCCTCCAAGTGAAAAAACTCCACTTTGAAGGGCACGCCCTCTTGAAATTGGCGATAAGCTATCTTAGGACCCGATCAATCTTATTATTTCTACTAACTAAGTCTTCTTCTATCCTCCCCCATGCAAAACGACGCGCTCCATAGTATCTTTGGATCGCGTCATTATTTTCCCGACAGACTGATAGAAAATTTTTTTTCAGTTTGAAATCTAAAATTTTTCTATCCTAACTGGATTTCTAAATACCGTGACGGACCTGATTCAGTGGCAAAAAACGCCATTTTTCATCCGGAAAATATCAAAAAATGTGGCAAAATGCCTCCCTCTCCAACTATAAAACTCCGTCTTGAAGGCCTCATAATGTCTCATGAAAAGAGCGGGTGCGTTTTTGAAGTCAAAGTTTTTTCACTTGGAGAGGGAGACATTTTGCCACATTTTTTGACAATTCCCGGATTCAAAATGGTACGTTTTTTGCCACTGGATCAGGTCCGCCACACAAAGCTTAAAGAAAATCTGAGCTTCACATTTGAGGCGCTTCCTTTATCGGCTATAACCTAGAACGTTTAATTCTGATATTTGACATTCAAAAAAAAACCTGTAATTTTTATCCAATTTCTAATCATTAAAATTCCTCCAGAAAAGTTAACCCAATTTTCTCCAACCAAACTGTAGTTGGTATAGAAACCAAGTACAAGAAGGTCATATGGCCTAAAACAAGGTAATTAAATAAACAAAAGTGCAATAGTACAATTCACCCTCATCTATACATGTATTTAGTCAATGGCTCCATTTTAAAAATTTCATCAGAATTACTAAACGACAAAAAAATATCTTTTTTTATATTATACTTGACCTTGCAAGACATCTAAAGTCATGAAACATCATCAGCAAGCAACCTTTGAGGATGAGTCTTGTGAAAACGCCAAAAAATGGTCGAAAAACAATATGGATGAGGAAATTTCGGTGTTTCAAAGACTATTTACGGCCCTCGTGCGCCGAAAATAAGCGGTGTTCATAGCAACCGTGGAATATTTTTTCGCCGCGGGGAGAAATATGCAAATTTAGAGTGTTTTCGGGGAATAAAGTGGTGAAAGAGAGGTGGAGCTGAGCCGGAAAATTTAGCATTAATTTTGTTGCAGTTACATTAGGAAAATTGAATTCTTTAAGATCGTGAGACAATAGTACAAGTGTAAAAAATTTTTTCTAACGACATTCCCTAGATTGGAAAGTCTACACTTTTTTGTAATATCCATTGCAAAACATTTTAGCTCGCCATTTACAAGTACAGTGACGGACCTGATCCAGTGGCTAAAAACGTACCATTTTGCATCCGGGAAGTAGCAAAAAATCAAAAAATGCCTCCCTCTCCAACTAAAAAAAAACTCCGTTTTGAAGGGCCCTCACAAAAATAGCGAGCGGGCTTTTGAATATGGAGTTTGTTCACTTGGAGAGGGAGGTATTCTGCTGTATTTTTTAATGCTTCCCGGACACAAAATGGTACGTTTTTTGCCACTGGGTCAGGTCCGCCACTGCACAGCCGCAATGAGATATTCAGTCTGTCGGGAAAATAATGAGAATAATGTCGCTGCACCGATTGTGTCGCTAAAGTGAAAAGAAAGTCGATTTTACCGCGAGACAATTTATATTTCCCGGCGGCGATGCCATTTGCGATGCAACAGAGTGCTCATTATTTTCCCGACAAACTGTACTTTTTTCTCAAATCTGCAAAACACGCAAAAAAATTGCACCTAAAAAACCAAGACCCCCCTAAAATGCCCTCAGGGAATCCCTCTAAATTTATATAATCTATACAACAAATTGCCAATGATCCCATCCATTCCAAACAAACTAATAAAGTCCTTACAATAACATCATTTGTCTACCCAAATCCCCTTGCCTCTAATTCTAAACAAAACCGCCTATGGCTTCGTTGCGAACGGATTGAAAAGCGAACGGCCCTGAGGGCAAGGAAGCCATGTATGTTACGGAGTGCACTCGGGTGGAAAGTAATTTTTGTTATATCATTTGTAGACATGTTTCGCACGAGGGCAGGCGATTGAGGAAAGCGGGCGGAAACACCACCGAAGATTGTTTGAAAGGCGTGTTACAGGAAAAGGTGTGAAAAGTAGTAGTGTAAAGTAATAACAACGCTAGGGCTCTCAAAAGATTTAGTAGTTGTGGTTCGAGCTGAATGAAGGAAAATTGCAATTTAATTAATTTTGAAGGTGTTTTCGTGAGTCTGAAGAGAGTTTAGGAGAGCATGCGTGTCGAGTAAAAGAACGTATTACATTTAAAAAAAATAGGAAAAAACAGTAAAACCTCAGTACTGGTCCGTTCGCGGAGCTGCTAGAGCGATTTCGGGCGTTTGCATTGTGCAAAAAAGGTAAGGATACGAGCGACAGTCCAAAAAAGTCATCTGGCACCCTGCACAAAGCAATAAATTGCTCAGGGCAAAGAAAACTCGACTTTGACTATTATTCTGTCGGGAAGATAATGAGCACAATGTCGCTGCGCCAATCGCGTCGCTGAAGCGAAAAGCAATTTGATTCACTCTGCGATACTTTTCTCGGCGGCGATACGATTTTTGATGGAACAGAGTGCTCATTATTTTCCCGTCAGACTGATAGTATCTACAACTCATTGCAAGAAAAAAGTAACAAAAAAATTTTTTTGTTATAGAAGGGATCCTTTTTACAGAGAGTCATTTTTGCCTAAAATTTACTCTAGGGGCCTCTGAAGCTGTTACACAGGCTTTTACAACAGTACAGAGACTTCATTGTGAATTAAAAATTTGTAACAAACAAATAAGAGTCTATGTAATGATCAAAAAAGTATAATACAAGGGCAGCTCTGAAGTTGTGAAAAATAAACTTTATGTCAGTTTAGTGCAAGCTCACCAAGCAAGCCACATGCTCCAAGTGCAGGAGTCAAATTCTTCCCACATGTTAAGCGTGAGCCAATTATCAATTCCCAGAACGCATAAATTTAAATTCTTACGCGCAGTTATGCCTATAACATATCGTATCAAATAATTTTTTGTCGACAAGAGAGTACGCAAATGTATAGAGAATCATTAGAGAGGGAAAAGGCGTCACGAAGATCACTAACATAAGATTTTTTTTCTTTGTGGCGATACAAGAGTGACGCTCAGATTTTTTGTAAGCTCTGTACACAGGTAGGTCGTCGCCTGCAATTCTTGAAAGTTTTGGCCCGCGCTTTTCAGGGCAACCGCCATATTGAACTAGCTTTGCGACGGAGAGAGTAAGCGAGAAGCGGAGAGTACACAACAAAGGCTGAGAAACATTAGTCTCTGTTGCGAAAGCTGGTATGAAACATTTCGGGACAAAATTCATAAAAAATGTCACATTTTTTGCCCATTTTTGCCATAAAAATCTCCAACACTTCTGCAAAACGCAGCCTCATATGTCTTATTGTGTTATTGTTAGAAAAAATTAAACTATATTTGTGCCAGGTTCATCAAAGATCGTATTTGGACTACATCCCCTGCAAGCCAGAACTCCAATTTTGGTTTATATCACAATATATTGATATTGCAATACTATATCTGTAAACAAGACATCTCCGAAAGAGCAATATCTTCTGAAGTCTTGAGGCTCAGAAAGGTCCCATTAGGTCCGCTTGCAATCATTTGTATCCCCTAACCCCACCATCCATTACTCTGATGACTTAACGAAACCAAATAAATCGGATGAAGATCCCTACAGTAGTCACTATTTTTGGTGAAAGAGGGTTACATGTGCAAATCCTCTTCGTACGGATGACATGCACTTATAGCATTTGAGCAATCATTATCCAAATGAGCAACGGAAACAACAAGAACTGTGGTGCATCAACCTTGCTTTGGTTTACGTGATTATACATTAGCATTCGTATAGAATGCCCTCTTCAAAGGGATAATCAACAAATTGGGAAAAGAGGGACCGAAAGCCGGGAATCAAGTGGAGTCTGTCATCATCCAGAAACGATGATAACACAAGTTTGCAGAGGAACACACAAGCTTTGCAGATTTTTTCTATATGGCTTGCCTGATCCATTACTTGATTTCTCCTGTTTTTTGAGGCTTGACTAATATTTATACTATACATAGTAAAGTGCTCCAAGTGCAACGTTCAGATTTTCTTTAAATTTTGAACATAGACGACATTTGCGGGCAGCCGACACTTGCGGGCAGCCGACATTTGCGGGCAACAGAAAAAAACAATGACACAGGCTGTATTGGTACTTTTGGAACTGTTGCCCGCAAATGTCGGCCTCCCGCAAGTATTGCTTGCCCGCAAATGTCGGAAAACTTCCAAAATATTGCAGTAATTTTTCCACCTCCACCTTGTTATCCTCAAGCGCCGGTTGCCCGCAAATGTCGGCTGCCCGCAAATGTCGGCTGCCCGCAAAAAATTTGCCCGCAAACTAGTTGCCCGCAAAGTGGTTGCCCGGAAGTGTGCGCCCGCCTAGTATGCATAGTAATTTGGGAAGCTCCTCAGATGCAGCGTTGATTGTTCCTTTAAGTTTGTCACGCAAGACCTCCAAAACAGCATTATAAAACATCACCACATACTCTCTTATTCGATAAATCAATTACAGAAAAACCTATTTACCAGCCCTTTAAAAATACACTCTCTAATTTGAGCCATTTCACTTGGAGATTCAACGACTCCAACTCCCGCATCATTCCAAAATATTCATTCATCCCCCTCGAGTTGTCCCTCCGAAGAAAAGGAATATAATAAAAGCCAGGTACCGGCTTGCACTTTGGTGCCCCGGAGCTGTAACGACCCTCTTTCGGGACATACTTTCGGCCCATTTATGGGGCGCCTGCGCCGAAAATGAAAAGGAATTCCAGGAAATTGTGAGGACCTCGGACGTGGGGCCTAATGAATAACACCTTAACAGGCCCTCGAATGCTAAATCCCGTGTGTAATCTTGGGGAAAAAACTTAATCCGCGAGGTGTGCCAAGATTTCAAAATCTTGCGGAAATTAAAAATCAAAGCATAGGACAAGATTTTGTGGTTGTTGTGAAGCTTAAGGGCTGTAATTATGCTTGTCACAATGTCAGAAGATTGTGGCCGTATTCTAAGAAAAAGGGGCGACAAAGAGAAAAGTAAAGTACAAGTCAGAAAACAGAAAAGAATAGTTTTTTTTTGCATTACAACGGCATGAAAATGCAAATTACTTTCTTTGTTTGTAAACTTTCTATAAGTGTTTGCCCGTATGTTACTGATGGAACAAATTTCCTTGGATTTTTTGGAGAAAACCGACCAAGAACTGGAAAAAATGAGACTTGCAAGTTCTCAAAAACAGAAGCTGAAGACTCTCTTCTAATTCTGCCTACACAATCTATCTAGTAAGTATATTATTCCCTCAAACTATCAGCTAGATCCTTGCAGGGAGAGCTGAGATATCCAGCAATCTTTGCAAATGAGAGACTATGACAAATGAGGAGAGACGGTCAGAGAAAAAAGTCTTCTTTTATAGGACGTTTGGCAGGCGATTAAATTAAGCTTTTTCAATGCAGATATATCGTGATTTATCGCTTGGCGATGACAAGCAAGCCTTTATTCTGAAAAGGGCAAAAAAAGTCGAAATATTGGCAGTTGATGACATTTTTTCTTTGCTACTTTTACCAGGGTCACTTAAAAACTTTGAATTCATAAATTCAAGAGTTTACAGGAAAATCTGTGAATACTAGTCCGTTCCTAACATCGCTAGAGTGATTTCTACGACATGCACTGTGAGAAAACAACAGTTTTTTTTTGCACTGTGCAATTGACTTTTTTTTTGAACTGCCGCTCACACCTTGATTTTTTCGCACTGTAAATGTCACCAAAATCACTCCAGCGACTTTGCGAACGGGCTAGTATCATGTTATTCATCAGAAGCACTAATCCTACTTGTTGCGTACACATGCGGGTCAAAATTCCAGGACAAACATCTCCTGGAAACGACCAATTATTTCTAGGGAGAGGGTGCTCAAAAAGACGTTTTTTTCTGCAAAAGAGACGTCTGAAAAGTGCAAATTAATGCCATAGCTTACTTTCTAAACAATTTTATGACGCCATCAAGAAAATCCCATTGGAATAATGACGATTTTTGTTTGGAATTCGACTTGAATCTCGAAAAACAGCGACAAAAACTTCATTTTCAGATTTATCTTGTCTGAAAGTGCCGTTCAGACTCTGTCACTACCCATATAACTTGTTGAATATCCCGCTCAATCCCCATATATTCTATTCCGAAAGTCTGGCCACAAATGCATGGGCCAAATTCCCAATCGCAAATACAAAATTATGGTCGAGCTTGGGCAAAAAGGCGGCCGCAGAAAATTTATTCGTAGGGGACGCGAAATACGAAAGGAATGGGGAGATCGCCATGGCAACTCCCCAAATACACCCAAGCCCGGAGGGGTCGGAGGGAAAATGTTGTTTGGAGAACTCGGTCTTATATAATGACCGGTAGTGCGCATGTTCCGACAAATTCAAACAGGTGGGGATTGCGCAATCTGGTCGGGTGCTGGGCCCAATCACAAGGGATTCTGCAGGGTCTGTAGTAAAAGTTGGTGAGCTAGTGAAGAACAGAGATTGCCACGGCTCCGGAGCAGAGATTGCCACGGCTCCGGAGCTCCGGCTCTGAGCGGCTCTGGCTCCCGGCTCGGAGCCAGAGCCGGAGCCGGAAATTTTGGGGTCGGCTCCGGCTCCCGAGCCCAAAGTCGGAGCCAGGCTTCCCAGCGGTCAGAAAAGTAAAAATTTCGTGATCTTGTTAAACCAAATTGCTTGAAAAACACTGCGGAGGATGTGACTTGACTGCAGAAACGTTGGCTGTATGATCTCTGGCACTAATAACTTTTATTTTTGGAAAAACATTTTTAAAAAAATATTTTGCATAGGAGCCGGGATTCGGAGCCGGAGCCCTTTTTAAATTTTGCACGGAGCCAAGAGCCGGAGCCGGAGCTGCAAATTTGGCCTCGGCTCCGGCTCTGGGAGCTAAGAGCCGGAGCCGACATTTTGACCATGGCAATCTCTGCTCCAGAGCCGGCTCCGGCTCTGAGCGGCTCCCAAGCCCGAAGTCGGAGTCAGGCTTCTCAGCGTTCAGAAAAGTAAAAATTTCGTGATCTTGTGAAACCAATTGCTTGAAAAATACTGGGAAGGATGGGTTTTGTACTTACGATGGCTCAAAAACTTTTTTGTGTCATCTCTGGCACTAATAACTTTTATTTTTGGAAAAATATTTTCTTTTTCATTTTTGCACGAGAGCCGGTGCCGGAGCCGGAGACCTTTTTAAATTTTAAACGGGAGCCGGAGCTGCAAGTTTTGCTTCGGCTCCGGCTCTGGGAGCTAAGAGACGGAGCTGAAATTTTCGCCGTGGCAATCTCTGGTGAGGAATGTGATTAAAATTCAACAACTCGGAGCGCGACGCTCAGATTTCCTTTAAATCTTGCAGTGAGATATTTAACAAACCTTGCCGACAATGAGAGTCCGCAAAAGGCGAAGAGTGTGCAGACAAAAACTAATTCTAGCAATTCTGCTGATATGAGAATTTCGCTAGGAGAGCATTGCTTTTCCGAGGAAACTTTGCTTCTTGATACTGTAAAGTGCAGTTTATTCACAAAAAATATTGTCGTTAAACAGACTGCCTAAGGTCTCAAAAGGCAATTTTGAGCAAGAGTATATCTTTGTACAATTTTTTGTAAATTATTTGATTATTTTTTTGCCATTCGACCTGCAAATACCTGTCTGTATTTATAGACATACTAAAGCCATTACAAGTTTTGTAATCTCCGAATTTCGCGAGTCATGTAGTACCGCCATGGGTGTCGTTCAAGTCGCCTAGCATACTCTGCGGTAAACGTCCTTCCAGTATCTCCTCCGGCTCCTTGAATATAAACTGCTCGGCGCCATTCCGGTGGTGTCCTAAAATCGAAATTATAGCCCTAAAATCGAAGTTCATCTTTCAAATAAAAATATGTGGCGGTCACGACACCCACTTTGTACACTCGACAATTTCCTTCTCCGGAGCACAGTTCTCTACGAATTCTTCAAAAAGTTCTCTGGCCTTTTGTGTGGCGCTGGAGATATTGAGGTTTACCGCTGCCTCGAAGAACGTTTCTCCAAGAAGTCTAAAATGTGGCCTTGCAACATTCGTTGCTTACCTGTTCTCGGGCGTTGGTTTGTAGCTAAAGTTGTCGCTAATGATTTGGATAGCATCTTTATACAGCTGAAATGGAGATTACAGTGGTCTACAACAAGTCGCTACAGAGGAGGAAATAAATTTGTCATAGAAAGGTTCCGTTATACAGAGTCCTTCAAAAAATATTGTGAAAACTTTTGGCCCATATCTTTGTGCTGTGTGCAGCTAGCGAGGAAGTATAAACTGTTTTTAAAATTCAAAGGCGAGAGTTTTCAGAATATGCAAAAGAATTTTTTCTCGACTTAGCGGAGAGACCATTTTTCGGCGGAGACATTTGACGTCTTTTTTTGAAAATTACATGTCGTAGTAAATTCCAGACATCTTTACTATGGGTAAAATTAGGGCTGTCACACCTGGCAAGATATGTATAATCTCTTAGTCACGGTGGGTAGGCGAATGTTTCATACATTTCCGAGGCCTCGGCGGAGACTTTTTTTATCGGCGGAGGCCGTTTTGGGCACTTGACTTTAGCGCCGGATATTATTCAATCCGATTCGCAAAAAGCTAATAGAACATACATTATACAGAGGTTTGGAATCCTTTTTAGGAAAACAGCTTACTTTATGGTCCTTAGGCAAGAATTGAAGAAGCGAAAAGCTGACATTTCCATTGTTCCTTCTTGTAAATAGGTAAACCAAACTGCCCACTCCTTCCGGTCCTAGTGGCTTCTGTAGATGCTGTAGAAGATGCTGTAAGTTGCTAACGGAGAGATCGTAAACTTCAGGGTTCTCAATCGATTTCAGCAACAAGATATCGCTGATATTGTAGAAGGCAAATCCCTTTGCTTCGCTGTTGAAAATATAGTCTCTTTCGGGATCTAATGTAAAGTTTTCTGCAGAACAAAGATGGCCATCATTTTGCAGCCAAAGAATATGCTCCATGTGAGTATTTAGATCCAAGATAAAAATTGGAACAGCCCATTGGAGGCCGGTGGGATGACTCTGATTTATAGCGAACTGGCCATCAATAAGATCGATATGAACGGTGGGAACTCCGGCTCGGAGAAAGTGCTCGTTGGCCCATGCGGTAAAAGTTATTGGGCCGCAAATGGAATCGTTGCCACGTGCCTTCAAAACAAAGTAATTATCGGTATATAACAGTCTGTCGGGAAAATAATGAGCACTCTTTCGCATCGAGAATCGCATCGCCATCAAAAAAAAATGAATGATATCGCGGCAAAATGAAATTGCATTTCACTTCAGCGACGCGATCGGCGCAGCGACATTATGCTCATTATTTTCCCGACAAACTAATTTTGAGCTCACCTTGACAAAGCTCTGCAGTAGCGTTCCCAAGCCCGCATTACCGAACGCGTTCTCTGTTAGATAGATTTTCAACGCTTTGTAGAACACATCTCCTCCCAAAACATGAAAAATGGTTCGAAGAAATCCACCTGCGGCGTTGTAAGTTATATCTGGAAAGATTTCGTATTCTCGGAAGAATATTACAGACCGTCAAAGTTACTGGTGTCAGCGACGACTGGGTGAGCTGCCCAGACGTAGGTTTCAACGGCCTTTTTCATGGCTTTGATTTTAGCAGCTTCCTAAATCAACTATGACTTATTTTTTTCCGAAGCTTTATTAAATATAATACATCTAGAAACATACCGCAAGGGGCCTGAACTCCTCAATTTTTGAGAGAGTCTCGATTTCAAAGAACTCGGCAAATGCTTCGTGTAGAAATTCCAAACCCCATCGATCGGCAGTGACCATGTCTCCAAACCTGAAGAAAGCAAGTCAATTGGATCACAATATATGATATCTACTGGCCCAAACATAGGGGCCTTTATATTAAAAAAGCGAGGAAAGTTGTCGTTAGAGTTACCATTGATGAGCAGTCTCATGGCATAGATATCTTTGTTGCAGCGCCTCTTCAGAGATTGTGCGGCCCAAGTGCTCGGTAATCCCGCCTTCAATCATGATCAACCCAAAATTTTCCATCGCTCCGGCGCTGAATTCGACCGGGTCTAGGAAGTCTGCAATATCATGGAAAATCAGCAAGCAAAAATTTTTTTTAATCTCTAGTACAAACATTGGGGTAGGGCGGGTAGCAGGTGGACTTTTTACAGCCTTGCTCTACATGGTTTAAAAGAGCATTTTCTGAGCTTCAAACCCGTATGTTCAACATATCTCGTAATGCGCCTCAAAGCTGGCAAGAGTTCGCACAAGTCGACGACCCAAAAATACACAAGATTGGACACCCTAATAACACATTACTGTTCGAGAACAAACCGAGCTTTTTTATGGGACAGCCGACTTCCAAAAGCTTCTCCATTTCGTCAACGCATCTAGCTGCGTGTACGACGGTGTTGTTGATGAAATCCTTGCGGTTGCGGATAGCAATTGCTCTGATCTGACAAAAGATATAGATCATGTTTGGCATCCATTTATTACCTCAACTCCGCTTTTTGAAACCGCTTTCGACTTGGCAAAGTCTCCCACGGCAAACGCTACCAAGTACGACGACATTCTGGCAGTTGTTTTGAACCGTGTAAGTGTTCGCTGATTACTGCAAGGAGCGAAAAATTTTGAAGTGTTTTCACTTACTCGTAGTCCCGGCTTTCCTCAACTTCCTCATTGCTGTAGGCTTGCGCAGCTCTTGGATGGATAACTGAGATGGAGAAGGTGGCTTTGAAGCTCGGGTCGTCGAAACAGGGGAAGGCTTGTCTGGCGTGGACGGTCTCAAACTGGGTTGCAACCAAAGAACTAAATGAATTAACTAATTAAACAAACCCAGGCGAAACTGATGGTATGTTTAGACAAATTACATAATCTCAACAACAAGGGAAGAAAAAACGTATTTGTTACAGCAAGGCTTCATTGTTTTTGGCCATATTTTTGCCAATTTTGAGCCGGGTTTTTTTTTTCTTTTCTTTTTTTTTTTTTTGGAGAACGATTGCTCTCCATGGTAAAAATAAACATTCACAACTTTTGCCAAAACTCGCAGCGTGCAGTTTTTAACAATTTACAAAGGATGGCTATATTCTTACAAGGGAATTACCCCAAGTGCGACGCTCAGATTTTCCTTAAATTTTGCACACACGTCGATCATGAACTAAGTATCAATTCCTGAAAGTCTTAGCCCGCGCTTTGCAAGCGCCGCCGATATATTGCACGACCTTTGCCGCCGAGAGAGTACGCTAAAGGCGGAGAGCGGTCAGATAGAAAAACGCTTTTTGGCCATAACTTTGCCAGTTTCTTGCGGAAAAAATTGATTTTTTGTGGAAACATTACTCTCTATGGTAGAAATAGGCATGAAACTTTTTGTGCCGAAATTCGGCAAAAAGTGTCAAATTTTCGCCAACTTTCGATTTAAAAATCTTGGTTGTTTCCGCATAGCGCGTGCTAGGATTCTCGCATATAGTTTAGAAACAATTATTCTAAATTTGTGCCAAGTTTCATCAAAATCTGAGCGTCGCACTTGGGGTACTTCCCTTGCGATTCTATAACGATTTCATTTCTTACGTTCTCCGGTTCTCCGGGTTTTCGTATACATACGAAAACAGCCCCCCATTCTGTCCGGTGCTGATTTTTCCAGAGTACTTCAAGTTCAACGTGTAATTTTTGTCAACGTCCAAACTAACTGCCGAATGGATTATCAGGTGATTCTGCGGGGCGCTGTTGACTCTCACGACTTTCAGCAGGCCTGATTCGGATTCCAGTGAGACTAATCGAATCCAAACCGCCGACGCAAGCTCTATTCGACTTGTAGGCTTTAGGACGGAGAAGGAAATGGAAACCTCACCGTTGAATGTGTTGCGTAGAGCTAAAATATTAGGTTGTCCAACACTTAATGTCGTTTTTGAGAGGGGCAGTTTCCAAAGTCTATAGAAAAGGTAAACGACAATAAAATTTTGCAATATTAAACCGTTTTGTAGTCGAGAACTCAAGCTTTCGTTCGATATATCATTTGCCATATTTGGATCAAATTAAAGTACATAATTTAGCCCTAATCCAAAACAAAAAGCAAAGCAGGCTTTTTGGCACACGAAATGGCACAATGCTCACCTCTGTTGTAAAAGAAGCCATCGAAGTCGAAAAAGGGTTCAAATCGGAGGTCATATGAATGAACAACAACCTCTCTGGGTAAACGGTCGTTGGTTCGGCGCTTAAGGTTGGTCCGAGAGCGCTTGAAAGGGCTGGTAAAGAAGGCCTGAGTTGGGTCTTTTTGTAACTCTGAAATTTGACTGTTCCAAAAAAATACTACTCTGGGAGAATACGCTCAAAAATCGCATCGTCCCCAAGGAAATGAATTGTGGCGAAATCACATTGATCTTCAGTTCATAGATGCAGCAATTGCGCTTATTATTTTCCCGACAGACTTATTAGAAACTCGAAAAAGTAGTGTTTATCTTATTGGATACAGTCGAACCTAATCGAGCCCACATCTCAGGATACCAGCATTCGATGCCTCGACTGAAAAAAAGCCTTTCAAACGAGGCATCGACTGAAAGGATAGGCCTGGCTTTAGCCATGAAAATCAGTAACAAGATCTGCGCTTTACGGTCCCACTTACTCCTCCAAATCTCTTCCGAATTCCACTCCATTTCCTGATCATAAACATTGTTACAGCAGACCGCTGTAGCAAGGAGCAGAAGCAGTAACACTCTCATCCGTGTTGACAAATATTAGTGGAAATATTTTCCATTTTATTTTTGCTTTTGAAGTTTAAAGAGCAGCCGAGTGTATTTATTACAGTCTTAAATTGAAAGTAAGTTGAAACTGGAGCAGTAAGTGGTCTGTATACGCCGAATGTTGTGCAGGTTGTTTTGTTTATACTATCGCATTGCATTTAGAATACGATAGTATTTTCTGACCGACGTGCGTGCAAAATTTAAAGAAAATCTGAGCGTCGCACTTGATACTTGCTTTGACGCATTTCCAAAAAAAAAGAGCTTTTTCTGAGCATCAAATTCGGTCAAATCTTTCTATTTTTGAAAGATTTCTTGTAGGATTTCCGACTAAAACCAAAAAATGTGTCTATAGACAAGGTATTTTACTTCTATTCCATTGTTTTTGCCCAACAAAAATCCGCATTTTGACTCTCGAATTGGCTTGCGCCTTCCAGGACTCTCACCTTTTCTTTGTTTCTCATTATTTTGTAGTAATAGAAAAATGTATGGAAAGTGGTTTCGATTAGGTCTTTGAACAATTTATTGAAAAAAAATATTCATCTGTGTTTATAGTTTGAGCTATTTTTTATAAATAAATAAAATATGTAAACTTTTGTCAAGCGATTACGATAAAACATTGATCTTCGTCTTGATTCCCCCGAATTTCGAGCATGGAAAAAGAAATTATTTCATGGGAAACACTTGACAAATGTGTGTCAAGTCTGACCCCCGCGTCTCGACGGAAAAACAATCACAGTTGGGGCATTGTGTTGGCGAACCTCGCACTTTAACACCAATAAAAGGAGTCCATTTTCTCTGCGTTCTTGTAAACATCTTTTAGCGGATCCTCGACCGGCTTCTGTCCACTCTTGATCAAGGCCGCAGCGCCGAATGCCAGCGCAGCCATAGCGATCGGGGCGGCTCCAACCGCCGCTACCGCCCCACTAACGGCACACACGGCCTTTCCACTGGCCTCAGCGGCCGAAATCCAGTTTGCAGTCTCTTCGTTGGATTGAAGAGTTTCCTTGGCCAAGGCCTTGGTCGATTCCACCGCTTTGGAAGCATTGAGTTTGGCGGCATTCGCAGCGTTTGTAATTGCAGTTGCGGCATCGGTAACGGATCGAGCGCTCACTTCCATGGGGGCTCGGCCAATGTGGGAGGCAGCTTCGTCGACGGCACTTTTACTGGCTTCGATCGCAGCGTTGAATTCGGCTGAATTCCACAACTTCTTCAGCCCATCATAAACTGAGTTCATCCCGAAGGTTTACCTGAAAGATCAAACATTACATCTGAACGAAATTTTTAGAAAATATCACATGAAATGGGATTTTAAATTCGCGCTTTTAAGAAGAAATCCGGAATAGGAAAAGTCAATTTGAAATAGCCTCGTGAATCAAATCCGAAACTTTTTTTTTGGAAACCTCGAAATTTGCCGCGGCACTGCGGGTCATGTTTTTCTCATGTGGTGGTCAAGTCTTCCCCCCTAATACTATTTTTCCCCGTAGCCTCACTTTGTGTATTTTTGTATTTTATCACTGAAACTAAAAAATATTGTTTCAGGTGATAAGAACCAAAAATACACAAAAGTGGGCCTACGTCTTCTTTTATCGAACTGATCCTCGGAACTCAATAAACAACATAACCATTCTTGCCATCTATAAGGGCCGAGACACCTCAGCTTTTCTACAGTGCATCGCTCAAAAATTCTACGCGGAGTCAGTGATGTCAGAAATACAGATTTGCGGCAAAAACTACGCATTTGAATGCTTTGTCGGCGGAGACTTGGGGATGCTGTGCGATCTCGTCGGCTGTCTAAGTCAGCGTACTTTTCCGTGCATGTACTGCACAGAAAACATAAAGCAAAATCAAAAGATTGGTGAAACAGATCTTGAACATAAATCGGAACCTCGGACCTACGAAAGCCTCTTAAAGGTATAGTAACTCTTAATAGCACCTTCTAAATCTGAAATAAAACCTCTTCACCTCTAAATTGCAGGACGGGACCTCAGCAGCCGAAAAAAACAACAAATTAAAAGCCCAAGGAGCTATAATAAGATCCAGAAAGCTAAAAATGGGGTTTGTGGAACTCCGTTTTTCCACGTGAAGCTGGAGAATATACTTCCCGCCCCAATGCACTGTATGACCGGTGTTATGAACAAAATTTTGAACGAGATTAAGGAGGTATCTCCGGAAATGAAGGATAAGATCGCCGCCGCCTTGAAGAAAATGAGGATTCGCTACGATTATAAAGAAGAATTAACCGGAAAGGACGGACGGAAATGGGCTGAATGTATCGAAAGATTCTTCGAACTCTGCGACCTATCTGAAGAAGAACAGGAACGTATCTCCCACCTCAAAAAATCTATAACGCTGTTTTCGGCCTTTCAAATTTTATAAAATTTTCCAAAAAACTCCCTTTTCCCTGTCCCGAAGCGAAAACCTTTCAGATTTTATTAAAATTTTCCAAAAAACTCCCTTTTCCCTGTCCCGAAGCGAAAACCTTTCAGAATTTTTAAAAATTTTCCAAAAAACTCCTTTTTCCCTGTCCCGAAGCGAAAACCTTTCAATTTTTGTTCAATTGTTCATGAAAAATCCTTTTTCCCAGTCCCGAAGCGAAAACATTTCAAATTTTATTAAAATTTTCCAAAAAATCTTTTTTCCCAGTCCCGAAGTTCGCCCAGGTGCACTGTTCACCCAGGTGCACCGTTCGCCCAGGTGCACAATTCAAAATGTGTCAGGTGCACCGTTCGCTCAGGTGCCCCGTTCAGCCAGGTGCACTGTTTGTTTCAGGTGCACTGTTCGGACACAACCGTCCGCCAGGAATTCCGGGGGCGGCTGGCGCAACGTTTGAGGACGCGCTGGGGTTCCTTTTTCTGCCAGGACCGGGCTGGGCCGTCAGCCCAGCCACGAGTTGGCCCGGCTGGACTCCCAGCTCGCCACTTCTGGCTGCGACAGCCTAAATATAACAGGACGCGACTCGCTAATTAGACAGCGGGCAATTCGGTCCGTAGACCCAACAACTTCATTATCCAAAAATCCCTTCTTAGAAACCCCCATAAAGCTGGTTTGCTGGTCCGTAGACCTCTCAACCTTCTCTCCCAATTCCCCTCCCTCAAAATCCCAAATAATGCTGGCCTTCTGGTCCGTAGACCTTACAGTATCACCCGGCGGGGTCCCCCGACCGCCGCCATCATCGACCATCCTGGCCGGTTGCTCCTCTAAACACTGACTGAGTGGCGTCCTTTGGCCACCGATTTCACCAAACGATATGACTTAACAAAGGCACTGTCTTTCGAAGGCATCGCCTGATCGCCGGCACAGCCCGATCAAGTGGACCAAAGTGCCTGTATAAAGGATCGGGGCAGCGAAGACGCGGGGTCCGGACCAGGCACTTGAAAGACAGTGCCTTTGTTAAGTCATATCGTTTGGTGAAATCGGTGGCCAAAGGACGCCACTCAGTGTTTAGAGGAGCAACCGGCCAGGATGGTCGATAATGGCGGCGGTCGGGGGACCCCGCCGGGTGATACTGTAAGGTCTACGGACCAGAAGGCCAGCATTATTTGGGATTTTGAGGGAGGGAAATTGGGAGAGAAGGAAAAAAAAGAAATTTTTTGTCGATTCCTTGGTCAAAATATCAAAAAAATGTAGAGGAAAGAAGGAGGTGGTTTCTCCCCCAAAAAATCTTTTTCTCCGCCAGTGTGGAAGGTAGTTCATCCGGCGGAGACTTTTGATTGTTTTTTTGTTATCATACCAATCTTATCAGCTTGTCGGGAAAATAACGGCGCGTCTCGGAATCGCCCATCATCACTTTGCGACGGCTGCCAAAGCTGGAGATTTGGTGTGCGACTTCAACCTTTTCTGGACGAGGTGAGACATTTCGCTGCAACGACCCGCCGTTATTTTCCTGACAGACTGATAAATGCTTTTTTATTATGATGCAGAACTTCCGGAAAGTCTTCAAGCTTCTTGCAAAATGGATAAAAAAGCTGGCGACAGCGCTATAACAGGTAGCATGAAGAGACTGCACGGTAAGTCAGAAAAAATATATGATTTTATATCAGCTTTCTCTAACAAGTGAAGATTATTAAGTGCGACGTTCAGATTTTGATGAAACTTGGCCCAAATTTAGATTTTTCGGGCTCAGAAAGTTTTTGAGGTCTTCTTCGCCGTCGAATTTTTCACCCTGGATTTGATTTGAAAGGGGAAAAAACCTATCCAACGATATAAATAGTTTCTATTATCTTTCTCTCTGTAACGATTTATATCTCCTGCAAAATTTCAATTTTTTATCCTTTTATTCATGGATAAATGCACTTTATAAGGGCATAATTTTCAAAAAATGGTACCACTCGATAGCACATTGCCTATTCTATGAAATATCCAAAAATAAAGAAAATTCCGGCCCTTAGGGTACTACAAAATCCAAAAAAATAGCTTATTTTACGTGTTTTTGCATGTTTTTCGGGATTTTTTGCATCATATGCGCAAAAATGGAAAATCGGCCCTTATAACGTTGTAGTGCGCATTTGATTACATATATCTGTCAAATTTCACAGTTTCATCTCTACTCCACCCTGCGTTCTGCGCCGGTGTAGGTGTTCAGGAAAATAAATCCATGGGTTGTTCGACTCCTTATGACCGTACTTTTGTCTATTCATAATAACACAAGAACTGATATTCGAAAGTTATATGTATAGTCATGGGCAAAGGTATGGCGACTAAAAAAGTTTATTTGTTCTTAGGACAGAGAAAAATATTTTTTGTGGCTGGAGCCGAGAATTTTGTTTTTCATTGATCACGCTGTGTCTAAAAATTAAAATCGAATACCAAATTTAAAGCTACGCCGTAAAACAACTGTATTAGGTTGATGCATAATTATCCGGCGTTTATATCGGCGCGTTTTTTGTTAGTGAAAATTGGCGTTTTGTAAATTTTTTTCATAAAAATAATCTTCTCTAGTTAGTTAATAAAACTGCTTAATAAAAATATATTTTATAAATTTTACACTACATAGTTTATAAGCTCTGTGTCCGATCATACTCGCTTCTCATCCAGCTCTCCCATTTATGGTTGGCGATGCGATTGGCATAATTCCGGATGAATTCCTGGCCCTCTTTCGTCTTATGGCCTTGACGATAAACGGCTCTTCGCCATTCGGGAGTCATTCTGGAATCCGGGACACGTAAGTTCAGCTTTATTTCTTTGGTTTACACACAATGGAAGAGCCCTAAGTGCGAGGCTCAGATTTCGATGCAAATTGGCACAAATTTAGACGATTTTTTAAAGACTTAAAAAGTCCTATATTATGCTACAGTGGGGGACCTGATCCAGTGGCAAAAAACGTACCATTTTGCATCCGGGAAGTATCAAAAATGTGGCAAAATGCTCCCCTTTCCAAGTGAAAAAGCTTCGTTTTGAAGGGCTCCCTCACAAAAAGAGCGGGCGCGCTTTTGAAATCTGAGTTTTTCACTTGGAGAGGGAGGTATTTTGCTACATTTTTGATACTTCCCGTGCAAAATGGTACGTTTTTTGCCACCTATTGACGGTGTGCTAAAATTTAGAGAAAATCTGAGCATCGCATTTGCGCACCTCCCTTGTTTGTTTAGACTTATGTTTTAGCCTACTCTGTGCATCCGGCGACATCTTTCTCAGGCCCACAGTCTCTTTTGAACTGCTCGAACCACTGGCTTGTCTTCTCCACGACACTGGTGATATTGAGCTTGACAGCCTCGTCGAGGAAAGCCATTCCGAGCAATCTGGAATCGACGTAGAGCTATTCGGAGAAGAAATGATCCAACGATCGCCGAGGTTTGTTGTAACTTTCGCATACAATTTCGAAGCAAAAAATATATAATTCTTACCTGTTCTGCGGAGTTGGAATGTAATCAAAGTTGTCGCTGACGATCTGAACAGCTTTTCTTTCCAGCTAAAGTCAATGATTAAAGGATGGATTTCATCAAGAACGATGTAAATCTCACCTCTTTTTCCCTGGCCAAGTATCCCATCAGGAAATAATCGACTTTTCCCTTCTTTTTCTCAATGATATCATAGACAATTCCCGCAACTTCCTCAGGCTTAAATAAGCCCAAAAGTTGGGTTAGCAAGATGTCCAGGTTCAGTGAACTCAACTTGTAAATGCTCGGAGATTTGGCCAATTTTGACCAAATTTCTCCCTGAATTTTGTAGGTGGCAAAGCCTTTTCCTTCGTTGTTGAAAAAGTATTCTCCGTCGGCTTGAAGTTGGAAATTGTCAGCAGAACAAATGGAGCCGTCCTTCCGCAGCCACATGACATGCTCCTTGTTGGCGGTGAGGTCCAGCACAAACACCGGGACATTCCAAGTCCGGCCGCCCTTTTGAGGGACCTGTTTCAGAACGTATTTCCCATCCTCAATTGTGATGCTGACTTCTGGAGAACCGGCTCGAAGAAAGTAGTCTTTAACGTACTCGGTAATGGTCAGAGGTCCGCAAAGTTTGTCGGTTCCTTTGGCCTGAAACGAGGGAAAGAAGCCCAAGTGCAACGCTTGGATTTTGATAAAACTTGGCGTTAACTAGAATAGTTTTTTTTTGATATGCTTATGCAAGACCACTTGCTGGCGGCTTGCAGAAACAACCGAGATTCTGAGATCGAAAATCGGCTAAACAGGGGAAGTACCCCAAGTGCGACTCTCAGATTTTGATGAAACTTGGCACAAATCTAGAATAAGTTTTTTTAAAACATATGCGAGAATTCTAGCTCGCGCTTTGCAAAAACAACCGGGATTTTCAGATCAAAAGTTGGCGAAAATTTGTCACTGCCGAATTTCGGCACAAAAAGTTTCCTGTCTATTTCTACCATAAAGGGTAATCTTTCCACAAAAAATCAATTTTTTCCGATCGAAACTGGCAAAGTTATGGCCAAAAAGGGTTTTTTCTATGACCGCTCTCCGCGCTTACTTTTTAGCGTGCTCTCTCGGCGGCAAAGATCGTTCAATATCTCGGCGGCGCTTGCAAAGCGCGAGCTAAAACTTTGAGGAATTGATACTTTGTTCATGACGGATGTGTGTGCAAAATTTAAAGAAAATCTGAGCGTCGCACTTGGGGTAGTTCCCTTGTAAAGTACGAAACTTTTTGCCGAGGCGACCATGTTAAAAACCTGCTTACCTTGCTCCCCTTATCATTTTTTTCTTTATCATTTACCTGCAAGTACCCACCCCTCTCTCGTACCTTCACAAAGCTTCCAATCAACGTGTCCAAGCCGGCAACTCCAAACTTGTTTTCGACTTGATAAACCCGAAGTCCTTCGTAGAAGGCACCTCGACCCAGCGCATGTTGAACCGAAATGAGCAGTGCTCCGCCCACGGCGTACGTAATAGCTGGAACATCTGTTAGACCTCACGTAACGCCATCCTTACAATCGAAGCGCGCCCGCTCGTCCACGATCGGATGATTGGCGCTGGCGTAGGTTTGAACGGCGTTCGATATTCGCGCCGGCTCCGCAAGTTGCTGAAAGTCGTTCATGAGCGGAATGTGGAGGACGAACTTACCGCCAGATAACCCGCCTCCGTGTTGAACATGGCGTTGGTTTCGAAGAAAGTGGCGAAGGACTCGTGGAGAAACTCCCAACCCCAATGGTCGGCGGTGACCAGGTTCCCGAACCTAAGCTTACAAGGGAAGTAACCCAAGTGCGATGCTCAAATTTTCCTCAAATTTTGCACGCACGTCGGACATTCCTGAAAGTCTCGCGCTTTGCACGCCGAGATATTGAACGATTTTCGCCGCGGAGGGAGTACACTAAACGTGGAGAGCGGTCAGGCCGAAAAACACTTTTTGGCCATAACTGCCGGTTTCGCGCGGAAAAAAAATTAATTTTTCATGGAAAAATTACCCTTTACGGTAGAAGTAGGTACCAAACTTTTCGTGCCGAAGTTCGGCAAAAATTGTCAAATTTTTGCCAACTTTCGATCTTAAAATCTCGAAATTTCTGCAAAACTCGAGCTAGGACTCTCGCATATATCTTAGAAAAAAATATTCAAAATTTGTGCCAAGTTTCATCAAATCTGAGCGTCGCACTTGGGGTACTTCCCTTGTGAGTTACAGTGAGCCTTCGACGACATCTGTGAATCACGGAAAGCTCAAAATCAATAATTTCTTACCATTGATGTGCGGTTTCATGGCACATGACCCTCCGCTTGTAGGTGTTCTCGTATAGCGTGTATCCAAAGCCCTCCGGAACGGCGTGGTTGTAAATTATCAACCCGAAGTTCTCCATAGCGCCACTGCTCGCACCAATGCTGTCCAAGTGATCTGCAAAAGGTGTTGAACCACATGTTATCTATGCCTATCTTCCTACCCAATTTTTGCAATGGTAGCCGCACTTGAACCAAACTTTCCATTGCGTCAACGCAGAGGGCGCCGTATTTTGCCGAATTTTTTATAAACGGTTGTTGATTTCGGACGACAATTGCGCGATTCTGAAGCGTTCAATATTATAAAGATTACAGATCTGGTCTACCATCACTCCACTTTTTGATGTGTAATTCGACTCTACAAAGTCGCCAATGGCAAAAGCCAGTAGGTACGTGGACATCTTCGGTGACGTCTCGAATTTTGTGAGTACTCGCTGTTCACTGAAAGTTCACCTCTTTGTAGAGTTCCTGATCGTTAAGACGCCGTGCTACGGCAGTGGGGGGACCTAATCCAGTGGCAAAAAACATACCATTTTGCATCCAGGAAGTATCAAAAACAAGTCAAAAAACTACTTCAAAACGAAGTTTTTTTCACTTGAAGAGGGAGGCATTTTGCCACATTTTTGATACCTCCCGGATGCAAAATGGTACGGTTTTTGCCACTCGATCAGGTCCGTCACTGTAGACCGTTTGTAAAGTCGCTGGTGTTCGCATTGTACGAGAAAAGTCAGATTGCGAGCGAAAAAGAGCCTATTGCACGGTGCAAGAGACAAGAAGTTAACAGTGAGGTGAGCTTTTGGTTTCGTAGAGTGCATGTCCCGAAAATCACTACAGCAACTTTGCGTTCGGACCAGAGATTGCCACGGACAAAATTTCGGCTCCGGCTCTTAGCTCCCAAAGCCGAAGCCGAGGCCAAATTTGCGGCTCCCGATGTACCGGTTCCCGATTTTTTTAAAAAAATATTTTTCCAAAAATAAAAGTTATTGGTGCCAGAGATGACACACCTAACGTTTTTGAGCAAATTCGTAAGTACGCAACACATACTTCCCGGTATTTTTCAAGCAATTGGTTTCACAAGATCACGAAATTTTTACTTTTCTGAACACTGAGAAGCCTGGCTCCGATTTTGGGATCGGAGGCAAAGCCGCTCAGAGCCGGCTCCGAAGCCGTGACAATCTCTGGTTCGGACTGCAGAAAAAACCTCTTTACAAATACTCTGCTTTAATCTGAAGTCCAGCCCTACCGCCGAACCTCCAGACGTCGATTAAACTCACTCAAAATACCGCTGCTCCTTGATCTCCCCGTTACTGTAGGCTTTGGCGCCTTTCGGATGAATCAGCGCCACATCGAAGCTGGCTTTGAAGAAGGGATCGTCGAAACAAGGGAACGCTGCACGAGCTCTGGTCGTCTCAAATTCCGTCGCCACCAACGCGCTAAAAGAACGGGCTGCAACCGCATCCACTGCTCTTACGTATCCCTTCCCTCCGGGTTCTTGTACGCGAGAAAGTTCACCCCACCGTACCACACCACATTCATCGAATTTTGGTACTTGAAGCTCAATGTGTAATTTGTATTCGGCACCAGTCTCTCAGCCGTGCGCAGAACCAGAATCGACTGCAGTCTTGTTTCGTTTTTCAGGATTGCAATCCGCCGACGGCCGTCATTTAGAGACATGGAGTTTACGTCGACCAACGACGCGAGAACAACCTCGCTTGTGGTTTTTAGGACGGAGAACGAAATCTTGGTCGCTCCGTTAAAGGTGTTTTTGAGGGCTGAAAAAAAGGATTCGCCTTTTGCCAAACATTTCTATTGGGTTGTTCAGAAAGTTCCGACAGTTTTTTTATCCTGTTGTTTTACAATAATTTGTTTATTGTTTGGCAGTGTGAATATACTCGTTTAATACAGCGTTTTCTCCTCTACAAAACTGTGGATTTAGTTTTTTTTTTTGAAAATTTTATTTTTTGTTATTTTGTCTAAAGTGACCCATCCAAGAGGCAAAAATTGGCTCCCATGTTGCACAAGTCGTCAAAGCCGCACTCGAAGAGCTCGAGTGGGACGTTCTTCAGCATCCACCATACTCTCAGACCTTGTGCCAACCGATTACCACCTTTTCCGACCGATTAACACCTTGTCCTCGATGAAAAGCGAAAAAAAGCAGATGCTGTAAACGCAAATTTTTGCCTCCTGGATGGTTCACTTTTGAGCACGGAAAATAATAAAAAATTAAATTTTCAAAAAAGATTAAAAGCACAATTTTGTAGAGGAGAAAAAACTGTATCAAATGAATGTATTCATATTGCCAGACAATAAACAAATCCTTGTAAAACAAAAAAGTAAAAAAAACGACGGAACTTTCTGAACAACTCAATGTAATTTTAAACACCATGGAGCAACGGAACCCGTATATAACCTACAGTTCCGAAACAGTTTCTCATTAGGACCTTCGAACCTTACCTTTATTGTATTCAAAGCCGTCATAGTCGAAGAACGGCTCGATTTGAATGTCATAGGAATGGACAACGACATCGCGAGGCAATCTGTCGTCCCTGTCCACGTCCGCAACCACCTTTCGTCGCTTGAAGTTGTTCACGAGGAAAGCGTTGAGCGGGTCTTCATGGATCTCTAAACCAACAAATCTTTAAACCTCTTTATCCTACTCTCGTAAATCGCATGCCGCTCGTCATTGCAATCGACTAGAAGCAAAATAGAAAGTAATATTAGCAGAGACCTCATTTTCAACGCTGGAGACAATTTCCTAATTAGAAACGCGGGTCTTTATCAGCAGCATTTACGATACAACGTCACAAATTTTCGCTTGATCACATTATCAGTATGATTAACGAATTAAATTTATTTTTGCTGACCAAAGTTCACATGGTGTCCAGAGAAGTTCGTTGAATTTTTTTTGTCGATTCCTTGGTCAAAATATCAAAAAAATGTAGAGGAAAGAAGGAGGTGGTTTCTCCCTCGAAAAATCTTTTTCTCCGCCAGTGTGGAAGGTAGTTTATCGGGCGGAGACTTTTGATTGTTTTTTTTGTTATCATACCAATCTTATCAGCTTGTCGAGAAAATAACGGCGCGCCTCGGAATCGCCCATCATCACTTTGCGACGGCTGCCGAAGCTGGAGATTTGGTGTGCGACTTCAACCTTTTCTGGACGAGGTGAGACATTTCGCTGCAACGACCCGCCGTTATTTTCCTGACAGACTGATACATGCTTTTTTATTATGATGCAGAACTTCCGGAAAGTCTTCAAGCTTCTTGCAAAATGGATAAAAAAGCTGGCGACAGCGCTATAGGTAGCATGACGAAACAGCACGGTAAGTCAGAAAAAATATATGATTTTATATCAGCTTTCTCTAACAAGTGAAGATTACTAAGTGCGACGTTCATATTTTGATGAAACTTGGCCCAAATTTAGATTTTTCGGGCTCAGAAAGTTTTTGAGGTCTTGTTCGCCGTCGAATTTTTCACCCTGGATTTGGTTTGGCAGGGAGCGGAAAAGGTGGTAATCGGTTGGCGCAATGCGTGAAATCCTTCTTCTGGGTTTGAGAATTATCTCTTTACTGTTTGAATAAACCAACGCGACACACTTTTGACGCCAAATATTTTATCAAACTTTGTGATTTCAAGCACTTAGTACTGGAGGCGGTTTTGTTCTGGCGTCATCCACTCCTGCAACGGATGAGCTTCGATTCTTTTTCGATAGTCCCTCAAAAACTTCAGACCTTCTTCGGTTTTGGCGCCTTGATCGTAGACCGCGCGGCGGTATTCCGGAACAATTCTGAACGAATTTCGTTTTGTTTTCACTTCCTCGGCTCACCTTGGGCATTCCACAATGTCCTTGCCGACCGCGCAATCCCGTTTGAATTGCTCGAAAAGCTTGGCGGTTTCGCGTACAGCGCTTGTAGCATTGGCTCGAACAGCTGGCTGGAGGAAGTACCCGCCGAGCAGTCTGAAAATTTATGGTTTTGTGTTGCAGTGGGGGACCTGATCCAGTGGCCAAAAACGTACCATTTTGCATCCGGGAAGCATCAAAAATGTGGCAAAATGCTTCCCTCGCCAAGTGAAAAAACTTCGTTTTGAAGGGTTCCCTCACAAAAATAGCGGACGCGCTTTTGAAACCGGAGTTCTTTCACTTGGAGAGGGAGGTATTTTGCCACATTTTTGATACTTCCCGGATGGAAAACGGTACGTTTTCTGCCACATTTTTGATACTTCCCGGATGGAAAACGGTACGTTTTTTGCCACTGGATCAGGTCCCCCACTGTATGCCGATTTTAGAGGCATTCCTAGCTTGTGCTGTGTAGAAACGACAAACTTAGGTAGAAGGTGGGAAAAGGAGAAATTTTTTGCGGGTTTTGAGATGTTTTATGTCTATTTCTACCGCGAAGTGCAATATTTCCACAAAAAATCGATTTTTTCAGCGCGAAGCTGGCCAAGATTTGGCCAAAAAATGTTTCTTTCTCTGACCGTTCTCGCGTATTTTCTCGGCCGCCTTTTGGAAAGCGCGGACCAAAATTTTTAGTGAATGACGTCTGATATGCGTACACCATATAACTCGACCTCAAACCCACCTATTCTCCACTGTAGGTTTGTAGTCGAAATCATCGCTGAGTATATTCCAGACCTCCAATTCTCTCTACAAAATGTCTTTCCTCCCTCTCTTTTTCACTCACCTTGTCGTCGACATGGCGCAACAGGAAGTACGGGACTTTGCTCTTCTTCTCCACAATCGCCCCGTAAGCGATATCGCTGACGTCGCCATAACTTGTGCCAGTGGGAACATGGTCCAGAAGATGCTGCATGTTGTGAACGGAGAGCTCCGAAAATTTGAGACTTTCGAGCGTCTTCAACGCCGCTCTATCGTTCACGTTGAACACTGCAAAGCCTTTTCCTTCGTTGTTGAAGATGTACGCCTTCTGGGGGTCTAGTTTAACGTTGTCCCGGCTGCAAATACTGTTGTCCTTGAGAAGCCAGAGAAGATGTTCTTTTTTGTTTGCAATGTCCAGAACAAAGACCGGGACATTCCAGGTCTTGCCGTCGCTGGCCGCGGAGTCTTGCTCTATTCGGTACTGATTGTTTTCAAGTGTAACGTTGACTATCGGAGAGCCAGTTCGAAGAAAATAGTCTTTCAAATACTCGGTGACGGTTAGAGAACCACAAAGTTTGTCGGTCCCTTTGGCCTACATAAATAATCGTTAAATCATTAGTTTATTATTGGTATTGTTGGTTGAAGAACGCTGCATCCGCGGCTCTCCGAATTTTGGATGTCTCTTGCAAGGTACGTTGAACTCTCCTCCTTTTCTGAACTCCCCCCCTTTTTGAACACTCCCCCTCATTTTGAAAATTGAAAAAATTAGGTGTGACATGTTATACGATGGAAATTTTTTTTCAAATTGAAAGGGATAAGGTGTGACTTGTTATACCATCGTACATGTCACACCTCATTTTTTCAATTTGAAAAAAATTTTCATCGTATAACATGTCACACCTAATTTTTCTCAATTTCAAAAAAATTTTCATCGTGTAACATGTCACACTTCGTTTTTTTTCAATTTTCAAATTGGGGGAGTGTTCAAAAAAAGGGAGTCCCGATTTTTTGGCGAAAATCAAAAAAGGGGGAGAGTTCCGCTTTTTTTGGGGGAAAGTTGAAAAAGGGGGAGAGTTCAAGCTCAACCGGCAAGGCATGAGGGTTTAGGAAATAAATTTTTGTCTAGTCGAAACAAGCGTTAACCTCTTGTCTTGCATTAACGAGCCACCCCTGAAAACGCCTTCCTCACCTTGATGAAGCTCTCAATCAACGTGTCCAATCCCGCACTACCGTATTTGTTTTCGGTCAAGAATATATGCAGCCCTTTGTAGAAGTTATCTCCAAGAGCATGTCGCACCGATGTCAACAAAGCCCCTCCAATGGCATAAGTAATCCCTGAAGAAGGTGACCATTCAGACAGCCGTTAAAAGACTTACGGTCAAACCTCCCAACATCGTCGACGATGGGATGCCGTGCTTTGGAATACCCTTCAACGGCGTTTCGAATCAGTGGGACTTGGGCAATCTCCTGGCAAAAAATGGATACATAAAATGGTTGAGCTTACCGCAAGATACATGAAATCCGGATCCAAAAGAGCTTTGGTTTCGAAGAAAGTGGCGAAAGACTCGTGAATGAACTCCCAGCCCCAGCGATCGGCCGTGACGAGGTTCCCGAACCTAGAATGACGTTTTTCCTACATAACTTTTCTCGGTTCCCCATACCACTGATGTGCAGTTTCATGACAAATTATCCTTCTGTCTAGGACCAACTCTGCCATGTTCTTCCCGAGGCGTTCGTATACGGTGCCGCCATAAATGATCAGCCCCCAATTCTCCATGGCGCCCAGCAATGCGACACTGTCCAAATGGTCTGCAAATCATCAACGAATGGCTTAAGTTATTGACAAATTTGAAAAAGTGGCAAATCGCGCGCTTACCCAGCTTCTTCAACGGGTAGCTGACGTTGACCAGGCCCTCCATCGCATCCACAACCGCCGCGCCGGTGAGCGCGCCGTTTCTGAGGAAGGGTTTTCGGCCGCGCACGGAGATTGCTCGGTTCTGCAAAGGAGAGATTTACGGTACGCGTTTTGGCAGAGTTTTTTTTTGTTTCTCCTACCAAAACTCCACTCTTCGAATACGCTTCGACCTCCTCGAAGTCGCCGATGGCAAACGCGACCAGATATGTGGACATTTTCGGCGAGGGCTTGAATCTGGTGAGAAGTCGTTGCTCACTGAAACATGCTGATTTCAACAGTCTGTCGGTAAATAATGAGCACACTGTCGCACCGAAAATCGCATAGCTGCCGAGGAAATGGCGGGCCCAGACTTGTGGGCAACACCTTTGCGGGCAGCCTGAAGAACCACGCAGATTCTGCGTGGTTCGTTTGGAAATCAGCCAGCAATTGTCGAGTCCCGAGACGTAAACTACGATTACTGTATTTATTGGCATTCCGTTTCATTCGAAGCTTCTCGAAGCTCGGAAGGGAAATCGGACTTCAGTTGTTGTTTTTATCATTATTCAGTGAATGATATCTCATCTCTTGTTATTTCTATCTGATAATAAACCTATTATATATTTATTATCCACTGGCTGACATCAACTCCTTCACACGTACACAGTGAAGGATACAACAACACTTACTTACAACAGGATGATCAAGCGGTGGATCTGGCAGTTAGATGTTGCCAATTAAGTCTCCAGGTGTATCAGTGGCTTGAATAGTCATCATCAGGTTAACCAGACATTTCTATCATTTTTTTGAAAACAAACTTTCATAACTTTGAAAGCAGTGGATGCATTCTATAGATGCGTTTACTTATCAGTACCAGGAAGTTGTCAATGCAAAATTTCCATCGTACAGCATAGCTTACGGTTGGAAGATCGTAATTCTAATCGAAAAATGTCAGCTGCCCGCAAAATGGTTGCCCGCAAGTGTGGCGATGCCGAGGAAATGTCTTGTGTCGCGGCAAAATCAAATTGCATTGCTTTCAGCTGCCCAAACAGCCGCTGAGAGCCTCCCAACTTACTCGAAATACCGCTGCTCCGCGATTTGCTCATTGCTGTAGACTTTGGCATTCCTCGGGTGGATCAGTGAGATGTGGAAGACGGATTTGAACCATGGGTCATCAAAGCATGGGAACGCCTTTCTCGCACTGATTGTTTCGAATTGTGTGGCTAGTAGGGCTCTAGAACAATATTTTCGAAATGCTTCTAGTGGGCTCGTCTCCGAAACTCACGTCCAATTTCCCTCCGGATTCCGGTAGTCCGCAGTGAAAACGCCGCCATACACTGCGCGCTGCATACGACTCGAATATTTAAAGTTTAGCGTGTAGTTTTTACGTGGTGCCAGCTCTTCGGCTGTCCGTAATACCAAAAGTGAATTCGCTTTCGTTTCGTAATCAAGAACCTTGATTCTTTGGCGGCCCAAGGTAAGGCTGATCGCTTGGAGATCGACCGATGAAGCCAACACAATTTGGGTGGTGGGTTGGAGGACAGAGAACACGATCTTGGTTTCTCCGTTGAAAGTGTCACGGAGTGCTGAAAGAGAGACGGTTTCGTCGGGCAAAAAGAAACACAGGGAAGCCTCGGGGAGGCCAAAAAGTCCGCATCCCCACTTTTTGGGACGACGACAGCTTGGGTGAACACAAAATCAATCGATACGGGGTGTAGAGTAGGTGAATACCAAAAAAAATTGCAAAAAGTGCCTACGAGGAATGACAAATACCGTTGGATGCTCGGCGAAGGCCGAAAAGGACTTTTTGTCCATAACTTTGCTAGTTTCACGCGGAAAATATTGATTTTTTGTGGAAACACTACCCTTTATGGTACAAATAGGTATGAAACTTTTTGTGCCGAAATTCGTCAAAGAGTCTTAAATTTTCGCCGACTTTCGATCTACATAAAAATCTCGGCTGTTTGTGCAAAGCGCGAGCAAGAATTGTCGCATATACATATTTTAGAAAAAATATTCTAAATTTGTGCCAAGTTTCATCAAAATCTGAGCGTCGCACTTGGGGCACTTCTCCTGTGAGCCGATCCATTGTATCTACCGTTCACCCGAACTGTCGCTGACCCGAAAAATCGTAGCGCCGACAAATCCACATTTGCAAATGGGCTTACATTTGTCGTACTCAAACCCTAAGTAGTCGAAGAAAGGTTCAATCCGTATGTCATACGAATGCACAACCACATGTCGGGGAAGCCTGTCATTCCGTTCCAGCTGGAACGCCAACTTTGGCTTCCCAAATGGGTGTACAAGAAAGGCGTTCACCGGATCCTCTTCGATCTCTAAGCAGTTGTCTTAACAAAATTACTCATGTCCTACTTTTCAAAATCTCGTCATTATTGGGCTCACAATTGGCCAATCCAATTGCAAGACAGAGCAGAAGCCTTCGCATGTTCGTGTAGATGTCATAAAATTAATACTTGCGGTCTTTATAAATGCTCAAAATTGCTGCTATCGATAAATTAGCAACCAATAGTCGGATTAATCAGCCAATACTTTTCTCGGACGCTCCTAGAAAAGGAGTGGGCGAGTATAAACTACATATCAGTGGGATCTCTAGTATAGAACGGAAGAATTAAAGATATTATGTTATAGATAATGTAAACGTGCACAGACTGCATGTTGTACATTTTTATGGACGATTAGACTGATTCTACTGCCCAGTTGTCCGATATTTGAGCTTTCCGGGAGAACTTCTAACACGGAATCTCTTCTTTGGACTTTTGAGCCCTTACTTTGCCCGCATGGTGCCCTCAGGGTTTGCATAAACTTTGTGAAGCCAGATGCTTCTTGCGCTGTCTGAGGCCTTCAACATCCACTAGGACACCAGCACGAATCGATCTGCAAAAAAAATTCTTTTTCAGGAAAACTTTTCTCTCCAACCGATCTCCGTACTTTTCGTGCTCTCTCATCTCAGCGGCTCGAGTTAACATAATGAAAAAGCGATAACTCGCCTGATACGAAAAATTTGAAAAATCTCTGACGCTACGCGCTTCGTAAGCCCCGGGCCAAGGCTTTCGTTAAGCGGAATGTCTTGCCGATCTGGCAGCAAAATACACATGTTGCTGTTTATTCTTTAATCGATTTGAGACCATCACCTTTTCAATTTGAGCCTCTTCACCGAAGACACCTTTTCCGATTAGAGAACACGAAATTGTTATATGTAACAGCTTTCTCTAGGTGGGTCAAAATGTCCTGCCCGGAAGCGAAGACATAACTTTGAAAGCCTTGCAAAAATTCTGTCATACTTCGTAGATTACGGTACAAAGGAAGAATGACCGTCAAACTTTCGGCCCTCAACATCAAATAATCGATTCCACATTCTGTACGTTGAAGCCATTACGTCCTACCACACCTTTAATTATAAACTATAAACTAAGACTCTCGCAAGGTTTTGATGGGAATATCAGAACACGATTTTCAATTGAAGCGCCTTCCGTTAAACTAAAAGTACATAACGTACCTTATCAGCAAAAAAACATCAAAAAACTTCCACAGTAGTTCCTCGTCATCCTTAACATATCAAGTGCGTCAACTTTTCGATGCAAAGTTTTCCGCACTGTGCAATTGGAATCAAATCCACTGCTCAAAAATAAAAAGCTTTCATCGTATAAAATGTCCCCCTCCTCCCAAAAAGTGGTCCCTAATCTCAATTCCACATCGCTCAACAATCTACACTTTGCTCGCCTCAAAAATTTCAAATTTACCCAACAAATGTAATAATATCGAACTGAAAACAATGATCCTAAAACAATAACAACCCTAGATGGTGAAGACTTTCGGTTTGATGAGTCGGCGGAGTGAGCGCTTCGCCAACGAGCCCCTGGAGAACTTGTGGCGCAGACGGCGGCGTAAGGGGAGACCGACTTCGGCCCGGATCGTGTTTTCGAAGGTATCCGCCACTTGGAAAACGTTGATGGGATCGGCTTCGAGTTCGCGTTTCGAGAGGAGGGAAAGGTCGGTCCTGAAGAAGGAAAAATCATGATAGTTGTACTTCTAGGACGTTTTGGGACTTTTTTGAGCCAAAAGCAAAGAAAATTTTAAAACTTTTTTTTTCAAAATGTTGCACATCAAGGATAATGTAAAAATTTTGAAAAAAAAATTGTCTCAAATGAAGACAAATTTCAAACAGCTTATTTCTGGAGGAAAGAAGTTTCATTTTTTCTGAAAATCGAGAAAAATTTTTAAAAAACTTTTTTTTAAATTCGAGATGTCAAGGATAATGTAAAAATTTTGAAAAAAATTGTCTCAAATGAAGACAAATTTCAAAAAGTTTGTTTTTGACGGAAAAAAGTTTAATTTTCCCTCCTAAAATTAAAAAAAAAATAAAAGAAAAATTTCACTTACTCAGCGCCAACAACATCGGCCAGATGATGGTTTGGCTTCTCAAACTGATGAATTGGAATTTGATCATTCAAGAAACTGAAGCTTTGTTCGTTCCATCGGATGTCCCAGATCTTCAATAAACTCAGTTGGGCGGCCAGGTCGGTGGCAATTGAAAGGTATTCCCCTGGGGCTGAAATTTAAAAATTAGTTGGCAAAAAACTCAATTTTTTCAAAATTTGACTTAAAATTTTTTGCATTTTCTTCAAATCTCGGGTTAAAACTCTCAATTGACCTTTAGAAAATTCGCCTTTAACTTTGTGCCAAGTTTCAAACAGAAATTAAAAAAATTTTTTTTTCAAAATTACCTTACCCTTCTCCACCAGCTGTTCATCTCCATAAATCCCGACCATATACAAGGGCATGGCCGAAAATTCGCCATGCGAGTGAATAATCCTGGCTTCCACTTTCCTACACGACCCAACCTTCTTCAAATACGCTTCTGCGATGGGCAATGGCTCGCGAAATGGCAGGACGTCTTCGAAGGGGACCTCGGTGAGATAGGGCAAAACAAATTCATTGACAAATCCGTGAACTCTCGAACCGCTCATTGCTCCTAATAAGGCCCAAAAAGCGGCGATCACATCGTCTTTTGGTGGGGGGAAATTCAAAGTCCGGACCAGATGTTGGATTCCCAGCTGATTCGAAATGGTGAGGAGATTTTCGGTGGTTAGGATATGATCCACAACCCCTTGAACATATTCTTCGGGCGCTTTGGGCCACTGATGACGGAGGATGGCGCTGAGTTGCCATCGAAGCCGGTGTTCGCCTAAGATACGACCTTACTTTAGATGGACAAGTGAAATCCCAAAATTTGGATTAATAAATTTCGAAAATTTATCTCAGATTCAATTCATTACGGCTGTCCAATTTCATCTCTCATAAGGTGCCTAAATTTCCAAACAAAAACAAATAAAATCTCACCTTTATCAATGAAAATGCTGTTATCTTCCCTAGAGGATTCCCCATTTTGTTCCACGATCACTTCGGCTCGATCAAAATAGGTTGGACTCGTCATTATCCTAGTAAGTTCATCTTTCTTCAAGTCCTCAACTCCAGCACGATGTTTGAACGCCGCCAATTCTGTGTTGAAATTCCTAAAAAGAGAAGCTCAAAAACATCCAAAACAAAACAGAAACCCTTAAATTTTTGTAGAATTTTAAATGAATCAGAAAAAATAATTATTAATCTCCGTCTTTTAACCTTTTCCAAGACAAAACACAGGGTTTTGGATCAAACTTTCATCAGCTTTCGGATTAATTTATCTAAAATCAAACAACAAAGCAAAAAACCCTACCAATTCGGATATGCGCTCCTTGGAAGTGGATCATCTGCTCCCAACAGCTCTCTTCTGTGATATAGATCCTTCAAATAACCCTGCCGCCAATATTCTCTCATTCCTCTACCTAAATTTTCAATTATTATCCATGAACAACATGATAGAACTTACATTGCTGATAAATACTGGAATTTGCACGGCCAAACCTCTGTAAAAACATTTGCCTGACCTCACGGATATTGGATGGACAATATTCGAAGAGATTTCGACGAAAAAGGAGGCAAGAATAATATTTATTTTCGGCGAGATGCGCCCCAGGTTTTGTATTTTTCGTGTGCTATTTTATACGAAGGACTGTGAAAAACGAAAGGACGGTTATTTTAATGTGTTGGACGCAATTTTACGATATTTATGATTAAAAGACCAAAATCTGTATCAATTTCTTCACACATACACAATGAATCACATCTTTTATTGATATTACACTTGATTTTCCCATAAAATTTAAATAAAATTGTCTACAATCTTTCCTAAAACGATTAACATGAAAATTACAAGTTTTTTGAAATCACTGTTCGTAGTTATAACTTATTATGGCCTATGAAGATAAATAATAGCAATATTATTTTGCAAATCGTTGCATTTTTCTATTTACATTTGAAGTTTTTTCGTTTCTCCTCCGAAACTTCGCCGTGTTCGTCTTTTAGAGCCTGATATCGAACCTGAAAGCAGATGAGATCATAATATTACATAGAATTTTGCAGTGGCAAAAAAAGTCGGAAAATCTGTCATGACTGCAAAATTTCTGAAAAATGTGTCAGGATGACATCTTTTAAGTGTAAAAATTTTTTTAGCTCTTATTATGTGCCAGAAGAATATTTTGAGGTCATGGCGAAAGATTTCAAAGAAAGCTTACGAAATGACATTTCCAAAAAATGTGTCATCATGACATGCCTTTTTCAAAAAATGTAATTGTTTTTACAAAATCACGTAACACCTGTCATCATGACCATCATTTCAAAAAAATACTAGACAAATTTTCATAAAATCCGTCATCATGACGTATTTTTTTGAAAATCAAAAAATCAGCCTAAACACGTCAAAATTTTCCAAATCGTAAAAAATTTTTGAAAAATCACGGTGTGATGGCAAAATTTTTTTTTCCAACAAAAAATCGGTCCTTACATGTTTCAAGTTCGCATAATACTCCCGTCCCAGCCGCGCCAACGTCGGCTTCTCGATGAACGTCCGATTGTAGAGCACCTCCAACCAACAAGTGACTGCATTGAAGTCGAAGTCGGGCATCAATTTGTTGACATAGATCGCCGGAATTGGATCGATATGAGTGGCCAGGTCCTCAATCCCGTAGATGCATATACTATGGCGGAAATGCCCACTGCTACAGGTCCCACGGTCGCCCCAGTTGGAGTGTCGGGTAATGTAACCGCTGCTGACGTCCTCGTCAATGCATTTTTGCGTGTAGTGACCGGGAATTCCTGAAAAATCGTAATAGAAAATGATGACAACCAGAAAATGATGATAAATATTTATAAAGTATGGTAGATGTACGAATGAGATTGGACCGATTTCCTTAAAACTTCGCCTACATGCGTTATATAGGCTGCTTATCAAACCGTAAAATTTTTGGCTCACGCTTTTAACGGAAAGCCGAGATATTAAACTTCCGACGAGAGAGCATGCGAAATGCGGAGTGTTCACAGAGAAAACCGCTTTTTTGGCCATATATCCGTGAATTTTGCGCGAATTCACTGCACGGAAGAGAGAAAATGTCCATGAACTTTATGAAAATAATACTCTCAGTCTGTCGGGAAAATAATGAGCACTCTGTCGGATTCAAAATCGCTTCAGAAAATGAATGGTGTCGCGGCAAAAGCAATTTTCTCTTCATTTCAGCGATGCGATAGAGGCAATGAAATTGTGCTCATTATTTTCCCGACAGACTGATAATGACGCTTTCCCCGACAATCAAGTTAATCCTTTTCACTGAAAAAACTAGCATCGCATCCAAATAACGGCTCAAAAATGCCGTTCTTACCCAGCAAATCCATTGACAACAGAGTTGGAAAAACGATCTCATCGATCCCATAAGTCTTCCCATCATCCACTTGATTCATTAAATTGGTCAGATCCAGTTCATTGAACATGTAATCCATGGCCTCTCTGCTAATCGAGATCTCATTGTAACCCTTTGCAAATGTTATCTTCGGAGGCGCAGTGGACTTCCAGGCGGTCATGATTTTCTCCAATTTCTTTGCTAAACACATATTGAATGCATTCCGGAAATTAAAGCCTACGATCTTTGAAGATTTTCATTTTTGTCAGACTCCAATCCAAGCTCTTGTTCACCCTTCCAGGCTCCGGATTTAGCTCGATATCGTTGGAACCGTTCAGCCATTTGAAAATGGCGACCTTCTCGAAGTTGGTTTTGGCGGGGAAGTCGTGGTTCTGAAAGCGTAAAATGCGAAATTTAGACATAATATTACGATGGTATGCAGGTATGGTGTATGAGATTGTTAGAGAATCTTACAAGAGTAACATAATAGTATAATACCGCTGGAATTTTGTCTAGACAGTTTACAGAAAGGCCACACATCCATTTGCAAGAATTTCAGCTCTTCATTGCGCCGGAGGCATTCAAGGTTTTCGCAGACGAGATATTATGAAAAATGAATGGGCTGGCCTAGAATTTTGGCTCGTATCAGCCGTTCAGCAAAGGTATATAAAAAAATTAAACGGTTGTGGTAAAGCAGGACAGTTGACAATTATAAAACTATTTTTCTTTCCATTGATTACGGTATTCGTGCCGGGATACACCGGCTTTTAGTTTTGTCCATTTTTTGGCCCACCCTGTAGAGGCGGTCGGCCAAAAAGACCGTATCATCTATGGCGTTGCCAACTCAAATAAAACTCTCTTTCTACAAAGGAAGTACCCCAAGTGCGACGCTCGGATTTTATTAAAATTTTGCGCACACTCTGTACGCAGGCCACCTATCTATTCTTGAAAACTCTTATACCCTTCCCGTTTTCGGAAAGCTCGAACTAAGAATCTAGCATCTTGGAGTATTCGCTTGTCCGTTTTATCCTATGTGATGCAATGTTTATTGTCATTTTCAAGCTATGCCATCGAAATCTTTTTTTTTTAATTTTTACATATTGTTTGTTTTCTCTCTGGTCTGTGAGCATAATATTTGCTAGCACAAACTTTTCCAAGTCACAGGTTCCATCTCTATCAATCTTTCCCACATATACAGTGGGCGGACCTGCTCCAGTGCCAAAAAACGTACCATTTTGCATCCGGGAAGTATCAAAAATGTGGCAAAATGCTTTCCTCTTCAAGTGAAAAAGCTTTGTGTTGAAGGGCTCCCTCACAAAAAGAGCGGGCGCGCTTTTCAAATCTGAGTTTTTTCACTTGGAAAGGGAGGTATTTTGCCACATTTTTTTATGCTTCCTGGATGCAAAATGCTACGTTTTTTGCCACTGGATCAGGTCCCACACTTTAGGCGTTTTCTGGACCCCGCGCATTAAAAAAACATTCCCTTCCACCCACCTGCAACAGCATGACGTATTTCCATTTCTTCTCCGGAGTAGTCAACATCTTCAGGCAATCTATGTGGGCCAAGTCCATTCTATGGCCGGCGCTGTCCATCTCCCGAAACTCCTGCGCCACCATCACGTTCGGGAAGCATTTCGCCAACGCTTTTATTCGCGCTCGAAACAAATGGTCCGCCGATTTGTCGATGGCGTAGCAGTAATAGTTTTGAGGCTGATAAGTGGCGGCCAGCATGAGTTCCATGTAGTAATAGTCTTTGAAGACATTTCTAGCGATCGCAACAGGGAAATCGGCTTCATCGGGGGTTGTGGGTGAGGAAGGGAATCTGTGGCGAGATCGGATGGAGGCACAGTCACCGGGAAGGTCATCAAAGTTGTCGGGGTCTTCTATTCGGTATCTGAAATGTCAGGTGAAGGGGAATAGTGGAGCCTAGAAAAGGCTGAAAGCCGAACATAGGCATGAACATTCTTGTCAATTTTTAAGTACCTCAAGTGCGACTCTCAGATTTTGATGACAATTGGCACAAATTTAGCATCATTTTTTCTAAAATATATGCGAGAATCCTAGCTCGCGCTTTGCAGAAACAACCGAGATTTTTTGATCGAAAGTCGGCCAAAATTTAAAACACGATTTCTGACTCACTGGATCAGCCGTGTGCAAGGCCGGGACATAGGAAATTTTCGATTTTGAGATTTACAGCTGGATATGACCGCACCCATCATATAAGTGTGTCCCTGAAGCCTTCTGCCCTAATTCTCCCGTTAACCTAGTTTTATTTACAACTTAAGCAATTTACAGTAACGTCAAATAACTCAAAATTGAGAAGATACAGAGCCGTAAAACTGTTACCATGTATGTTTTTGGGCACTGGGAATCCAACGGAGGTGATTTTGGGTCGAAAGGATTACTGTAACATAGCAAACTTGCGCTTCGGCCGCATAAAATCGGCCGTAAAAAAGTTGTTTCTGAAAACCCACAGCTGAATTTTTGATATGTTGATCAGCATAAAATTCTGCCCTAGAAACGTTAAAAAAAAGTCCAAAAATGCGGGGGGCTATTTTCGTGGTATAGTGGATTTTGACAAAATCTACCAATCTGACGGCCCGAGTTCGAGTCCGGGTGGACGCAAATCGCTTATAATAGGTCGGGAATGACTTTAAAGGCGCGGATATAGAAGATTGAGTTTATTTCAGGTAATTTTGATAACAATCTGGCAGTTTTCACATTTTTTGGTGGAAAAAAAGGCGAAAATACAACTTTTTGACAAATCGTATTTTATACGGCTGTTTTGCGTTCATGACAGAATAAGAACTTATATGTAGTGTTTTTAAGGTGTTTCCAACAAGTAGAAACCATTTTCTGAGTATTTAGATATTACACTAGGTACCTGTTAATTTTGCCTCTTTCAGGCATCTGTAGTAACGAAATTTGGCTAATGACAACGTAATTCACTGTTTTACGACCATATTTCACATGTTTTTCAGAAAATGGTTCATCATCGAAGTGATTTCGCTTTATAGAAAAATCGATGAAATGCGTAGAAAATTCCATTTTCAAACAAGATTTCTTGTGGTTACCCGTCAAATAATTTAAATTTTATGCCAGTTATAACCTTTGCAGACAATTTGTCAAGTCAGAGCGAAAAAAATTACAACCTGGAAGGTCCATGCACTGCTTGCTTATCAGATGTCAAGTACAATATTAAAAAAATTTTTTTTGACCGGTTTAATTGCCGAAAAACCCTTCAAACGATTAAATATAAGTTCTTATTCTGTCATGAACGCAAAACAGCCGTGTAAAATACGATTTGTCAAAAAGTTGTATTTTTGCCTTTTTTTCCACCAAAAAATGTGAAAACTGCCAGATTGTTATCAAAATTACCTGAAATAAACTCAATCTTCTATATCCGCGCCTTTAAAGTCATTCCCGACCAATTCTAAGCGATTTGCGTCCACCCGGACTCGAACTCGGGCCGTCAGATTGGTAGATTTTGTCAAAATCCACTATACCACGAAAATAGCCCCCCGCATTTTTGGACTTTTTTTCAATGTTTCTAGGGCAGAATTTTATGCTGATCAACATATCAAAAATTCAGCTGTGGGTTTTCAGAAACAACTTTTTTACGGCCGATTTTATGCGGCCGGAGCGCAAGTTTGCTATGTTACAGTAATCCTTTCGACCCAAAATCACCTCCGTTGGATTCCCAGTGCCCAAAAACATACATGGTAACAGTTTTACGGCTCTGTATCTTCTCAATTTTGAGTTATTTGACGTTACTGTAAATTGCTTAAATTGTAAATAAAACTAGGTTAACGGGAGAATTAGGGCAAAAGGCTTCAGGGACACACTTATATGATGGGTGCGGTCATATCCAGCTGTAAATCTCAAAATCGAAAATTTCCTATGTCCACGGCTTATTCACCGAGTCAGAAATCGTGTTTTAAGACTCTTTGCCGAGTTTCGGCACGAAAAGTTTCATGCTTATTTCTACCATAGAGGGTAATGTTTCCACAAAAAGCCAATTTTTTCCGCTCAAAACTAGTAAAGTTATGGCCAAAAAGTGCTTCTCTCTCTGACCGCTCTCCGCGTTTAGCGTACTCTCTCGATCACAAAGATCATTCACTATCTCGGCGGCGTTTGCAAAGAGCGAGCTAAAACTTTTAGGAATTGATACCTAGTTCATGACCGACATGTGGACAGAATTTAAAGAAAATCTGATGGTCGCACTTGGGGTACTTCCCTGGTTATAAAAAACTGATCTTAATTTGGGCCAAGTTTCATTAAGATCTAACGAGGTGGGTGTAAAGGAATGTTTTTTAATGAGTGGGGTCAAGAAAACGCCTAAATGTGGGAAAGATAAAGAAAGATTGATAGAGATGGAACTTGTGACTTGGAAAAATTTGGCTAGTAAATATTATGTAGTACACAGATCAGAGAGAAGACAAAAATACAAAATTTAAAAAAATATTTCGATGGCATAGCTTGAAAATTTCGATAAACATTACATCACATAGGATAGAACTCGTAAGTGTCGCACTTAGGGCACTTCCTCTTTTGGGAAAAAATAAATCTTCGTATAGCAAAATTCCTTTATAAAAGATAAAGTTTCAAGCCTTTTGAGGCCATATTACAAGGCCCATTATACTCAAAAAATTAAACTCTTAAAATCACCGACCTATTTTTGGCCAACTTCTCCACGTATTCCTTGTGCTTCCCATCCATGACCCAATCACATTTCAAATCGTTCGTCCCAAATGGCCGCTTAAAATACGGACTCTCATTCAGTCGCTCCGTCAACACAACTCGATGAACACGCACCTCCGCCGGCAGTGTGAGCAGGAAGTACGTTAGGCCGGACGCGAACAACAGCACCGTGAACAGCACGATGGCCAGCCGGGTTTGGCCCTGCTCCGGCAAATGCGTGATCTCCGCGTCGCCATCTAGAAGCACGTAGCGTTGGGAGGAAGGCCGGAGAATCATTGCGACATTAATTATTTATAAACTGGTAACAGCCCTGACAAATATCCGCAGCGATTGTTTGTGGGGCGGAATTTGTTTTTTTGGTGGTTTGCGTTTTTTTTGTGGAGGGTGGAGACTCGATTTTGCATTTTTCGATGATTTAAAAAAAGGAAAAGTGATGTGTTAAGCCGCAAAGAAAAAAAGGTTGAACTTTTATGTAAGACAAAGTGCAGGAATTTCAACTTTGGTTTCAATTTATTTATACTAATCGTATGTATAGAAACCGTAGAGTAGGGGTTAAAAATTTTATAGGGAAAAGATTAAAAATTTTTGAAGGATAACTTAACCCTTTCCGGACAAGTCGGAAATGATCGACAGCATACTAGTGAGTACTACAGTAATATAACAGTGGTCCAGCCCATCGAAGCTTTCTTTATTTGGGACCTATGACAAAAAATGTCCTACAAAAGTACCCTTAGTTAACATAGTGTTTATAATTTTTTCTAACGAGCGGTAAATTAAAAACTACACTAAAGTTAAAGTATAGGACTCATACTACAGTCACATCCAAGAACTGTCCAAATTGGACCACTACAAGATATGTTATCGACTTTTGGAAATTGAATTTTAAATTTCAACCGTTTGTTAACCTAAATCGAGTGTATCTTCTGTCGGAATCAAACATTTCGATCCGAATGTGGTTTTTCTGAAACTGCAGTAATGTTAGCTTCATCTCAACATGTTTCCAGAAGAAAACTAGGGGACATATATTTCTGTAAAATGCAAAAATGTTGAAAGCGTAACTTGTAATTTTAGATGAGCTAAAATTATGCATAAATTTAGATTAAGTTTTTCTGAGGCTAGCTAGCGCTTCGCAAACGCTACCGGTACGCTATGTGTACCCAGAAAACGGATTTGTTTCTCATTGTCCTCCTTACTTTGTGCAGTTTTGTTGTTGAAAACAAACGATAAACTGGCTGCCTCTAATAAAAGCGAATGCTTTTAGGAATTTATAGACCTTTGGCTTGTCGCCTCATTATAGACCTCTAACTTGTCGCCTCATAAAATGCCATCTATAATAGGTAGAGCTTTTGATTCCTTCAGACAAAAAGCGCTTATCAAAACACTTTTAAGACCACCTTCATTTTCAAGAGCAGACAATAACATCATTTGGAAATTTGCGAAAAGCCTTATTGAGTCATCATTAAAAAAAGCACCTGTTATCTGGTATGTTGTACATGTACATATAAATTTTTTTATATATACATATAGATTTATATACATAGATCAGTATGTCGGGAAAATAATAAGGTCAATATCGCATCAAAAATGGCATCGCGGCCGAGAAAATGAATTGTGTCGCGACAAAAACAAATTTTTTTCACTCTAGCGACGCGATTAGAGTATTAGTGTGCTGATTATCACTCTGTCGGGAAAATAATGTGGATTCCTCGTCCCTTTGGATCGCCTGTCATCGCTTTGCGACGACTAGCCTGGGCTGCAATTTTGATGAGACGAGACAGCTGCTACGACAAATCCACATTATTTTCCGGACAGGCTGGCATGTTGATCTCAGAGGAGTTTTGTTCCTAGTTTCACGCGAATTTCGAAACTCTTGCTTCCCGTTATCCCTTTTTTGAAACAAACCCAACAAGAAGGCGAGATATCCCTCTCTCGACCATGAACCTACAAACAGCATGATCAAAACCGTTTTGGATTGCTCAGCCGACGGCTCAACAAACTGTTTTTTCGGGAGCTTAAAGGAAAATGCGCAAAAACGGATTTTTCGAAGTTTTAAAGGGCAAACACATAATATATATGAGGATTTTTAGGACAACGAACTTCCATAAGACAAAAACTGTATATAACAAACAACTTTGGGGGCCCTGGAATTAATTTTTATAAAGCCTTTCTATAATATCACAGGATTTCAGGGGAATGCCATTATCAGTCTGTCGGGAAAATAATAAGCATATTGTTGGTGCGACGATCGTGTCGCTGAAGTGAAAGGTATTTGATACACAATTCATTTCCTCGGCGGCAACACGCTCTGCCGCTCATTATTTTCCCGACAGACTGATATAATAAGGATTTTTTGTTCCATAAAATCCCTTATGCAGAGTTTTGACTGCACATATATACTGTGGTCCACCCAAAAGCTCCATTTTTCATAAAACTACTGTAACTTTCAATACCTACCTTCAACACTCAGAAGCAGCTCCTTTAGCGGATCCCTTGGCTCCTTCCCCATGTCAGAAGTCCACACGCTATAGCATAAAGTTTACCCTTTTGGCAAATTTCGGAGAGAAATCTCCAGGTGCAACGGGTTTTGTGACTATTTTGTTATCGTGTCGCCCGGGGCAATGCGAACATTTTATGCGAGAGAATCTTGCAAGTTTAGTGTGGGATCCACAAAAGTATGAAGAAAAAAGCCGCTAGGCTATAATTCCGCGAACGCCAAGGCTCGTGAAAAACGGTAGAGCCGAAACAAAGGATTTACAAGGTTAATAAAATATTGAGATTTGGGAATAATGAAGTTATAGGTCTTTGACGCGCTTTTTTTTAAATTCGTTCGGCAGTCTGCAAGAAAGGAGGAGCCTTTTGTTGTGAACTAGCAAAGTTCTTTGTATTGTCTATGTGAAAAAAGTGGAGGAACGAAAAAGTGGCCTTTCAATTTTTTATGTATCGTATATCAGTCTGTCGGGAAAATAATGTGGACTTCTTGCTGTAAAGTACCAACCCTTGCATCAGCCTCTAAAGCATCAGCCGCGGTGAGCCATCGCAAAAAGATGATATGCAATTGGGCTAACTCCACAATATTTTCCCTACACACTGATAAATCATCAAAAAAGAAGAAGCGCTCACTGAGATTTTTTTATTTTGAAGAGATACATCCATTCCTGAAGAACATTCCTAACAGCTAGGAAGAGCCACAAGAGTCATCCGTTCAACCAGTCACTATGTAAAGAGATGGAACACAAAATTTCAAAAATTCCCTGCATGAGGCATCAAAAGAAATTCTTATTTTTCAGAGCCATCGTTGGATGATACATATATTTATTTTTAGCGCACGGCGAAGTCCCAGGGACTTTATTGCCTCGGGCAGTTGTAACTGGGCTGAAGAATCTTCGAAATATTTAATAATAGTTATTTTATTGATTGCCCTTCTAAGGCATTTCACGAGTCATTCAATTACAAGTTTATTGACAAATCAAGAACTTCTTAAAGAGATGCATATAACAATGATGCCAAAAAAAGGTCAATGATCAAATACAAGATACAATAAAAGGGAAAACGGTAAAATATAAGACAACTACTAGGCCTAACTCCAGATAGAGGGGCGACTCGGTTCTCCCGAACCTCCTTCCTCCTTGACTCCCAAATCAACTAACTCATTCTTATCAAGGGTACCTACGACCCTTTCGAGTCGGGGCGTATCTATATGATACGTGGCGCTGCTATTGGGCACATATATAATTATATATGTATAAAAAAGTGCAAAATTTAACTAAAAATTGAGTCAATACCTCAAAAAAATAAAGACAATACAAAGTAAAATTCCGCAGTCACAAATTGACAAGTTTCTTCAAAAAAGTTAGTCTATGAGTCGACCTCCATAGGCGCAATTTCCCACTACACTCTGCAGATACTCTAGTGACCACGCTTTGGCATCGGAAATTGCAAATTCGCCGGCGGGAAAATGAATTGTGTCAGGGCAAAATCAAATTGCATTTTTCAACAGCTTTATTGGCGCGGAAACATGAGTCCACTATTTTCCCGACAGAGTGGTCAATTGAAGATCTTCGACCCCACGCAGACCCACTTGTTGAACTCTACGTCAAACAAAAACATTTTCCCTTTATAAATAGGTTTTTGAACAGAGGGACTACATCTAATCCGCAGATTTCATGTTTTTTTACTTGAAAAGCCCAATCCAATTTTTTATTCCGACTTTATTTTCTAACATCAAAAACAACACTGAATTCGTGAAAACCGACAATCCAGACAGTGATTACTCAAAAATTAATATGATAATTTAATAGTGATTTCATTAGAACGGTCAAAACGTCGAGAGAAAAATAAATATTAATACTCCCCCCAAAACATGTATGATTATATGCTAATTCAGACCAAGAAAATCCAAAAAAGATTAAAAACGAGAGATGCTATTGGAAGATCATTTAGTATGGGGCGAATCCGCCGCCTCTTGGGGGTCCGCCACGACGCATGGGGCCGCCTGGACCTCCGCGGCCACCGCCTCGTGGTGGGCCTCCTCTGCCGCCCATTCCATTGCCTCTGGGGCCGCCCATTCCACGTCCCGGGCCTCCTCTGCCGCCGGGTGGGCCTCCTCTTGGTGGGCGATTTTGGCCGCGTGGTCCACCTCCTGGCTGTGGCTTCAGTCCTTTCAATTCTTTGTCGCCGTCATCGTCATCATCATCGCCATTCTTGTCGTCCTTGTCGTCGCCTTCTGGGACACCAGTGGTGATTCCGGGAATGTGGGTTTCTTTCACCTGGAAAAAAGAGGTCAAAATCGAACAAAATGCCTAGTACAATATAAAAAGATGTCTAATTTTTCATGTAAAATCAAAATAATGTTGCAGCAAGATGTAACCTACCTATAAACGTATATTAAAAATACTTTTCTACGACCTTCCGTCTGCAAAAAAATTATCTCAAAAATTTGCCTACTACAATATAAAAATGACGTCTAATTTTGAATTAAATTTTTAATTTCTTTTACAACTAGTCAGAGTCTACTTACACTCCCAAGTAAACAATATTTTCCACCACTCGCTTATTGCTCCACAAATCAAAATTTCAAAAAGTTCCCTACAAAAACATAAACCTCCTCTCTTACCGGCTGCAAAAGTTGTCTCAAGACATCCAGAACGTTTGCCACTCTTTGGTAGGCCAATGAAGGCGGAGCATTTGTCTCAATCTTCACATGCAACGGTCCAGCATAGTGCGCATAAGCCGGGTCTCCCGAGTTCAAAAGTTCTTCTTCCTGTTTTCTGTCGCGAGTGGATCCTCTTCCCAAAACGTAGACATGGCACTTGAACTGCTTGGCAATGTTTTGGAGAGTAGTTCCTTTCGGTCCGAGGACTTTTCCAACGTAATTGAAGCGAGGATGGCGGAAAGTTGGGATCAGGACCTTGCGGATGAGACGAATCGGCTTCTCGACGTCAACTTCCAACCATTCTGGGTCAATATTGTTCTCGAGACGCTCGACTTCTGCAACAAGACTCATTACCAATGCAAAAAATCATATTAGACCAGCTTTCTGATCCATTTTTGCTTCGACTCTTCCAATTTCCCTAAAATCCAACGACAAAAACAAAAACCAACTCACCAGTGACCAACAATCTTCTGGCGTTCTTGAACTGCTCTCCATATTCTCCTCCTTGATCCAACAATCCAATCTCTTGATGCATTTCTCTGGTGACAATCTCAACTTCCGCATCGAGTGGGCTTTGTTCGTAGGGTGGCTGGAATCCCGGATTGCCTCCTCCGAATCCATCGAAGCCTTGGCCGCCTCCGCCAAATCCACCGGGGCCTGGGCGTTGTCCTGGATGTCCGCCGCGAGGGGGACCTCCTCTTCCCCTTGGGCCTCCGCCTCCACGAGGGGCTGGGCCGCCTCTTGGGGGCATTCCACCGCGAGGTGGCAGAACTGGCGCACCGTAGCCATAGTTGGCATACTCCTGGGGAGCTCCGTAACCTTCCTGGAAAAATATTTTTATAAAAACCACTCTTCAAAATACTTCAAAATTTTTTCAGTCGACAAAAAAATTAAAAAAAGATCTCAAATATAGATTAAATTTGGTATCAAAACAGATCACAAGGATTTAAAAAAGTTCTTTTTCGACCTTCCAACCCAAAAAAATCAAACTTACTTCATATCCACCAGCACCGTAATCCATTTTTCCGGTTATAAATTGAACTTCAAGTTACCTGAAAGCAAAATTATTACTTTTAACGCCAAAAACTTAATAAATACTAATGATCAACTCAAATTTACCAAAAAATCGTTTAAAATTGCCCCGAAAATTTCAAAACATTATTTTTTTTACCAATTTTAACTCTTTTTTTCAAATTTTTGACCTATTTTACAACACAATTTATAACTTTTGAGACAAACCTTTACCTTTTTAACTGTGAGTTTTATTCAAATTTTAGTCCGTTGGACGTGAACCGGCGATTTAACTTTTCGGAGATTTTTAATAGATTTACGGAGTCGAATTATCTAAATTTTCATATAATATTTTTAATAAAAAAATGGCTAAAGCCAATTGTAACGCGATAAATTTTATTACAAGTTCGCGAATATAAATACCCATCACATTTAAAATAATTTTGTCGTAAAAGTCGAAAAAATTGACCCATTAATTTTCAGCTCATATACCACGGCCCTAATGTGAAATACGAAAAATATTATAATTTATGCCAAAAATTTTTGCAAAACATTTCTTCGGCACAAAACCCCCAAAGTAAACCCCTTTCCCGCAAAAACCACTTCTCCCCAAAATAGATAAATCCCAGCCGATGAAAAAAAGTTTGAGACTGTATCAAGTCATGTTGATCGTCTTGGCAGGCTCTGATAATAATTTTGTTCCTGAAAAATAATTTTAATTACATTGAGTATATCAATAGACAAAATCAGCTTAAAAATCTACTACCAATTATGCGCACGATTGCTCCAACTTTACAAATCCAGAGGGGTTCCGAGCAGATTTAAAAAAACTTTTCAGCCATACTGCTCAGCTACGATGTTTCCCAGTCATGGCTAAACATCGTAGCTGAGCAGGATAGCTGAAAAGTTTCCAAATCTACTCCGAACCCCTCTAGACTTGTAAAGTTGGAGCGACCGTGCGTTTGGCACGTGCGGCTTTTTCGGTTTGTTTTTTTCTGTTTGTCTACACTTTACTTGTTGGCTGGATAATTCTTTTTTGCATTTGTCAAGGTTTATCTGTGGGATGTGTCACATTCACACAGCCTTGAAGGTTTTGGCTCATACCTTGCAAATAACTACCTAAAAACTTGTTCTCAAAATGTTTTCACCTACTTCTACAAAGGCCTTCGCTATTCTGGCCACATTTTTTCTTCATTTTTTGCAGCAAACCTTCTTGCTAGGCAACCTCATACTTACAAAATTAGACCAGTTCGAAAATTTTTGGCACCATAAGACCTTTCCAGCTTTGAGTTTGAAAAAAAACGTTATATGCCGATTCTCAGCAACACTTCTAATCTTAATTTTTGTCTTAGGCTTCCACACTATTTTTTGCTTTGTTTTCGCTGGATCTTATTTGACCTATTCAACTGTAAAAGTCCAACTTACATCTCCATTAGTTGAATTATCGTAAAAACGGTATGTCTTCATCTTTTTTTGAATTGTATATCCTTGAAGGAAATTTGATAGGGCTTAGTCTTCTTCAAAATATAAAATCATCTGCAAATGTATAGATATTCATGGTCTTCAACCATTTTCTCTGCATAGTACTTGTCAGCTTGTAAAAATTTTATTTTATCAGCACAGTCGGCAAATTGAGATTTTGAATTTGATCATTTTAGAAACACGCAACAAAAATTGAAACTAAATTAAACTCATGATAAATATTAATAATTTTAGTCTTTCGATTGCAAAAACAACATCTTATTCTTTTGATTTCTCATCTTCTCGGAACGAATCCTCCTCTGGCTCCACGGCCGCCTCTTCTGGGGACGAATCCTCCGCCACGGCCGCCTCCTCTTCCTCCGCCACGCGGACCGCGACCTCTTGAGCCGTCATGAGATCTCTCCGGTCTTTCTCTTGTTTCTCTTTCGTCTTCGTAACCTCGATGACGATCTTCCTTTTGTCCAACTTCTTCGTCAATCTCATCTCGGTGAGATTCATGATGATCACGGGAACGATCGTCGTGTTCTCCTCTGAAGGATTTGTAACTAGAATCGCCGTCGCGTCGTTTTCCGTGAGATTCGAAGCGAATTCCGTTGTATTCGAAGGCTTCATCCTGTAATTTTAGTCGGATTAGCCTGGGTTTCTCTCGTCTCGCGTATATTTGTTTATGATCCCATGAAATGCCTTGTCAACCTTTCGGCGGTTGGCAAGGCACTTCATGAATATCATGGTATGAGTCTTTCATCGGCGATCATGAAATGGACTGTCAGCCTTGCATCGGCTGGCAAAACACTTCATGATCAAGGCGACATAATTCTCGTTTTATTCGTGCAACCTTTTCTCAACATTCTTTTCAACAGAACTCTGGATCTGCAGCAACATTTCCCTTTTTGTATTTTTATACACATTTTGTGCAGTTTTTCAAATTTCCTTCATCTTTCAAATCGAAACCGAATTGCATTTCTTTTGAAATGAGAATATCTGGGTTTCCACATGCCTTTCAAATTTTCCCTGATTTAAATCTTAGAATTACACATTTATCTTGATTTTTGCCATAAACTCGGGGAATTTACAACTAACTTTAACAAAGACCTTCTAACACTCGATGGTCTTTGTCAAGTTGCCGTAAAGCCTCGCTCATATTACACTTCGTAACAGTTGTAATATGTTCCCCCATAAATCCAAGTTTCAGCTTATAACAGGATTCTTGTTTCGAATCCTATTCCCAGCTGAAACTTAATTGTTTCTAGACGTGTCGATAGCTCTTCTGTTGTCTCTTTTGTATTGTATCGCACATTTTCGATTATTATTTCATGTTCTTTTTTCTATATTTTTTTAAACTTCAAATGTATCACAAAATCTCAAATTCAGAATACTTGTCGTAAAAAAATACGGTTACTTAATTTTTTTCCTTTTCTTTGATAAATATTGCTTTTTGTAACCCTATTCAAACTCTAATGTAATCGTAAACATAATGATTTCTTTGTTGCCGTTATAGTTGGTTTATAATTGTTGTCGTTTCGTTTTCTTTTCGGTACCTTGTTTTCAACGCTTGCTCAAATCTCCCATTTCACCGGATTCAATTGTCCGTTTTTATAATCAAAATAATTAGATATAACATATTCATCTTCACATGTTTTCTTCGCGAAGATACAGTAACATTATGACTGTTAGAGCCATAAGGTGAGAATTAACTCATATTCCACACCAGAAACAACAACTTCAACTCAAACAACAACCTACCGTAGTACAGCAGAGATGGATGATAGTCAAAACATCGGCCAATCGACTATAAGCCAGATGAGGAGGGCCCACAGTAGTAATTTCGGCATGTAATGGGAAGTTCAGATGTTGATATTGAGGTTCACCGGTTCTGAGGAGTTGCTCCTCCTCTTTAGGATCTTTTCGACTACCCGCTCCACAAACGGAAATAGAGCTCTTATATTTGGTGCAGATCAATCGAAGAGTTCGACCACCAGCGCCCATAAGCTTGCCAACGACATTAGAATTCTGTAAGATTATCATTGAGACAATATCAATAAGAAATACAAAAATTTTTATATTATACTTGACGTCAAACTTACCGGATGTCTGCTGGGTGGAAGAAGAACTCTTTTGTAGACGCGAATAATGAACTTATCCGACTCGACGTCCAACCAATCCACATTAGTGTTACCAGTGATGTTTTCGACCTCTAAAATCACAAAGCTTAATATTACAGTAGGCAACATTCCCTTTGGAACAAAGAAGTAATATATACCAATTATAAAAAAAGCTCACCCTCTTTGATAATGCGATGAGTATGAGGCAGGCTCCGAATCTCCGGGTTTTGCTCGATAATGGCAAGTTCTTGGCTGATTTCCGAAAGACACCGGCGAGTTTCTTCCTGCAGAAGTTGAGATCCTCCTTGAGCACCGAGAAAACGAGTACTATCAAAATAATCGAGGCGTGGAGCCTTCTTGGTGTAGAACGACGGTTCTTTGTACGATTCCAAAGGCTAAAAGAAAATTTTAACCAATCACACTTTACACTAGGAGGTCTTTCTAAAAACACAACACAAATCCAAGAAAAACTCACTCTCTTGCGGTCTTCTCTCAGCAACTCTCGATCGTCATGATATTCGTGTCTTGGAGGGCTGCGCCGACCGTAATCGAAGTCCAAAATCGGCCGCGTATCAGCGAAATCATCTCTGGAACTGCGGTAGTCCCTCAAATCTCTGGTATCCCTTGAGCTGTAGCCCTCATGCTCGCGGTAATGCGATGGCTTGGGAGGGTCTCGGCGTCCCCAGGAGCCCGGCAGTGGATCGTCGAAATCCTGAAAAATTTAGGTCAGAATAACATTGCCAAAAGCGATAGAACAAGATCATGTAAAACAAGTACAACAAAAAAGGCTTAAAAAAGAAAATATTACCTTCATATCGGCACTTGATGTGCGCCACGATTCTGACTGTTTCGTTGAGGAAAACAGCTTGAAAGTTGTCTTAGAAAACGAACAAAACCCCTAAAATTTACAACAGATAATCTGGTACAACATCAGATAATAAAATCTCGATACAGCCCGATCTGAATGGTAAACTATCTGTGCAAAACACCAAAAAAAAGTACAGAGAACTCCCTACAAAACATGTTTTGGTTGCCCCAAAAAAAGAACGCCATTCGCGGAATCAATAGAGGGCGGGCGAGCTGCGCCCTGGACACGAACAATTGTTTGAAACTTTGCTTATACGAGTGCCTCAATTGTCTGTAAAATGGGTCAAATTGCGTCAGAGAAAGACGTTGTTATGAAATATGACCTATTAAATCGTATATTCAGAAGCGGTTTCATGATTTAAATGTTTTGACATTGTTTTACACATGTAATTATTCCGTGACATTTCGTCAAAACAAAATCCAATAATTTTTTGACACTTCGTTACGCAAAAAGATGACAATGCTATCGACGGAAAAGTTGTTATTTTCTCGTCGAGTTTGATCAGTTTTTGGTTGGTTTTATGCTCATTTTTTATGAAATTACACTTATTTTACCTTATTTTATCCGATTTTTTTAAAGAATTCTCGTTATTCGTTTTGATTTTTCCATTTACCCAAATTTTTCAGGTAAAATGGCTCCACCAGCGATTGTAGCTCCTCAACCATCCGCCACATCGGCGGAAAATTCGCTGAAATCCTATTACAAGACCAAAATCGAGGACCTTCAGCAACGTCTCCACGAAAAGTCGCAGAACGTACGCCGTCTTCAGGCGCAGCGGAATGAACTCAATTCAAAGGTCAGATCGTTGAAGGAGGAGTTGATGCAGCTTCATGAGCAAGGGAGTTATGTTGGGGAAGTGTCGAAGGCCATGGACAAGAAAAAAGTTTTGGTTAAGGTAAGATTCTTTATTCTTGGTTGGTTTTTAGGTGTGATGGAGAAGGAGAAGGCATAAGAAGAGTTTTGAAGGGTGTTCCTTGGCTCTGGGGAGTATTTTATGGATAATAATCGAAGAAAGTATCGCATATTACCTGTAAAAATTATTTTTTCTCCGAGTTTTGCACTTTTATCAAAAAGCGTCGCGTAGTCGAGTGGTAGTGCGTTGAGTTTTCACTCCGATAGATGCGGGTTCGGGGAAACATGAGTGAAGTCAAAGTGATCTTGTTCTTTGATCTTAATTAGTTTCCCCAAAGCATTCTGAACCCGTCATAGTTGCCAATTCGACCAGATAATGGACGTTTCGGTAGTCTCAGAACGGTGATATTGTTTTTGACATAAAATTTTGAAATATTTGTTTTAACTTTGGGATGTTTTGATAGGGAGATTAACTGAAGAGATATAAGACGCTCATTTATTGATTTTCAGGTCCACCCCGAAGGAAAATATGTCGTCGACATTGACAAAAGTATTGATATTAACCAAGTGAATACTGGCGCTCGAGTTGCTCTTCGTGCCGACTCGTATGCCCTCCACAAGATCCTCCCCAACAAAGTGGATCCTCTGGTCAGTCTTATGATGGTCGAGAAGGTCCCAGATTCGACTTACGAGATGATTGGTGGTTTGGACACTCAAATCAAGGAGATCAAAGAAGTCATCGAACTCCCAGTCAAGCATCCCGAACTCTTCGAAGCCCTCGGAATTGCACAGCCAAAGGGTGTCCTGCTCTATGGACCTCCTGGAACTGGAAAAACACTCTTGGCCAGAGCTGTGGCTCATCATACAGCTTGCACATTCATCAGAGTCTCCGGATCCGAGTTGGTCCAAAAATTCATCGGAGAAGGAGCTCGAATGGTCAGGGAATTGTTCGTTATGGCCAGGTAAGGGGTTTATTATGTTTTTTTGATATTTAGGATCAGCGGTAACATCAATTTATATTGATTTAATGGTGAGGTACCTAAAGTGAAACTCTTCGATTTTTTTTGTAATTTGGTTTGGATCTGTCTATTTAAAGCGATCTAGAAAATTCTAATTTTTGTTTACGACAAGTTTCGACGCTATATAGACTAAATTTTATATTATTTTAGAGAGCACGCACCATCAATCATTTTCATGGACGAAATTGATTCCATTGGATCCTCTCGAGTGGAAGGCCACTCTGGCGGAGACTCTGAAGTCCAAAGAACAATGTTGGAACTTTTGAATCAGTTGGATGGATTCGAAGCCACCAAAAATATCAAAGTTATCATGGCCACCAATCGGATTGATATCCTGGATCCCGCACTGCTCCGTCCCGGCCGTATTGACCGCAAAATTGAATTCCCGGCGCCGGATGAGAAGGCCAGAGCTGATATCTTGAAAATCCACTCCCGAAAAATGAACCTGATGAGAGGAATTAACATGAGAAAGATCGCCGAAGCCATCCCTGGAGCGTCCGGAGCCGAGGTGAAGGCGGTTTGCACTGAAGCTGGTATGTTCGCCCTGAGGGAGAGACGAATCCACGTCACTCAGGAGGACTTTGAAATGGCCGTGGGCAAGGTGATGCAGAAAGATTCGGAAAAGAACATGTCCATCAAGAAGTTGTGGAAGTAGAGATCATGTACAATGTTGTGTCCGCCCTAATTATGATATTTGACTTTGGAATTGAACGAATAAATCTAATTTAAGATTTTTTTTGAGGATTTTGAGAGCTTTGGAGAGGAAGTTTTTAAAAATTAAAAGTGAAAAATAGGCTATGGCAAGGGGGGACCAAGTTAAATTTTGGTGGAAATTGCAAAAAAAAATCAAAAAATTTTTGATACAGAGAAAATTTGTTGAATTTAGAAGGCAGTTGGACCATTTAGGCTACTGTAAAAAGAAAATTTCTTCGACAGACGAACAGATATTGCCATAATCATAGAACTAATGGTTGAATTAGAGCGTCGGTCGAAGGAATAAGCCATCAAAATCGTCTGGTTTATTATTCAGTCCGCTATTCGGGAATGTTTTTCTTCTGATATTGGCCGAGATTTTGTCTTACCATGCTATATTTATTTCTATTTTTACTGTTGGGAACGGTAAACGGTTATGTTACGAACCGTGCAAGTTTGGGGAATGCGACCATTTCAAGTAATAAGACTTCTGGAATCTGTCTTATGGACAGAGATATCCATTGTAATACGCACAGTGCGAAATTGACGTGCACTTGCTATCGGCCGGATGATATTGAAACTGTAAGTGATAGTAATGACCAGTTCTTTCCCAAGTCTAAATCGGCAACTTCACCTTACTATTAGCATTTTCACAAAGTTCCCGGACATTTCTTTTTTTTTGACTTGAGACCCTTCTAGTCTTTCCGGAAAGTCGCCGGACTGAAATCGGCGGCACGCACTGTGCAAAAGCAAGTTTTTTCTTTGCACTGTGCAATTTCTGGCTTTTCGCACCGTGCAAAATTGGCATTTTCACAAAGTGCCCGGACAAATTTTTGGCTTTCGCACAGTGCATCTTGAACTTTTGTCGCCAGCGCACTGTGGATTTTTGCCTTTGCGCACCGTGCAAACCTCAAAAAGACCGATTGCACTGTGCACATTTTTGAGCCAAATCGCAGCGGCGCAGTTGAGAAAATCTTACGTCGCAGCGATATTTCAAATGCACAGTGCAAAACCAAAAAAAAAGTTAGCATTTTCACAAAGTTCCTGGAAAATATCAAGATTTTTATGGCAAAATTCGCAAAAAAGTGTCACTTTTTTGCCAAATTTTTGACTAAAAATCTCGGTCGTTTTTGTAAAAAGGGAGGCTATAGAGTCTCGCAAATTTCTTACAAAAAATTAATCCAAATTTATGCCAAGTTTCATCAAAATCTGAGCGTCGCACTTGGAGCACTTACCCTATTAATGGATGACTTTTAAATTAAAAAAAAACAATATTCCAGCCTATGAAACATGTCAGTTGCGAAGAGAAGTTCATGATTGTAAATAGCCCCAAATACGTTGTCAGGATCAAAACAGCGCTAAGCATCCACCCTCGAGGAATCGAGTATGTGGACGAATTGTTGGCCGAAGTCATCTATCGAACTTGTCATATTCCAAAGGTAAGAAACTTAAAAACTTGGGTAATCGTATTTTACAATTTTCACTGAATTTTTTATTAATTTTTGTAATAAAAACCTCTGTTTAGTCCCATATTTACATCTTGCGGAAGACCTGTGATTTGGATGCAATGTACATCTATTTGGGAATATTTTCCGATCCCGATTTTATCGACTATCAGGAGATAAAAGACTACGATGTCAGGATGATTTTCCCGGAAATGCTTTACAGTAATCATGAGCTCTTGGAACAGACTCTTCTTCCCATTTGGGCTATTGATCAAGTAAGTGTTTTAGTTCTCAACTGACTTTATTAGCATGGCTGCAAGACGAAGTTGCCCGGCCCGTGCGGACCGGGCAACCCTTTCGGGCAAACCCGAAATTTCCGAGCTCGGCCTGGGTCCTGGCCCAGAAATTACGGGCTTAATTTGCGGTCTGAAACCGTGCCTACCCACAGGAAATCAAAAACGGGCCCACCCACAAACAGAGCCGGGACGTAGCGCCCTATGTTTTTTTGAGCCCCAGATCAGGCTCTACCTTTTTGGTTTTGATTGTTTCCTTCATCAAAAGAACTTGGCCGAAAAACTCTATCCGGCAAAAGCTTCGTTGGGCTGGCCCTCAAAATCTCACTACTTATTTGACCAACTGGGCAGGACCTACCTGTCAGTCGGGACTTTCCTGCTGCCCAGTAGCCATCTCTGGCCCCAAAGATCATTCAACCTGACCAGTGCCTCATATACGTATATTTGTATGTATATTTTTTCAGGTAATGGTTCTTCCACCCATCAAATGCCCCATCTGCAACTTCCTCAAAGCAAAGGAGATCCTCGATGGGAAAGCCGAGTTGCTAGGAATCCCAAAACTCAATCTGAGTTGGACCAATGAGCCCTCAACGCAAGAGCAAAGTAGCCCGCTGGACAATAGATGGTCATGCTGGGAACACATTACAATTTACTCTATTACAACCGTGTCCGTTACAATAATCTTCTATACTATTTGCCGTCGTTTTCTGTAAATTTCATTTTTTCAAATACAGTCGAGTCTCTTTACAACGAAACCTTTTTATAACGGGCAATTTCAAAGGTCTTATGAGCTAATTTTAAGGCATAAATAAACTACCGTATACCTTCATTTTTTCAAGCAAATATTCAAATAAATTTCTGGGCTCCTTGTGATTCGTTATACAGAGGTTTAACTGTATTTGTTGTCGCAGTTTTCAAAAATTTACAATGATTACCCCATAAACAGTAATTGGCTTTACTCGGGCTACCGCGAAATGCGGGGAATCACCATGACTATGAGTGCGGAACGCGAAAACGAATAATTGAAAAACGAATGTCCATTACAAGCCGGTTTCCCGCACAACCGCCGGAAACGGAGAAGCGGGAGTAGCCGACCTCGCTTTATGGGGGCGCTATTATGCCTGCGGGTGGATGGGCAAGGCTTCGAATTTTGAGGGGAAGAGTAGGCCTGGGGACTGGCCTACTTTTTTACGAGCTGTGTTTTGTGTGGGTCTGGTATCGGACGGTTGATTTTTTTGGCCGATCCGGTTTCGAAATCTTCGATCCGGCTTGACTGGATAGCCATATCCATAATATTATATGTTTTTTGATGACTAGGGATAATAAGAAGTAATAAGAAGCTCATCGTTGTGGGTCAATTTGGATTCGGAGCTTTGAAACTGACATCGTTTTCTTTGAAGTCCTTACGTTTGTAGATATAATAGAACTTTCTGAAGGTATTTCCATGTTTTCAAGTTCCCAGAAAACCCAAAATTTCTTGTGTACCCCCTTACTTGTTTACGCTTCTTTTTCATCAATAATTTTTTTATAAGAGACATCAGTCTTTAACAATGACCTTTGCTTGTAGCAGTATGTCGAGAAAATAATGTGGATTTGTCGAAACAAAATGTTTCCAAATTCAATGTGGCTAGCCGTCGCAAAGCCATAATGTATGATTCCAAGGCGCGACGAATCCACATAATTTTCCCGACAGACTGATAATTATGTATCTATGACTGCTGTGGACTGTATACAGTAAAATCCCAGTACAATAAAGCCCCCATAGGACAAACCCTGTCTATAAAAAACAATGTCTTGGGCCCCTGGAGCCAAGTTGAAGCCAAGGCAAAACTGCGTACAGAGAAACTCTTCTATAGCGCAGAAATTTTTGAGTCCCTAGTGGTTCTCAATACAGATTCTTTACATTGTATTTCCACATATTACAGTAATTGAAAACGCTATGACTTCCCTTTTTATTCAAAGTTTTTAATTCAATTCTCATCGTCCTTGAGTCCACTTTCTCCCCACGGAGATCACTCGGATTGAAACATTGATCTCGTTCATTTCCCCTCAAACCGTGTCCATTGTATTCGCACGGACAATGAGGGAAAAGTTGGGGGCGCTAAGTGAATCGCCGTTCCGGATGGATCACTCCCGAAACAAGCCGGCGCTTTTGAACAGCGGAAGTGTATAAGCCATAATTTTTGGGCGAAAAATGGAAACTGGTTATCTCGGGGATTTTTCGAAATCGCGCGTTTTGTCAAAAGATGACTAAATTTTTGTGTTGCTTTGTATTTTCGCTTTTTAAATTTCTTTGGAGTTTTGGTTATTGATTGAAAAAATCGCATTTTGCAGAATTATAAAAACAAAAAAACTCAAAATTTTGTGGACACTGATTATTTCGCAGAAAAAGTTATAAAATTGCGTTATGCAGGACAACAAAGGAATATTTTTTCGCGTTTTCAAGAAAATCGCGTTTTGCAGAATGTATAAAAAATTGAAATTAAAATTTTTTTTGGGACTGATTCTTTTACGTAAAAAGTAAAAAATCGCGTTTTGTAGAACAAAACATAAAAAAATGGTCCGTTTTGACAAAAATCGCGTTTTGCAGAATTATTAAAAAATAGGAATTACAAATTTTTTTGGACTGATTATTTAGCGAAAAAATTTAAAATCGCGTTATGCAGAACGAAAAAATAAAAAATAAATCGCCCATGAATAAGCATACTTAAAGGGCCTGTACAGCTACTTTGAAAAGCGATTTTCTCGGCTTGGGGTGGCTTTCTGATATATCGTTTGTTTTCGTGGCGGGACGCACTGACAAACTCGGTGCGATTTTTTGGATCCAAGATGAAGAATATTAGGTGTATCACATACATTGTTCAGCGTAATATGGCGCCAATTTGTTGTTTTTGTGTGGAGAATGGGTAAGTTGTTGTTTTGAAAAATTTTTGAGCTGATTTTTAGGCATTTTTTATGTTGGGGATGCTTTTCGAACACTTTGGGATAAATTATAAGGTAAAATAGGTTTTATGAAGTGGAAGAAGGTAAACTCGTCCTAGAAGGTTTTGTTTCTGAGTGGGTGAAGTTATTTTGAAATACCCTACATTCTTTTTGACAGATTCATGGATTTTTGATATTATTTTAGGTAGAAATAAGTGGAAAATGCGTCGTAATGTTGCGTATATGCCTTTCCGTTCACAATTAGATCATTTTATAGGCTGGCAAAGTTACTCGAGACTTTTATTTGCTGTTTTTAGTTCTTTCAGTTTTTAATTTTTGCATTTCATTGTTCATGATTGTCCTTGTTTTCCAGAAATTCCAGTTGCCAGAAGTCAATCGTCTCCTAAAGAAGAAGGCAAGATGTTAAATTGTCCAGAACCCCTGTCTTTCCAGCAAAGTTGAACCACCGAACCTGAATCATGAGCTTCAGATGATGCCTTGTTTGACCTCTTGCATTTTGGATTGACGAGATTCACTTTTTTCTATTATGTTGACCTTTTTCAAGAATTTAGTCATAAATTATTCAAGTTTAATGTGGGATAATAACGAGATCAATCAACGGTTATGAAGCGGTGTTCCTTGTGGTTATCACGGCAGTCGGGGTGGTTAGAAGTAGAATTGGCACTTCTGAAACGACATGTGTAATATAAGTTTACATCAAAACGGTTATGTGCTTCTTCAAACTTATCACGAAGTTCCTAAAAACCAAAGAAAAATGTCAAATGAACTTACAATGGAAGTGATGCGTTTTTCGGCTAATATTCCACCTTCCTCGTTGTCTTTCTTCAAGGGCTTCAAGGAAAAGAGTTTTTGAACACTTTTCTGGTTAGCGCCCTCGTTGGCCCGGCGTGTGTTGAACTCCTGCTTGGTCTGTGTTGTTCAGCCTTCCACTAACCAAGAGTGCGCTTTGGTGGCTTCTTCACTTCCGCAACAACCAGTTTTACCTAAAATAATATCACAAATCCATGAATCTGTCAAAAAGAATGTAGAGTATTTCAAAATAACTTCACCCACTCAGAAGCAAAACCTTCTAGGACAAGTTTACCCTTCTTCCACTTCATAAAACCTATTTTACCTTATAATTTATCCCAAAGTGTTCGAAAAGCATCCCCAACATAAAAAATGCCTAAAAATCAGCTCAAAAATTTTTCAAAACAACAACTTACCCATTCTCCACACAAAAACAACAAATTGGCGCCATATTACGCTGAACAATGTATGTGATACACCTAATATTCTTCATCTTGGATCCAAAAAAATCGCACCGAGTTTGTCAGTGCGTCCCGCCACGAAAACAAACGATATATCAGAAAGCCACCCCAAGCCGAGAAAATCGCTTTTCAAAGTAGCTGTACAGGCCCTTTAAATATCAGTGTTTTTCAGAATGACCCCTTTTCGGATAGGGTCAACATCGCTAATATCTATATTCCTTTTATCACCTCTAATTTACTCCCAAAGTCCGATTGACTGCAATTTCGACGACAATGACGGTCCTAAAGGGCCAATGTGTGGATGGAAGCCGAATGAAGAGGGATCTCAGATCTGGCATACGGGAAGTACTGTCTTTGTAGACAGCGCTCACAGTATTATCAAGCCGGGAAAATCAAGTGAGGATTTTCAAAAAAAAAATCGGTTTTACGGCAGAGAAATAAAATTTTAGTCATGTATTTTCTACCGAGCAAAAAAAAATTTCGGGTTTCGGGCAATTTTTGGCCAAAAAATCTTGATCTTTTTTCTGCAAAGCGCAAGCTAAAAGTCAAGCAGCTTCTGGAAACATGTTGCTCTTAGTTTTGTCTAATCTAACCTCTTCACTGCAAATTTTCATTTTCCATTTCCTTCAGACGACCGTTTCGCTTTCGTCCAAGGTCAGTATGGCTCTTCAGAGGGCGAGCTGATCTCCCCAATCTTACGGACTGCTCCTGGAATGACCAATCAATTAAGATTTAGCTATTGGAAATCTGCGTTTGAGCCAATACTGGATGTAAGTCGGAGAAAGCACAGGTGACGCATACATAGTAGAACCTCTGTACAATAAAAATTATATTATACTCATGCACTATCAGTCTGTCGGGAAAATAATGTGGACTCGTCGCGGTTTGAAAGCGCCTATTATCGATTTACGGCGTCTAACCGTTGTTGGAGATTTTGAGCGCGATTGCGCTCCAGGCTAATCCACATTTTTCCCGATAGACTGATGGTCCGTCCGGAGAATCGATTGAGGATTTTTGGCGTTTGCACTATGCTGGAAAAGCCAGTATGCCAACGACAGCCTGAAAACGTTATCTGCACGGTGCAAACGCAAAAAATTGCACATTGCAAAGCGATCTTGTGTTTTTGCACAGTGCACGTTGCTGAAATTACTCCAGAGACTTTACGAACGAACTAGTACGGCGAACAGTTTTAGAGGGCCTTAAAAATCAAGTTCAAGACAAAATGAACTTTTCTATAGCAATACCTCTTCATAATGACAAGAATTTTATAATTCACAGCCGTTTGTTGTACACCGCACGTCAAACTGAGATAAGCTAAAACAGTCCGGTGAATGGATTGGCAATTTGCCAAAAAAAGACGCGAAAAAACGTTTTGTCGGGGGAGAAATGGGGAATTTTTGGGGCGAGAGAGTACGTTTTTGCGCGTCTTTTTTCTCTCTTTCTCTGCGAAATAGACGAAGTGTAAAAGACCGATAGCGAAGAGTCTATTCGGGTCACCGGAATCCTCAGTTTGACGTGCACCGGTTTTACTGCAGTCAAAAACTGTATATCGAACTTTCGGGAAAATAATGAGCACAATGTTGCTGCGCCAGTCGCGTCGCTGAAGAAAAGCAATTTGATTTCGCTGCGACAAAATTCATTTTCCCGGCAGCGATGCGACAGGGTGCACATTATTTTCCCGACAGACTGATAGAATCTGCACACAGTTATCGGCATTCTCCCCCATCCCAACACATTTTTAGATTTGCCTGAAATACATTGCGGAGGACCGCTTGGAGTGCATTGATGCAATTGTTGGCGGGGGCGAAGAGAAATGGGTTAAACGGACATTGGACTTGCCCAGCAGCTCCGAGCCATTCAGTGTTGTTTTCCGGGCGCGTGGCATTCACTCCAAAGAAGATTTGATTGGCCTGGATGACGTTAGATTGGCATTACCGGAAGATGAAGATAAAATCCCCGAGACGAATGAATTGGAGGGGTTCGAACCCAAGTATAATGTTAGTATAGGATTTTTTTACTTTTTTGAATTTTTGATTATCTATTTTTCCTCTAAAAATCGCTAAAAAATTTGCAGAAAGACCAAAAAGACGTCCCTACCAACGTACTCACCAGTAATGTCAAGAAGCCTCTACTCACTTCCAAAGCCGTTAGCGACAATTTTGGCAGAGAAGCGGCCGAACGGCCGATCGGAATCAACTCATTTGAGATGCGAAGGGCCCAGCCAGTAATTCGACCTAACAAAAATCCGTTCGAAATGGACGAAGAGAAGCTGCCGCTTCAGGATGAGTAAGATAAACATATAATATGTATAGTAAACCTTCTGTGCAGCAACCTCCACTAGGCCAAAAACTTTATTTGTTATAGAAAAGCTTCGTTGTATAGAGACTAGTTTTGGTTCAAAATTGACTTTTCATACTCCCAAAATTACTGGTTATACAGGGTGTCCCAAAAAAATGCATTTTTTCATGGGTCCTGACGCCAAGAACGGGACCGACTTCCTCGAAAAATCCAAAAATTTTAAGTCACGTTTGGAGCTCTATATCGCCCCCAAAGGCAGCCACTGTGAAACTAGCTTTGCATGTTGTCAACAATGTTCTATGTTACTAATATTCGTGATTAGTTTTGTTAAATTTTGCTTGGTATATAAAATATAGCTATAGAAATAACAGGCATTTTTTGGGACACCCTGTAGTTAGGATTTTTTTAGTTGGTTCTATAATACATAGACTTGACTGTATTTTTACCGTCGTATACTGAACGTTGCAACGCGTTCTCGGCGATGAACAACATCGCCGTCGAGAACAACGAGGCTTACTGTAGCTATGACTTTCAGAGACAAGCCCATCCAACTGTCGGAGCGATCATTCCCCGCGAACGATAAGCATGAGAATTCGATCTCATCCCATTTCCCGGACTTCCCTTCATTGGACAGTATTCATAGAGATGAAGGTGAGATTCCATCTATGAACTTTTTATTCTTTTCTCTTCAGACCACCATTTGCCCGAGAAGAACAGTAAATTGGTTGATGACACGTTTTCCTGCAAGGCTGTGAAGTGCTCCTTCTTGGAGACGACTTGTTTTTGGTAGGTAATAATAATAAAGCAATAAGATTACAGTATCAAAAAAGTAATACTATGCTAATTCGCCAAATATGCGGCTTTCGGAAGAGAATGGAGCTATTGGCTCAAAGAAATTTTATTGCAAAAAGCCTATGTTGTCTGCCAATTTGTAACGCCCAGCTTGGCCAAAAAGTATAGTTATTGAAATTCTAAGGCCCTACAGTAACGACAAATCTTGTTGGAAAGACGCTCCTCTGTAACTATATGTTACTTCATTTAATTATTTTCTGGTTTTCAGGTCATTAGACGGTAAATGGAGGAACGGCGATGGAAGTGTGGCATTGGAACAAAAAGGTCAGGAGAAGATGGTCAGTGGCGTTTTTCGCATCCCTCCAGGTCAATACTTTATCGATTTTGATGTCTGGATGAGGTAAGAGCATTTTTGTGGCGTTTTTATAAGATTTTTGGAAATTTCAAGTTTTCGTGGTGGGACCCAAAACTTTTATGGATTATTATATGAAACAATGTTATTATATAATTTAAGGAGTGCTAACTGTAAACTGTCGACTTTCAGAGTATAATTTCAGAATTTTCGGTCCATTTTATACGATGAAAAATGTCCAAACTTTTAAAAGTTTTTTTTGCAAAAGTACTTTACAATTTTTTTTACACACAAAAAATAACGATCTACAGAACAATAAGAGCCAAGATAGCATGTTTACGAGATTTTTTACAAAAAATCGCCATTTTTTAGAAACTTTTTATCAAAAAATAAAAAGTTCTGCAAAAAATTTCATTCGAATTTTTCCAGCGACGACACTGAGCTAAAAGTAGTCCAAGTCACGGAAGAGATTGGTGAAGAAGTTCAATTCCAACGTCAAGGAGGAGCCAGCGATAAATGGCACACTTATCGTGCTCCAATTCACGGCTCAACGTTGCCAATTCGCGTCGAATTTCATGCCAACCTGCCCAATAAGGGTTTTTTGACTCTATCAAATACGAGATTAGTAGATCCTAGTGGAGAGGAGATTGGTTGTGACACTCTGGGAATGGCAAACACAAAGGCGAAAAAAGAGAAAACGAAAGGTTCAGATGTTACGAACAGAGATGGGATGGTGGTGACAAAAGCAACGGTCGCTCCGATGTTCCCAACCTTCCCTCCGCCGCTGTTTGGTAGGGATACTTTGAGGGCGGGCCCACACTTGCGGGCAACCACTTTGCGGGCAGCTTGAAAAACCACGATGATTCTGCGGAGATGTTTTGAAATCAGCTAAAATTTGCTTACAACTGGAAATTCAAGCGATGGGCTTGACGATTAGCCGTTGCGGATTAAGTTTCCACGTGTATCAGTGGCTTGAATAGTTATCATAAGCTTACCCAGGCATTTTTTATCATTTTTTGAAAACAAACTCCCATAAGTTTGAAAGCAGTGGATGAATTTAATAGATTTGTGTACTTATCAGTACCAGGGAGTTGTCAATGTAAAATTTCTATCTTACTACGTAGATTACGGGAAGGAAAAATTTGGTATGGCAGTAGAGTAAACAGCCGGCTTTCAGAAAGTATAAATATCGTAAGGGACCCCATCGTATAAACTTCGCAATGACCATTGAAAAAATTTCATTCTTAAAACTTCTGCAACCTGTCGTTCTGCAATAACGGTGCAACAAATAAGAAATTGCATCGCTCCAAGTGAACTCTTGTTTTCTCACAGTGCATAAATACTATAAATTTTGTTTCAGGAAATCCCTTCCTCTTCCCGACGATTGGAGTTCCATTCCATCCGCTGCCTCCGCCCGCCCCTCTGATGGCCCCACCCCCATTCAATCAGCCGGGTTTCGGCCAATTCGGCGGCTTCAACAACCTGAATGGAGTTGATGCCGCGATCCATCAGCCGGCCCCGCAAATCTCGAAATTGGACGGAATAACCCCAATCACTCCGATGAAAGACTCTACGATGAGATTGACGGCGGTTCAGCAAGTAAGTGAATGTCTTTATAAGGGAGTTTTAGTCGACTGAATTCAACGTAGAAGGCTCCACTGAGTGATATACATATTAGTATTTTTATAAAGTGCATAGACATTCTTCACTGTATGTGTAAGCTTATCAGGCTTCTAAAAAGGCGATATTGCCAAAAAACGGGGTTTTCTCTGTCCACTTTCCACATTTTGCGTGCTCTCTCGTTGAGAAAGTTCGCCGAAAATCTCGGCAGCTCCTGCAAACCGATGCCTAAAATTTTAAGATACTTTTCGTAGTGAAGATTCTTCTCTGTAGTGCCAATGTAAATGCTACCAGCCTGTCGGGAAAATAATGAGCAACCCTGTCAATTCAAAAATCGCATCGCCGCCGAGAAAATGACTTGTGTCGCCGCAAATCCATTTTTTTTACTTCAGCGACGCGACTGGCGCAGCGACATTGCGCTCATTATTTTCCCGACAGACTGATAACTCTTTTTTTCAGTTAAAAGAAAGCCAGCAATTCCCCGGCTTCTCCTTCCCCACCCTCCCGCCAATGCCTGCCTTGGGCGTTCCCAACATGCCCACGCTCTTCCCTCCAATCCAACTCCCACGAACTGAGCCCATGAAATCGACGCCCAAAATCTCGTTCGTTGACGCCACATCGTCCGATCTGACTACGGAGACTTCAACGGATTTGGACTTGGTGACAAAACCGACCAAAGTTTTCAGTCGACCGAAGACTGTGCAGAGCGTTCAACGGACCTGGGAAAGCCCTCAAATGGACTCAATTCAAAGCCAAAATCATATTATTCAGGACCATCAACGGGATGAAATTTTGGGACATTTTATAAAGGTGAGTGGATTTGAGATGCTATGCTACGATAGTGGAACGGGTTGTAGTATTTATCAGTCTGTCGGGAAAATAATAAGCAAAATTTTGCATCGAAAATCGCATGGTCGCCGGGAAAATGAATTGTGTCGCGGAGAAAATCAAATTGCTTTTCTCTTCAGCGACGTGATTGGCGCAGCGAAATTGCGTTCATTTTTTTCGACAGACTGATACAGTGGCGGACCTGATCAGCGTACCATATGGTACCATATTATGTATGCGGGAAGCATCAAAAAATCCAGTGGCAAAAAACGTACCATTTTGCATCCGGGAAGTATCAAAAATGTGGCAGAATGCTTCCCTCTCCAAGTGAAAAAACCTTTTTTGAAGGGTCCCTCACAAAAAGAGCGGGCGTGCCTTTAAAATCTCAGTTTTTTCACTTGGAGAGGGAGGTATTTTGCCACATTTTTCGATACTTCCCGGATGCAGAATGGCACGTTTTTACCACTGGATCAGGTCCGTCACTGTAGAACAAAAGAGTACGTTTTATCGAAGCAATTTAGAGGTCCGAATTTTCGGCCAGCAGACATGGCTAATGAGGAACTACAGTATTTTTTAGCAATTTTTTTATCGCATTATCGTTATCGCATCGCAAAATGTTTCCGATATTACACCTGACAATTACCGCTGACTTTTTCAAGAGTCCCTTGTGCTTTACAGCAATTTTTTGATTAATTCCAGGACTCCATGTTGAATCCTAGCACTGTGTCGCATCTGAAGCACATGGCTTCTTTATATGGCTTCGACAGTAACGCCCTCTCCGACCCAAAACAACTCGCAAGGCTGCGCAGTGCGCTTGGCCCGGAATTCTTGAATCGCCTCCCCGATTTGATGAAATTAAAGTCCAGAGGAGTTGTGGACGAGTCAACGAATGATGAAAATGAAATTGAAAACAAAATACGACCAATTCGACCAATAAATGTCAATAAAAACGTGAGTTTTCCACCAAAACATCTCATTTTTAATAATTATTTTTAGGAATTTGAGAAGGTAATGAAGCAACTTGATCAAACCAGTCAAATCGAAGCCAGCCCTCTGCTTCAGAAGCTCCTCAAGTCGCTGGGCGGATCCTCTTCGGCGCCGGATCCGTTCGGTTCCGCTATAAACGAAAGCCAGAGAAAATTAGTGTAATATGCGTCGTATGTTGTAACTATTGTCTAATATCTGTGAATAATGCCGGCTAAATAAACTATTTGAGATTTGAGCGGATAGTGGTTCAAGAGTCTCCCTGATTAGAGTTCAATGGATCCCCCCAAATCACGCCAAGTCTCAAGTGTAGTTCAACGGAAGCTATCCAGTGAACACAACGATACCCACGATAATATGTAATAGCCCGTTTATCCACAACAAAGGTACTCCGCGAACTGCGCCCAAGCTTGGGCACTAAAGTTAGAAAAAAACGCTTGCTGGCACTGGATTACTATAATAGCTCTATAGTTTTAAGGGTACCTACGAAGGCTACGACGACTCATTTAGTTCCATACGAAGGCAATAAGTTTAGTTCCGGACATGTTTCATCGTATAAAGTGTAAAATCACAGGCTGCAGCCGTTTTTGAAGGGTAAGGTGGTACGTAAAAAACAAGATACCTCGCTAACTAAATCCGCTGTCCGGGCATTGACAACGATGAATTGAGCGTGCACGCTAAATTTGGGCTAATTCCGACCAGTTTCCGCAAAGTTATAAGTTGTGGCCAAAATAAGTAACTTTTACCTTTATGTTTATTATTATACTTTACTCTTTGGTATATCTAATAAAGACCTATGGAATATGTCGGAGTATGACGATCCCGAACCGGCCACGCTGCCAAAACACCATCAAAGAAGAGCGCTGGGAGCTACTGACAACCTAAGGGTGGTAGTCAAAGGGCTTGGCGTCTGGAATAAAAAAAAAAACAATTTTTTGATCCAAAAAAGCAAACAAAAATTTCGAAACCTACACTTTTTGAAAAATTCGTCATCCTTTTCGAAGAGAGGGATGGTGGTCAACAACACCGGGTCGGTTAATCCTTTGGGCGGCTCAATTTTATCGAAAAGTTCCTCCGTTTTTCCCTCGAAACATCTCCCATCAGCGGTCGTGTTGAAGATTTTGAAGTGCTCAAAATCGAACCTGAAAACGAAAAATATAATAGTATATCTTTTTGTAAAATACGTTCTTGCAAATTTCTAACCTAATAATAAGTAAAAAATTTATTCCAAAATTTTTAAAAAAATCTAATTTTTTGAGATTTTTCGACCAAAAAATAGACTCTCTCGTCAAAATCCGATGCCAATAAAGTCATCACGAAAAATGCCAAAAAACGTCAAGTCTCCCAAAAATTTTAACCAAAAAATCTCGGCTCCTTCTGCCAATTGCTTGACTAAACCCTCGTATACATCATAAACATAGTTCTGCCCTACCTCAAGCCTCATCAAAATCCGAGGCCAATAAAGTCATCATAAAAATTTCGAAAAAAGAACACGTCAAAGACGTCAAATTTCCCAAGTCTCCTGGCCTAAAAATCTCAATTCTTTCTGCGAATCGCTAGACTAAAACCTGGCATGCATCATAAAAAAATATTAGCCCAAATTTCACCAAGTTTCATCAAAAATCTCCCTCAAAATTTCTCTCATTTCCCCCCTCTTACAGTGAAAAGACGTATCCATTGAAAGCCGAGACATGAATGGCATGTTCCACCTTGTCAAAGAGCACCTCATGGATCGTGTTGTTCTTCACGGTGACCTCCATGATGCACGGATTTATATCGATAAAAGTATAAAAATCCACGCACCTCTGCACCCTTTCCATCTCAGCTTGGTTCTCAAAAAAAGTGCCCACATAGCTCGACATGCGCTCTAAGAAATTAATCGCGTCATCGGTGGCGTAGACTGAGCTGGGGCGCAACGCATGAGTGCTGTTCACCACCAACATGACCTTGTAAAAGTACATGTTCTTGAGGTTCAGTGTATCTCTGTCCGCCGGGACCTTAATGGCCTGCCTGGAGATGTAAAGTAATGTAAAAAAAGTCGTATTTTAGAAAAGATAAAAAAAAATTATTACAAAAATTAGACACTAGTGCTTTATGGGTCACGAAAAAGTTCGTTTTTTTATTTTTTTTTGAAGCGATCTTCACATCAAAAACAATTTCGAATTTGAATTTCGATTTTCCCGCCAAATTTATATCTCGGCTAAACGATTAGATTCAAAAATTCTAATGTCATATTTGCATTCAGCACTGCCAAAAACCTCTCATTAGATAATTTTTAGACCCTATATCACAATGCCAAAAAGCGCGGGAAAACGCAAATTCGAAACAAATCGCAAAAAAAACCTCAAAAATCAGATACAAATTTTCCCCATGATACTCCAACCATATAAAAATTATCATAAACTCACGTTCTCACCACTTTATAGATGTTAAATTCGTCGCTGAACATCACCGTGCGCTCATAATCCCTTTGTCCATAATTGGCTTCAGCCTTGATGGTAAAGCTCATGTCCCGGAGAGCGTAAGTCTTCCCGGGATAGAAAGCAATGACGATTCCTGCCTCTTGTGGCTTATGGTTTTCTGAAAACAACGAGTATCGAAAAGAAATGGAGATTGTTATGTTGTAGTAGTTGCAGGTGGAATAAAAAGTTATATATTAGATGTTTTGCAGTCATAACTCGCCCAGTTCTAGCTTAAATAAAGTTTGGACGAATTACTGGCAATTCTTAGGAAAGGGACATTTTATACGAGTAAATATGTCCGAAATCCAAAATTACGCTTGAAGGGGTTTAAAGATACGACACGCGGTAGAAAAATCTTTTTTGGTATGAGAAAGCTATAATAATTCTGTCAAAAACATGCCAATGCTCTAAAAAGTGACATTTTATACGATGAAACATGTCCGAAATTGAAAAATAGACCCTGAGGTTCCGAAATACAAGATTTGGCGCGGCGTAGGCCTTTTGATTCAGAAGCTAGCAAAATCCCGACTAAAATATGTCATTATGTGACATTTTATACCATGAAACATGTCCAGCCCAAATCTCTTTTTTCCACGTAAGATCTCCATAAATCTTCGCTCCCCTTCCACTTACCAATAAATTGTCCAATCAGAACGGTGACGACGCCCTCCGGCGCCGACTCGATGGAACTCAAGTCCACCGCCCAAAGCCGAAAGTAGTTTTTGAACATTCCCTTGGGCGTCTTCTGGCATTCCGCATCAGCAATAGCTGCCGATGCGAAAAGAACAACGAGAACTGACAGCCGACCCAACATCATGACGATAATTCGACCGAATGAAGTTTTTGGGGGGAAATTGGGAATTATTTTTAATTTTGACCGAAAAAAGTTTAAAAATTTTAAAAATAAAAAATTTTTTTTTGCCATCTCGAGGTTGTTAATGATGCCATCGGTCAGTGGCAACTCTTCTCGAAATTTTCGAAAATTTTGCTTGGACATGTTTCATCGTATAAAATGTCACTTTTTCGAAATTTGATGATTTTTAGCCGGGTTTTTGATGGTCTTCGATTTTTCAGACCATATGATTGATTTGCTAAACTTAATACGGCCAAGGCCTGGTTTTTTAACATCAATTTTATATTACACTTGTCATCAGATATCAATTTATTCAAAAAATCTGGTAAACCAACAATTTTTTGCACAAAATCCCTTTTTAAATTGGGAATAATTGTTGATTTTGACCGAAAAAAGTGTAAAAATTTAAAAAATGGAAATAAAAAATTTGCGATTTCAAAGCGCAAACTTCAGTCGTCCTTGTGTAACCGATTCTGAGGGGTCTCTGCATAAATTACCACACCAAATCGTAGGCAAAGATCAGTTTATAGTCAAGCAACTACGACAAAACAGATCAGTATTCATCAGAAGACAGCCAAGTTCCTCATACGGAACTTCCAATCATCAAAAGAGCCAGAATGGCCAATAAAAATCCCATCAAAGAAGAGCGCTGGGAGCTGCTGACAACTTGAGGGTGGTAGTCAAATGGCTTGGCGTCTGAAATAAAAATGTTTTCAATCCAAAAAATAAAAGTAATGTGAGAGGCCTACATTTTTTGAAAAATTCGTCATCCTTTTCGAAGAGAGGGATGGTGGTCAACAACACCGGGTCGGTGTATCCTTTAGGCGGCTCAATTTTATCGAAAAGTTCCTCCGTTTTTCCTTCGAAACATTTCCCATCAGCGGTCGTGTTGAAGATTGTGAAGTGCTCAAAATCGAACCTGAAAAAAAAGAAAATAAATTTTTTGTAAAATACGCCTTTTAATCATAAACATTCACTCCAAAATTTCAAAAAAATCTAATTTTTAAAGACTTTTGACCGGAAAATCTCCGAAAAAAGTTGGGACGCAAATATCTCGATTATTTCTGCAAAGCCTGAGCCAAAAATCTGTCACATGTCTTCAAAACTCCTAGCCTGCCTCTACCTCAAACCTCATCAAAATCCGAGGCCAATAAAGTCATCATGAAAATTTCAAAAAAAACGTAAAGTTTCCCAAGTCTCCCAACTAAAAAATCTCGGCTCCTTCTGCCAATCGCTAGACTAAAACCTGGCATACAACACAAAAAAAACTTCTAGTCCAAATTTCACCAAGTTTCATCAAAAATCTCCCTCAAAATTCTCTCATTTTCCCCGCTTACAATGAAAAGACGTATCCATTGAAAGCCGAGACATGAATCGCATGTTCCACCTGGTCAAAGACCACCTCATGGATCGTGTTGTTCTTCACGGTGACGTCCATGATGCACGGATTGATCTCCGCACTCTTATTCATGCACCTCTGTACCCTTTCCATCTCAGCTTCGCTCTCCAAAACATTGTTCACCAAGGACAGCATGGGCTCGAAGAATTGGTTCATAATCTTGTAATCGTCGGTGGCAATGACTCGGAATGGGCGCACCACATGAGTGCTGTTCACCACCAACATGTGCTTGTAGAAGTACATGCGCTCACGGTCCAGTGTATCATCCTCCGATGGGACCGTAATGGACTTCCTGGGAGTGTAAAGTAATGTAAAAAAGTCGTATTTTAGGAAAATTAAGAATCTTTTTTCTTACAAAAATTAGATCCTAGTGCTTCATAGGTTACAAAAAGTTCATTTGTGGATTTTTTGAAGCAACCTTCAAATCAAAAAATCTAAAAATTTGAATTTCGATTTTCCCGCCAAATTTATATCTCGGCTCTGAGATGAGATTCTAAAATTCTGATGTCATATTTGCATTCAGCACTGCCAAAAACCCCTCTACAGACAATTTTTAGATCCTATATCACAATGCCAAAAAACCCGGGAAAACAAAAATTCAAAAAAAAAATCGCAAAAAAACCCAAAAATCGGATAAAAATTTCTCCTGTGATACTCCGAACATAAAAAAATCGTCATAAACTCACTTTCCCAGAACTTTATAGATGCTGAATCCGTCGCTGAAAATCACCGTGCGAACATAATCCCTTTGTCCATAATTGGCTTCAGCCTTGATGGTGAAGCTCATGTTCCGGAGGACGTCAGTCTTCGCCCCATAGAAGGAAATGGCAATTCCTGCCTCATGTGGCTTATGGTCTTCTGAAATTGCGATTTTCGAATAAAAATGGAGATTGCCATGTTGTAGTATAGTTGCAGGTGGAATAAAAAGTTCAAATTTAGATTTTTTTCTGTCATAACTCGCCTAGTTCTAGCTAAACTACAATCCAGTCTAATTACTGGTATTTTTTAGAAAAGGGACATTTTATACGATCAAACATGTCCGAAATCGAAACATAATCCCTGGGGTCTCAAAATACAAAATTTTGCCTTTTAATAAAAAGCTATCAAAATTCCGACTAAAATACGCAATTACCCCAAAAAAGTGACATTTTATACGACGAAACATGTCCAGCCCAAATCTCTTTTTTCCACGAAAAACCTCCCTAAATCTTCTCTTCCCCTTCCAACTTACCAATGAATTGTCCAATCAGAACGCTGGTGGTGCCATCAGGCTCCGACTCCAAGGAACTCTTCAAATCCGCCGCCCAAAGCCGAAAGTAGTTTTTGAACATTCCCTTGGGCGTCTTTTCGCATTCCGCATCAGCAATGGCTGCCGATGCGAAAAGAACAACGAGAACTTGCAGTAGCCGACCCAACATAACGACGAGAATTCGACCGAATGAAGTTTTTTGGGGAAAATTGGGAATTATCTTGAATTTTGACCGAAAAAAGTTTAAAAATTTTTAAAATAATTTTTTTTTGCATCTCGAGGTTGATAATGATGCCATCGGTCAGTGGCAACTCTTTCCGAAATTTTCGAAAATTTTGCTTGGACATGTTTCATCGTATAAAATGTCACTTTTTCGAAATTTCATGATTTTTAGCCGGGTTTTTGATGATTTTCGATTTTTCAGACCATATGATTGATTTGCTAAACTTAATACGGCCAAGGTCTGGTTTTTTAACATCAATTTTATATTACACTTGTCATCAGATATCAATTTATTCAAAAAATATCGTAAATCAACAATTTTTTGCACAAAATCCCTTTTTTAATACGTTCCCCATAAATTCAGAATGTTCTTGACGCCTTACTGGTCATTAGGACCACACTGCTCACCACTTGTCGCTCAATTTGCAGGATCTTTGCAAAGTGAGCGATCAAAAACTCCCTATAAGGCCGAACGTAATACATCAGTATAAGGCAATCAAAAATGGAGTGAGTACAAGTGATGAGTGTCATAATCATGACAATTATCGGGGTTTTGCGGAGCTTTAGACCGATGAAAAGTAGGCCGGTTGCCAAAGGGATGCCAAGGACAACGGCGCTGCAGAGAAGTTGCATCCGGATCGACTTGAAGAGCATTAGCTGAAATTTAAAGAGTGATTGTTTAGGAAGCCCATCCTCTAATGTCTAACCTTTTTGTAGCTTCATGAAAATCGGCTAAATATATAAATTTGTCGGGAAAATAATGAGCACTCTGTAGCATCAAAAATTGCATAGCCGCCGAGGAAATGAATTGTATCGCGGCAAAATCAAATTGCTTTTGATTCAGCGACGAGATCGGCAGAGACATTGGCGCTCATTGTTTTCCCGGCAGACTGATATTTGAGGTCCCAGCGAAGAGGAAAAGGTAAAAGTCACCTTCTCCTTTTCTACGCCATAGGGCCGGGTTTGGGAAATTTTGAAAAAAACCGGCCGAGCTAACTTTTCGAGGCTGGTCTGGAGGGTCAATATTTCGATTTTGGCCCAGGTCACCTTTACAAAAAAAATTAGTGAAATGGTATATAAACATATGAGTAGTAATAAGAGGTAGTTTCTGGCACTAAATTTTGCATCCACTGGAAAAGGGGGGGAGGAGCCGGCGCGGGGTGCCGTAAATGAGAGAGTGTGGGATTGGAGGAGAGTGGGAAGAGAGGTGAGGGAATTTTTATGGTATGGTAGTACTGTAAAGATGAGAGAGTGTGGGATTGGAGGAGAGAGGTCAGGGGAATTTTGCGGTCAAATTTCAAAAAAGATGCGCGGGTGTCGTAATTGAAAGGACGCGATGAAATTGTGGTAAAAATTGAAATGGTGAGAGAGTGTGGGATTGGAGGAGAGTGGGGAGAGAGGTCAGGGGAATTTTGCGGTAAAATTTCAAAAAAAGATGCTGGGTGTCGTAAATGAAAGGACGCGATGAAATTGTGGTAAAAAATGAAAAAGATGAGAGAGTGTGGGATTGGAGGAGAGTGGGGAGAGAGGTCAGGGGAATTTTGCGGTAAAAAATTGAAAAAGGGTGAGAGAGTGTGGAAAAGAGGAGGATTGAGGGTTGTTGCGCAACCTAGAGGTTGCGGGAGGGCAAGAGGTTGCGGGGTGTTGCGCAACCGAAATGTTATGAATGTTGCGCAACCTAGAGGTTGCGGTAGGTTAAAGAGTTTATGATTTATGTTTGTGATTTTTTTTCCGGAAAAGCGGAAGGATCAAGAGTAAGTATGGTCCATCAATAAAATTTGATGACCCTTCAATAAACTTTTCGACTCAATGATGATGAAAGAATTTTTACCCTTTTCAAAAGGATTAAGAATCCAGGTTGCGGTAGGTTAAAGAGTTTATGATTTATGATTATATTTTTCAGGAAAAGCGGCAAGATCAAGAGTATGTATGGCCCGTGAATAAGAGTTGATGACCCTTCAATAAACTTTAGATGTCACAGATCTCCAGGATTTTCGGGGCCGTATGGGGTCAATAGGTCACGCCTCCAAAAAGACCTATATATTCAGAGAGGATATTAAGACATTTTCATTAAAGGGTATGATTCTAGTCGCGGCAATTCCCTGTTTTTTGCACTAGAGACATGCACTTTATGTCGCGACTAGAATCATTTTGCCGAAAAATAAAAAAAAATTTTTTTTTTAGTGAAATGGAAAAACTGTGTGAAGAATTTAATTCAATGTCCCTCTCCGAGGACGAAACCGAAGTAAGCTTCATTCTTTTTTTGTTTAAAAATTTTTTTTTTTTTTTTATTTTTTCTTTTATTTTTTTAATTTTCTGTTTTTTTTTTAGTTAGCGCACCTCAGTGCGCGCCTCGTGGCGGAGTTCCCAGGGTGCTCAACCTTGGAGGAGTTTCGGCTTCAAATTAGCCGAAACTTTTATCAAGCTTATTATGCCATTATATATGGCGAAGCCTCAAAGGCTTCCAAGGAGGCGGCGGAAGAACTCCGTCGCTGTTTCGAGCAGACACTCGAAACAGTCGACGGGGTGGACCCCCGGTCCAATGAAAGGATTCATGGATGCCCTTAAAGGGCATCCATGAATGTGACCCCAAACGGCCCTCTTTAGGGCCACCCAATCGGCCCTCTTTAGGGCCCCGCCAGAGCCAGTTCCAGAGCCAGTTCCAGAGCCCCCCGCCAGAGCCAGTTCCAGAGCCAGTTCCAGAGCCCCCCGCCAGAGCCAGTTCCAGAGCCCCCCGCCCGAGCCTTTTCAAATGATCCCAAACGGCCCTCTTTAGGGCCACAAATCATTTTTTTTTTTGATAAGGAATAAACATAACGACGCACATCAAGAAAAGATAGAACAAAAGTGTTGAAGCAATGAAAAAATTTTTTGGATTCTGTAGCTCAAAGATAATTTTTGCTCCAAAGATAACCTGATCACCTGGAAGATGGAGTAGAATAGATTTATTGCATACATGTGGGTCATAATTATATCACCACTTTAAAAATTGGGTGTAACTTTTTGTGATTGTTGATAGAAATGTGTCATTTGGCATCAATGTACATCAGGGTACTAGAAATTTGAAGCTGGACTCCTACTTAACCTCACCATATATGTTTCATATAACAATTCAATCGTCTTTTATCTGCTTCAAAAAGAAAAAAAAAAAAATTTTTTACGACTTTGCCGATTTCTCCAATAGTTTCTCTCGCCCTTGTTTGAAGTTTGTTGAAAACATAGTCTGGAACAAGATGGATTTTCTGAACCTAAACGAAAAAAATCCAATGAGTCAGTTTTCAAGATGGAAAATCTCTTCATTTTACGCAATATTTCGCCTTTCGTCTGACCCCGTCCAAAGAAACTTTCATTAAGAGTGATTTTTGGACACTTTCATAAGCGGGTCATTTTACACAATATTTCGCCTTTCATTAAGAGTGATTTTTTGGACACTTTCATAAGCGGGTCATTTTACACAATATTTCGCCTTTCATTAAGAGTGATTTTTTGGACACTTTCATAAGCGGGTCATTTTACGCAATATTTCGCCTTTCGTCTGACCCCGTCCAAAGAAACCTTCATTAAGAGTGATTTTTGGACACTTTCATAAGAGGGAACAGAACGCCAACTTACGTGTTGAAAGATAACCCTTTGAGCGCAAAATCTTGACGTGCATCGCCATTTTTCCACGGAATGCTAAAACCCTCCCATTTATTCGTTTATTCAAAAAAAAAAAAACGTCAAGATTAAATGTTGCGTAAAGTTCCAACAGATTCAACGAAGAAATAACCGAGATCAATTCATATAAAATTTTTATCCATAACAAATGAAAAAAGAGAGATAGATAGGCATAATCAGATATCATTGGAGAGTCTCTTATGACTTCCCCTTCTTCGATAAAAAATGTAAAAATTGAAAAAGATGAGGATCACGATAACAGCTAGCAGCACCCAGATTACGATCACCATATTGTTATTCTTCGAAACCAGCGTATCCAATCCTTCAAAGTTTTTAGGCAAACATGTTATCGCCAAATTCGGTCTTTGGGCAAAAGACATACAGTCTTCATCTTCTTTACAAGGACCCGAAATACCACAGGAGCCATTTAAATCCCCCTTGAATTTGATCTGAAAACAGAATAAAAATGTCGAAAACAGCATACCATACGGGTACTCATGAAGCGCTCAGTATCCGGTGTCGACCAGAGTATGTTTCACTGAAAAATAATACAATTATAAGATAACCGAATGAATCGCGACAACAAAAAAAAAAAACATTTTTTATTTCTCGACATTTTTTTCTTTGTATTTTTTTTTTGCGGTAAAAAGACACAATGCCATAAAAAAGTTTTGTTGCCAATTCCGAGGGATTTTCAAACTAACATTTTCTATTTTTATACGCTGTAGGACATTTGAACGTTTCGGTTATTATCGACAAGCATTGTGGCGTCATATTCGATCATAGCAATCAGGCTAAGACCTGATTCCCCGACGGGAGTGTTAAAAGCAAGTCTTAACGAAACAGGTCCGTTTCTGATCAAGTCCATGCAGTTGTCATCTTCTAAGGTTGTTGTCATATTCAAGACAAAGATCGTAAAACCCTTTTTGTACATTTCCCTATCGATAGTGCATGAATAATCGGTAAATGCGAAACCCAAAGCCTCATTAAAATCATGATAGGCCCTAATAAAATTATCTTTTGTAAAATCCATTTCATAGGGGATGCAAGGGAATTGTTGACCATTAGCAGAGAGAGTAACGGATCTTAGGTCACTGTGTACAAAATTAAAGGGAGACTTTTTCGAAGAGTCTTGGACATCAGGGTGATTTGTTAAACCAAAAACAACCCTCCGAGGGACCTGGTCTGTACTTAAGGTTGTAACATATTCTTGTCTGCCTTGAGAAATGAAAAAGGATTTCAAATCCGTTTTCCTGATTGGATAGATTGCGGGATTTTTAATTAAAGTATTGGCAAATCCCATTCCCACACCATCGTTTAAATCCACAGTTTTCACATATAATTTACAGGAGGTTATGGTAAGACGGAACTGCGTTGCTTGGTTTGTCACATTACTCTCAATACAAAACAAATTCTTTGCAGGCGTAATCTCCAACACAAGATCCGTGTGATTAAGCATTAATTTTGGAACATTTGCGAGCTCGCAGAAAAGCCTTGTTACAAAGTGCGCTTCCTTTCCTCCCACAAACATTGCGCGGCGCTTTTGGAACCCCGAGTCCGTTTCATCGTTAAATTTTACACTATCATACCATCCCAGAGAGGAGAGATAAGTTTGACTGGCAGTTGAGGGGAAATTAAGCAAAAGGTCAAAGTAGGTTCTCCAGCTTTGTAAAGAATTTGAATGGTAAACCTCCTGGCCGTTTATTAGTAGTCTCATATTTTGAATAAAGGTTGCCCCAATGCCTTGGATAGGAGCGACCTTATCATTGGCTTCAATATTTATCCAAGTTTGACCATTATCTGATGATTTTTGCATTTTCATCGATGTCATAAGAAAAGTTTTTGTCAAATCAACAAAAGAGCTTCCAGGCATTACTTTAAATTGGTAAGGAGTTTCAGAAATTGGGTTTAGGGTTAAATATTCACTAAATTGGGAATGAGACGCTGATATATTTGTTTCGGGGACATTGAAAACATCGAGAGATGACGAAACACTCTCTTCACTTCGAGCATCAATCTTCTTAAACGACATGTTAATAATGAAGCAGTAAGGCCTAATGTTCCTTTATATACTGTTTAGTACATGCCAAACACATCGGTCCTTTTCTTCTTTATCATTCCTTTGCGCCCTGCTGCCTTTCGTTTCCTTCCCTCCCCTTTATGCAAATATTTATTTGAAGCCTTGCGCAACAAATTCCGCGCTCCTTGTGAGGTGTTGCGAACCATTATGGTCTTCAAATCTTCACTCTGTGGTTGAGCCATATCTCCGAGAATACGACTCCCCGTTTCCAAGGCTTCTTTTCCCAAACTCTGCCCCGCAGCTTTCAAGACAGGAGCAAAATAACGCCACACATTACCAAGAACTGATCCTAAGCCATGCCCTCTGTGTATTCTTCCCATCCCGCGATGAAACATTTTTCCAGCATAAAAGGGAGATGAAGAAAATCCAGAACCATATTGAAAACTTCTACCGTATTGAGTCTTGCCCTGAGGCGAAAAGTCGACTATTTTCGAAGAGTCAAAGGGTACAAGAACCATATCTAGTGTCCAAATAAGTCAAAACATACGTATTTATACTTTTATCTGCTTGCACCTCAACTGTAAGATCTATGACAAAACAAGAATCAAAAGTCTAGTGATTACAAAAATTTTTATTGATGATTAACATTTTGTTTTGGACACAACAATATTTTTTTAAAAACCCACAATGTTTTATTCGTTGATATCGATCTCCTCAATGACCTTGCTACGACATTGACAACATTTGTTCACACGGACCCCAATTAATCCTGAGCAAATGAGGATTAGAAGCTAAAATCGTTATAAAATGATATATTGAATTTGATCTTACAGTGAAGAAGAAAGCAACTATTCCAAGGAGTAAGCTAGCCAAGGGCCAGAACTTGATGGAGAAGTTCAAGAAACAATTTTCATCGAGCGTCTTTCCAACATTATAATTAGAATCCAAACATATAAGGGGTTCCAGATACCTTAAAAAGGATATTTTAAAAACTCATTAATGCAAAAATTACCCAAAAGGACGATAACAGTCAAAGTTGTTGGGACACGTACAATTGGTCCTCAAGAAATCTTGAATTCGCAGAGACATTTTGAAGAAACGAGCGTTAGACGGAGCAGAAAAAGTATTTAAGACAGAAAAATTTTTGTATTTCGGGCTAAACAATGGCTTTCTCTGCTACGGAGTTGAAACTTCACCTACCATCTGGTCTTTTATTAGGAGGTTCTTCAGGCAGCGGAAAGACGTCCTTAATGCTCCAAATTATAGAAAATGCGCGTAAAATTTTTGATCCCCCGCCAAAGGATGTGGTTTATTGTTATGGAGAGTTTGGAGAACATGTTACACATCTAGCAAAACAGGGAATTAAAGTTGTTTCAGGACTCCCGGATGATGAGCTAATAAAAAATTCAAAAAAACCTTTGCTCCTTGTGTTGGACGACCTGATTACATCAATAGACCCTCAGTACCTCACAGAGCTTTACACAAAGAAGGCGCATCATCGAAACTTGGGTGTGATTACATTGAGTCAATCAATTTTCGAACCAAAACTCCGTGTTCCACGCATAAATTCCCAATATATCATTTTAATGAGAGCTCCGAACGCTGAACTTCAAGTACGAACACTAGGCTCACAAATTTTCCCCGGTAAAAAGGGATTTATGGAAGCATATCGTGATGCAACAAAGGAACAATTCGGCTATCTTTTAATCGATCTACATCCAAAGACACCTGTTGATTTGAGACTACGCACAAACATTTTTTCGACAGACTCCATGGTGGTGTACAAAGTATAAATAGCAAAGAGAACAAACAAAAATCTAGTTTATGAAGCTTATTCAAAAGCATGTCTTGTTTCTAAAAAAATTGGCGTCGTTCAAGAGTCCTGAAAGTC